AAGCTTTTGAGCTATAAAAATGCAAAGTTAATGCAAAAGCTCTGAGAGAAGCATTATATTTTTGTTTTGACTTCCCCTTGATAAATCGTTTCAGAATTTCCTTTGTGCCATCATCCACTGATGCCTGAAAACAAATATATATTCATGGAATAATCATGTTACAAAGTAGAATATTATTGAAACTTTGCATAAAACCAAAAAAAAAACATAAATCTTTTTCAGTATTGTAAACATGTTAAACTAAAATGGAAACAATAAGTTCTAGGCTAATTGAAGTGTGTAGCAGCATGCAACTGATACCTACATTCAAAACTAGTCCTGCATTTGGCGTCAAACCACATGTCTCCCTCAAATACTCCATTAATGATTGCTGGGAATATACTTTAGACTTCAGTCTGCGATTTTGCTGCTGAAGATTTTTAATTTTCTTTTTCAGAGACGCTATTGTTTTTTCTGCGCTACCTACAGTTTTGCCAGAAATGTTCCATACATGCTTATGCATTTTGGATCTGAAATAATAGATATTACTTTGTGTGCTCATCATTATCAATTTTGAAAACTTGAACTCACCTTTGCTGCATTATTTGCCTATGCCTAGTCATTTTCCCCGAGATGCTTGGTAGTTCTCTAGGTTCATCATCAGAGCTTGCAGTAACTGTTGCTGACAATGAGCTGGCCGACAGAGTAATTGAACTATCATTTCTTGCCAAAACAGTGTCAGAGTTGTTACTATAAACAAAAATATATGTCAAAATGAATGTATACAGTTGCAGTAAACTAATCCATTCGACTGATGAATAGTATTATTTAGTCACTAGGGACAGTAGAAAGCAAACAACATGTTATTGACCAAGAATTGGATTTTGTTGCCAAAATAATCAATTCAATTAAGTACAACAGTATAGCTGGAATTCGTTAAGAATAAAATAAAGCTTTAACTTCTCATGAATAGTGTTGTTTGGTCAACAAAGCAGTAAAATGGAAACAAAACTATTAACAATACAATTTTGTCATTCATTCAATGACCTGGGAACTATCAAAGTAGCTGGAATTCAACATATAAGGTCTTTAATGTGCATCAGAACTTGAATGAATAACAGCAATACCTTATATTGCATTCAGATGCTGTCACTGTAGTTGAAGATATTGACAAGACATCACAGTTGTCTGATTGAGGACTTGTCAGTCTCTTCAGCCCTCCATCTCTAACTGCAGCACTCATAGATTCATTCCTGCAAGAAAAAAACAAATTACTGTTAGTGAACCAAGCACTACAAATGAGTGTTAGCTAAAAACTGAAGAAACGAAGATTCAGTTCCTGCCATCTGAAAATGATTTTCCAAAACATAGGTACTCTAATGTATAAACAATTCATAACCTTTTCCGCTTAGGAGTAGAATGTCCAATTTTGGCATCGGTACTTGTGAAGGTGTGCTCATATTCAATGATGATCTCTGCAGGTTCAGACATCCTATTGCTACTTGTACTGATATCGACATCCGGGTTCTGATCCTCACAATGATCTGAGCCAACCAAATCCATTTCAGTAACTGGCAGCACGACGAACGAGTTGGAAAACTAGAAATACATAACCATGCGTTAAGCCATTATCATTATTCAAAATATTCCAAGTGAAATTATTCTTATCAAGCTATTAAGAAACCTAGGACTAAGGACAACCCAACGACTTCATATGATATCGTTGGGACGACCATGCATTTTGAGGTTATAAATGCGTTAATTACTTACACACGAAAACTCACGTTGGATTACTTCCAGTATGGTCTGCCACAAACTACACACACTTGTCTTTAATTATTGTCTATTTCTACCAATTTTTCACTCACGACTCACTGTATATTAGCTGCTTTAACACAACGGAACAAAGAGTTCACAGTCAACAAATAAACATGGGGCTGATAGAGTCAGACGCTTCATAGTCCAGTCAGTTTAAGCAAAAAAAATCGATGCGATACTGAAACGAGATACAGTCAGAGAAATACGCATTAATTATGTATGGACAGCTATTACATACGGGAATATTATGATTGAGAGTGATCAAATTCCATTATAAAGTGTTTTGCATCATACAGAGGCCATCCCAAACTAAAATAGCCTCAAATCAGGTATCTAAAATTACCTAACTATCAATAGCAGATATGTATACATACAGTGAGGGCTTGTTTGTTTATTTTTCGCGGCTTCAAACAATTCCCCTAGAACGCGTAGTCTAACCTTATGAAGTCGTTGGATTTTACTTTGTTTCTTCGATGGATACAGTTTAGTTAACTTTTTTCTCAGAAGGGCCAACTCGTGCCGGACATAATCCTTTTGGCATCGTCGCATGGGAAGTACAAAGTCAACTTATATGACGCCATTTATATTTATATCAGGTAACCAAATAAGTTAGTGCGGTTTTTAGTAGAAAAATATAAATTTTTATTGAGAAACAATAAGGCAATATTTATTCGTCGAAGTAATTACCATCACATTTTGCCAACGTGGAACCAATTTTTGTATGCCGGTATTGTAGAACTCCCTGAATTTGGAATCAAAAAATTGCCGAACTGCATTTATTACACCATCTCGAGTTGTGAACTATCGGTGCCTCATACAGTTGTCAAGAGACAAAAAAAAAGATGATAATCACTGGGCGAAATGTCGGGAGAATCTGGCGGGTGCGGTAACGTTTCCCAGCCGAGTTCAGAAATTTTTTCTCGGGTCACTTTTGCGGTATGAGGCGTTATCCTGCAAGAATATCACTTTCTTCCGATTGATCAAAGAAGGTGTTTCTGGATGAGTGGTGCTTGCATTCGTTGAAGCTGCTCACAATACAAGTTAGCAGTGATGGTTTGACCCCTTTCCAAAAACTCATAATGGTTAATTCCAGTTGCTGTCCACCAAACACACAACAAAACCTTGTTTGGGTGCAAGGAAGCCTTGGGCGTGTGTCGTACCGAATCAGTAGGCGTCAACCAATGATACGAACGCTTAGAATTCGAATACAAGATCCATTTTTCGTCGCAGGTTAATAACCGATTAAGAAATTGTTCATTAGCGTTGTCAGTTCATGTGGGACCCATTTGCTTAACTTCCACGTCTTTCCTAGCTGATGAAGATGCAAACGAATAGTTTCAGGACTCACTCTGAACATTTCTGCAAGTTCTTGACTCGTTGTCTTGGAATTTGCGTCCACAACCTGTCGAAGATCCTCGTTGTTCATGATTTTTGGTCTCCCTGAGCGCGGTTCATCGCTCAAACTGAGATACCCCGAAGAAAAATGTTTGAACCACTTCTGTGCTGTTCATCTCCGAATGCGGTACATATTTTTCGCGCTCCGCTGCAGCTTTTGTACCAAGTTTGTACTCATACAGTAAACAACTTCGAATTACTGTTTTATTCGTCGCCATTTCCAATTATTAAAACTAGGTATGTAACAGTTTTCAACAACTTTTAATGTGTGTGAGAAAAGAAGGATACATACTCAAGTGACAACAGGTAACAAAATATCGCTATCGATCTACAACATCGATGGCAATGTGCGATATACAGCAACCGCACGAACTTATTTGGTTACCTGATACAATAGTTGATCCCTATGCCCTGCCCCTGACCATTTTGCAGATGCGTATTTTTTTTTAGCAAAATATTAAGTTTATATGTCAAACTGATTTGAAGTTATGTGCTTTTTGATTTATGTATGACAAGGACTTAATAGAAATGGGTCCTTTTGGGAAAAGGGCCATAACAAAATATCTGAAAAAAAGGGTGTGGAACCCACTGAAATTTACTTAAATATTGTAGCTACTATTGGAGAGTGCACAGGTTCTTATAATCAAATGCTGGCAGTCCTCATTTTCCACGAATTTTTAAAATAATTCAGATATTCCCAGACTTTTTTTACCTGAAAATAGCTGCAATCAAAATAAACCTGAAAAATAAATTATATGTAGTTTTATGTCCCATACCAATTATACATAATTATGCGCCCACTTTGCGGCACACGAGGAGCGCAGATTTGGGTTGCGCATAATTATGTACACACATCACTTACTCCGCTTATCCTGTATTGGTTTTTGTGCGTACAAGAGGTACATACTGATGGTAGATCATCGTCATCATCACCGTATTACCGGAAAAGCAATAAGGAGACCGAACATGGTCTGTTTTAAATTAAACATTAACTACAAATGCCAGGTGACGAAGCTTCAAGATCAGAGGTAAAACAGAAAAATATTCCAAAATTCAAATCCAAATTATTTTTTATCCTTTGGGCAATGAAATACGTATATAGGCTTCGTCAACTTACATGAATAAAAATGATAAATAAGTAAAAATATATAAAACCAATACCATAATCATATACAAACAAATTCCGAGATGGTATAATAACTTTAATTTAGATATGAGAAATTATTTCAACCTAGTTTTAAACTAAATAATATTGGAGCATTCCTTAATATCTACTAATCTTCACAATGTTATAATCAAGAATGGAGAAACGAGTTTCCAGGATGGTTGAAAAGGAGTGCGAACAGTGTGCTCATTGTATAAGTTATAATAAAGAAGTTAACATTTTTTCAGGCAAAGATGGCATCAAAAATCTATCGTGTGTGCGTGCGCAAAACAAAAATAATTTTTTTTATAAACGGCGCTGTGTGACGCAAACGCACGTGAACTGACGCTGATCTTGCGACGGCCCTGATTTTTTTTCCTACCGATTTCCGCCTTTAATCTACCGAATTTCAACGGTACTATCTACCGATTTCATCTTTTTCGGTTCAGCAACACCGAATGCTGGTGTCGAGACTTAGTGTAGAATAATGTTCCCAGCCATATCTGCTGCAATGCTATGTATGCCCTACACCAAGCATGTTATGAATTAGTAGATTAGCAGACGTATTCACATACTTGGCCCCCAGAATTTTCAGGCTATTTCAAAAATTTTGTTCATTTTAGTCATTTTACAGTGTCTTGATGTTCTATTATATTTTTTGCAGAGTGTGTGATACCCTGAGTAACGACAGCATCTGCATAGATATGGAGGCTGATAACTGTTCGTCAGCTTCTGCGCCAAGATCGGCATCGGTCTCCAGAAAGTACTCCTCGCAAGCTGCCGCGCTGCGCAGTCAGTTTTTCCACGAGGGTTCCAGGCCTACAGCGACGAACAGCCTCGACGATGATACTATCATCGAGGTGTCCAATGAGACGCTGGACAGGTATATTATATTCTACTCTGAATTACAACATATTTTGTAGAAAACAAAATTCTGCTAAGGGGGCATAGGATTACTTCGAAAACGTGATAATATTCACATTCCTGCATTCGACAAACTTTCGTGCGACAAAAGTATAATAACGCTAACCAAAGCATGCCACTATAATAGGACTAGAATCAAGCTGCAATAGGGATTCAAACATCAGTTAATTATGTCTATTTACAATGGATGCAGTTATTTATCGGGTTGTTTTCGTGTACTTAGTTCTTGAGATTTGGTATAATCTTTCAAAGTAGGCCTTCTAGGATGGCTTCATTATTGTCACAAGCACAGACTTTACATCAACTGAAGTCCAGTAACATGTAGTAATAAACATAACCCATACATAGTTTGAAATTTACAAACAAATGGTATGTCAAAAACTCTACAGCAAACCCACAAAAAAAATCAATCATGTGACATATCATTCAACGAACACTTATCACTCTTATTAAGGTTGCAAGAACGATCACACAGTATGTTGCAAGAGCATTGGTAAACAGCTCTTAGAACAGCTTTACAAACGGAATGGGCACGTCTAAAAAGACACTTTAATCATTTAAGATTTTGTACAGGGTGGCGCAGAGGAAACTCATGATTTTCACGTAAGCATAGCATTTTTTATGTTTAAGATAATTTTATTTTAACTACAGCTAAATAAAGTAATAATAATTTACTTTTAAATTAATTATGGTAAATTATGTCACTCAAGTGTCGCCCTCCTTCGCGCTCGCACATCTCCAACCGCTTTTGAAAGTTGTGCATTACACGTTACCACATTTGTTGTGGTATTCTTGCGAGTTCTTGTCGAATAGCAATTTTCAGTTCCTGTAACGTACGGGGTTTGTGAGGTTCCTAAGGAAACCCCACAAAAAGAAGTCACATGCAGACAAATCTGGGGAGCGTGGAGGCCAAGGAACATCGCCGAAACGGGAAATCACATGTTCAGGAAATATTTGTCGAGCACATTCGATTGATGCTCTCGCTGTGTGAGCTGTGGCACCGTCTTGTTGGAAGTACAGTTCTCCCATGTTTACTTGTTGCCGTTGAAGTTCGAGTTAAAGAAAATTTTGTAACAAGTGAACATAACGTGCTGAAGTAACTGTTACTGCTTTTTCTTCCTCCTCAAAGAAGTAAGGATCAGTGATACCTAATTTACTAATCCGCACCACACAGTCAATTTTTCATTATGCAAGGATCGTTGGTGTAGCTCTCGTGGATTTTCGGCCGCCCAATACCTACAGTTCTGCTTGTTTACATATCCCGTTAAATGGAAGTGTGCTTCATCACTCATCATCATGACGACGTTAGGATCATCAGTAAAAATGGTCAGCATTCTCGCACAAAACGCTGTGCAGAATCACTTTCCGTTAGCTCTTGCATAATTATCTTATAGGAATGAAATTGTAAATCGAGCAGAATGCGTTGTAACGATCCACGGAACATACGCAGAGCTGGAGCTTGTCGCCTAGAGGACCGATGAGGACTATCACTTGTGGTACTTACCGCTCTTCTCACTATTTTGATATTGCCTGGTGTTCGAACGGTACGGGGAAGGCTAGGTGGCTTCCTCTTCATTGCAGATCCAGTAGTTCGAAATGCCTCAACCCATCGGAGTATCGTATTTCGATCTGGAATTGACCCTTGGCGTTCAACATTGAACTGGCGACGGAATAAACGTTGCACGGTAACTATCGAATCATTCATCAAATTCAAGCGGATAACCAAATGGAAATGGTATTTACCATTTTGGGTTGGTATTTACCAATCCGTTCAAGCGAGTGTAGTTATCAGTTTGGTTATAAGATCCGTGACGTCACGAATCAGCTGTTATATGTCATAGTTATCACCGCAAAATTGTGGTATTTACCCAACTCCAAAGTAGTTTTATATTTCTGGTTATTATTTGAAATGTGACAAGTTAGAATTTTGCCGGGTATTGGATATTGTTATTGTACTTCAGCTTCATTTTTGAGAAAAATGATACAGGCTGACTTCAGTTTTACGATAAAGTGGAGCACCTTATTAGTTATACTCATTACGGTTGTTGGGGACACTTTAAATGTAGTTCCTATGCTTAACAAAGTATCCTGTATCCATATACCACAAGAATATTAAAATATGGCCATATAAACTCACTAGATGATATCCACCTGTATACGGTTTTGCTAATTTCTTTTTTCATCATTTCTGCTGAATCAATAAATGGTTTCTTTGACATGCGGAAAAATTTAGAGAATTGAAAGTTATCATAGCTACAAAGCCATGGTTCATCATTAAAAAAAAATCTGAAAAAAACATTTCTCCCATGAATATTATGAAAGGTTTCTTATTTAAACTTTCCATCTACAGTTGTAGACGAAAAAGCACCGATTATTAAGTGATAATAAAAATAATCAGAAATTATACGCGCTTTTCTAAAATAAACAACTTGCAACAAAACCGCGGTTAAAACCAACGCGTTCAAGCGATTCGTGTAACTGACGTCATCAACCCGTGTGTCATCTTGAACCATATTATAACCGCTGCACATAACACAGAAATTTTGGTTATTCGCTTGGATTTGATTATTGTTTCGGAAAAATTGCTCGACGGCAAACACACGATGTTCATTTGTACACGGTGCCATGGCGAAAAATGCATTGCCTGTGTTCTCTGCTGGCGGTGAGGCAAGGTTAACCCACTCTCTTTGCGAAATACTATTCACTCAGAAAACATGAGTTTCCTCTGCGCCATCCTGTATAAGGGCTGCATGTAACACTTATACAACAAAAGAGTAAACCTCTTGCAGCCGCTAAAGAAGACTTGGGTCAATGCAAGATTAATTTTTTGTCAACTATAGAACCATTCTGTTACAAGATACTACTTTATTGCAACTAACTTTTGCTTATGTATTGTATAGGCGAAGTGAAGGATATATAACTAACACATTACAGTTATCTTGTTTGCTTACATATCGGCCATTGTGAATTTCATACACAGGTATATGATAAACTTCTTGACCGACATATAGGGCTATTGAATGACTAGCCCGTCGAATTTTATGTGATTATCCAACAAAGTAGGGACGCAATTTATAAAGGCTTCGGATTTGATTCATATTTTAATAATGATCAAAAATATGTCTAGATTTTTAAGATAATTTTTTTTTTAAATAATGATGTTTCGGTCCGACATTACATATATAAAATGATAAACATTTAGTGTAATTGTGTCTAAATATAAGGTTTGTGAAAGATTTAACGCAGAAAAGTTCAGATTTTTATCTTAAAAATGTAGACATACTTTTGGTCATTATTAAAATATGAATCAAATTCGAAGCCTTTAGAAATTGCGTGCCTACTTTTGTAGGATAATAACATAAAGTTTGCTGCGCGAGTCATTCAATAGCCCTACTGAAAACAATAGAGGAATATATTTATTACCCAATATGGCTGGTGGTTGTGTGTAATCATAGCATCGTTCATAGTGTATTTGGTTTATTATATATATCGGCAAAGGACACATAATTCTGACGGATCCGTTAATGCCAGATAGACATAGTTATATTTTGTTTTAGTTTTTGTTCGCTACAGATTCATTTTGTACTTGCTAAAAGCTCGTTTATTTAGAAAAGTTCATTTGCATACAAAAACAATGTTTACAAACAAGTTTTACTAGATTTACACCCGATTCTTACTTCAACCTTCATTATTGCCAACGTGTGGAGACTAACACAAAAATGTCACATGCTGATCAGCTGTTCACCATACGTCAAAGCGTGTTGGATACTCGTGAAATATGGTGTATTTAGCAACAAATGTATGCAGAGCACTTTAATTTTGTACTATAAAAGTTGTGATATTGTTGTAGATGTACAGCCTTTAACATTTTCTAACCGACAATAATTGTATAAGTGCTTCTATTTGGGGCAATTTATTGCCTAAAGTAGTAATTTTGCACACTGAAACAACAAGCCTCGGGTTTTTTGTATAAATGTTACCATGGATGCCACTATAGAACTATTTTGACTACCGCCCAAATATGGCATATAAAATAGCTGTATAAACCTTTCTGCAACAGGTCAAAATTTGTCCTATAAGATGTTGTATGACTATTCTACAAGAATGTTTTAAACACTTCATTTTAGAGCAAATATGCTGCCGAAAGCAAATTTGCATTCCACACAACATTAAGGCAGCATTTTGGTGTTCAGGCAACAAAACAGAGAGCTTTTAAGGCTGAACATTTCCTTTACCAAAAACTTACAGCACCACTTTGCTAGTTGGGCAGTTACGGTGACGTCACTGCGAGACGCAAAAAATGCTGTATTCAAATCAACTTCATTCGGTTTGCAGTTTTGAATATTTAATTGGAAATACATATAGCCCTTTCCATGAATGAAATATGTGTTTACGGTATTATATCAACCCACAGGGAAATTGAAAAAATATCTCATGAAAAACCAGAATTCATAGTAGACAATTTTGTATAAAAATATGTAGTCTTGAAGATATAATATATTTTGTGATATACTGTGTAATATGTATATTATGGACGTTGTATTATTAATGTTAAATAAATCTGAAACAAACAAACATAATCGACTGAAATGAATTTTGCGTTTGACATCGACAGTTGCAATTTCGGGTTTCTTTGTTACATCGAATATTTTTTACAGGGGTGCAGTTCCACCACCACCCCCTCTACCGCAGTGGTAATTACATCAACAGTGTACAGTTTTCTTCTCTACAAGGAATCACTTGACGCTAGAAAACTTCAGGACTACAACGACAATGAAAAACTGTAGTTACATATTTCAAGGTTATATTACATTGGCAACGTTATGACAGAGATGTTACGTTAGAAAAATGGAAGGCAAATGAAAATTGAGACTAAGAGATCAAATACAGATAATTTTCGTAAACACACTTTTTTAACAATAGAATAAAAATGCTGAACATTAAGACAAGATAATTTTCCAAATGAAAATTGAGACTAAGAGATCAAATACAGATAATTTTCGTAAACACACTTTTTTAACAATAGAATAAAAATGTTGAACATTAAGACAAGATAATTTTCCATATTTCAAGGTAAAGCATCAGCATATTTTTGATATTACAGTAATATGTCCACCACTACTTCTCTGAAATATATGGAAATAACTATAGTCTAAATTATGTACATCCGTTCATACACCAAGAACATTAAATGCATGAACATATATAATTCCACACTTTTAACTTGTTATAGTGATCTTTTACAGTATGTGTAATGTAATTAATATACGTTGAAACCAAAAAATTTTACAAAAAGATCATAAAATGTATGCATTCCTTGAAAACTCAGCCTCATGTGTATATCCTTCAAGATAAGCACCAAAATTAAAATTCCAATAGTACATTTTTGAAACCTATGAAGATTTGCCGAAATTTTAGTTGGCATATTTAAATCTAGTCGATTTGTCTGTAACTATCTGCAAGCGTTGTCGTTGTATTAGGTTTATTTTATTTGTAGGTGTATATACAAATACGTGTGTTCTCGCCCCTCTTGGAAAAGACTGATGATACCCTACTGTGTATATATATATATGTTGTTCTTAGTGTGCTCGCGGAAGGTACCACGCACGCCAGAGGGTGTTTCATAGAGGTTCGAATCGCCAGCCCAGAAATGGAACAAGATGTTCAGAAAAATTGACATTTAAATGGAACAATTTTTAATGGTCAGATCAAGAAATGCCGTTAAAAATATATGTCGCAAACTATTCCTTTTAATTTTGAATTTTATGGTTTTATCAAGCCTTGATCTAGGTTCTTTTGGTGAACATTAGGAAATATTGTAGTGTGCTGCGTATGTATTTTTAAGAGTTCTGATATACTGGTTTATGATTATACAGCAGGCTTTGTAGACGTACTTTCTTCTTTTTTGAGTAAACCATAGTTGAATAAATATTTTTGGAGTCATTAACATACTATAAACATCTCTCAAACCTCAACAGAGACATAAATAAATGGAAAACTAACACAGACAAGCATGTTTTGGTCTCAAAAAAACCTTCACACCAACAGTCCTGATGTTTTTTTTAAAATGTGTTGATTTCATAATGTACATCTTATTTTTTGTAAATACGGTAAATGAATGTTATGTCATTGCTAGTGTGTTATTACAAGAAGTCTATAATTAAGGGATTAGATTGTTTAAAGCATTTGACATACTAATATTTCTTTATGATTTCATCCCACCTATGAAACGGACCTCTATGAACTGCCAAAATATATTGGTATGCATGAAATATAGCGGGCAAGCTCTATTTATTTTATATGTTGGTATTAAACATGTCAATAACACTGTTTAGTACACGCCCTCAAGATTTTATTTCAGGCTTAGAAAATCAGATGTTACCAATACGTATATTTTGACTGGTGAAAATAGAATAGTTGGGTAATTTTTGAATAGATCTCACTTGAACTATAAAATTGGAACGTTTAAAGCAGTTTTATTTGGGGACATACTATGCTTACTTTTTTTGGCTTCGTGATAATGTAATTTATTTTGCTAAGAAAAAATGTTAATTTTCAATAGGACGAGAGTATAGATGGAATTTTTTCGGAGGGACTGTACTAAATAGCTATTCATAAACAAAAAAAATGCTTAATAATTGTGTATGTATTTTGTAAGGTTAAAATATTGTCTTATCAATATTTTTTATATGCTTTGATTGTTTATCTGGATCTAGCCGAGTTTAAAAGTCATATATTGCAAGTTACATTTTTTCATGTCAAAAATATATGAGCTGATGTCTGATCAATATATTTGCCACTTTTTATCATTTCACAATGCAGACGTAGGAACATCAAAGGATACTCGCCTTTCCGTTTTCCGAATGAAACTAGACTATATCTAAAATGCAACTTTGATTAGCTTGAAACAAAATACTACTACCAATTATAGTTTTTTATTATGCTAACTGTTGAAGAAGAAATCTCGTTATTTTTTTACGATATGGCTATGTCTATTCCAGCTCATATTTTTTTATATGTCATAATGCAGTTTGATACTGAGAAGTAGTGACCAGCATTCTAACGTCATTGTAATTTTCATTTTTTTATTATCCTTTTTTGTGCAAATATTTAGTGGGTGAAAAAGATTGTTGGTGCTACTGTGTTGTATTTTTTCAGATAGTATCTACTTATCTCGATATTTTAAAGTATTTTCTTTCAATGATATTTTAAAGAGATTATTTTTTTAATTATTGTAATATCAAAAATGTGTTGAAAATTAAATTATTGTCTTCAAGTCTTGAAAATGGTATTAATATTCCCTTCACCTGGAGTAGTGCGCGGTCGAGTAGAACCACTTAATTTTTCCTTGCTCCAAAGTCCCTGGCAGTAACTACTACAGCAGTCAGTGAATTTGACTTCGCAACATTAAGTGAACACTTAAATGGGAGTGGTAGGTATCATCAGGTGAATTGAAGGATGTATCACCAGGCACATTCATTTCCTAAATTTATTTTTTTGCCATTCAAAATACAAATCTACTTATGCTGCTTGTCATCCCACTGTTGAAGAGGGAGGGGGAGGGAGAGAAGGGTTTTTTTGCTCGATGGGGTCCTGCGGACGCTCATGTACCCCCCTGATCGACACACGTGGGAAATGATACCAAAGTGAATGTAAGTACGAGTTATCATGGCAGAAATCCGAGGAGTTGTACCAAGACGCACTCCATCCCTGATAAAGGTTTCATACTGTAAACGTGCTCAACTAGGAAAGAAGTTCTTACTATTCTCGTTTCTGTAATGAGAAAGCATGTTACCCCAACAAGATAACAACTGTGTTATGATGCAATTTTGTGCTTATCAGAATCACAGAAACATGGGGGGAGGTATGGGAGAAGTACTCTGTTCGTAATATGTAACTACTGATGAGAAAATATCTCACCGGCTCTGCGATTCTTAAGCAGAATTATCAATAGTTAAATTTCACACATACGTCACCCATAAAGTAATACAATTCTGCTGGATGGTAGTAAGATTTGCTATCACGATGCCAAAAACGCGAGGAGGTATGAAAAAGTACTATGCTCCTGATTAAAGAAAATGTAGACCATAACTAGAAAAAACTAGTACCGCGCCCGCTACTTTCGTTACTAAATTAAAGACATTTACTCCAAATTGCACCTATTTACTATGATACAATTTGCTATCAGGATCTCAGAAACGTGGGAAAAGTTTGGAGAAAACACCACGCGACGTATGTCTATTAATGTCAAAACGAAATTAAAATAAAAACACCCACGAAAACGAATCGTACCGTTTCACGTTCACACAGACGTTATTTGCAAAGTGATACAAAACTGAACTGGCTTACTACCGCATTCTTAATTTCTTATCAGGATACCAGAAATGCAAGCAGATATGGAAATGCACCCTACTCCTAATATCAAATTGAGTCCTTGCAAAATGATATTAGAACTGAATTGCAGTCATATTTGCTACCAAGATATCAGATATGCGAGAAGATATAAAAATTCTACTTCCAATATCAAACGGAATGGAAATCTGGAGTGATCACTTCTTAGAGTTTCTGCGATCCTAATACAGAATTCTCAATAGCAATGATACACAACGGGCCACTTTAGGTCTATTTAACATCACTAATACATAAAAAGAAGGTGGTAGACAAGGACCAGTCGACCGAGGCAGTACCACCCGCTAGCTTTTCCCAGGGTGTCTTATAAATGTCCGCATGTTTCCACACCTAAGCTATGCAGTCGGTTATCTACCAAAACAAAGAAATTAATGATGATGGATCCCTCGAGCACTAAAAACTCCGGCCGTAAACTCACTCCACTCTCGGAATGTCCGGGTGGAGGGTGGGCTCGAGGGAACAACATCGAAGATAAAATTTGTTTTTCCAACATCTGCGGGATCAACAGCAACATTGATGCTGTTCATCACTACCTGCAATCCAATCGTCCCGCCGTGCTTTTCTTGGCGGAGACAAAAATCTCGGAGGCTGCACCGATTAACCATCTCAACTTCCCAAACTACGAGGTGCACTCCAATCTGAGAAAGAACGGGGGAGTTGTGGCTTTTGTCCGCAGCAGTCTTTCCTGCTCCAGGGATCTTTCTTTGGAATCAGACCGGAAGGACATTCTGTGGCTTCGCCTCAACTCCAAAACATCACCCAAATTTATTTGCTGCCTTTATCGCTCTCCCTCGAACCATAACTGGGATGACCTACTCGAATACCTCGCCGTCCAGATCGACTTCCTGAACATCAATCACCCCGCTTCAGAGGTAGTTCTTCTCGGTGATTTCAATGCCCATAATGAGCTTTGGTTGGGCTCAAATAAGACCGATGCAGCAGGTCGTGCAGTCGAAGCGTTCGCTCTTACTCAAGGGCTGACCCAGCTGGTGGCTAGCCCTACTTTTTTTCCCCGCGTCTCGTCACACGCCAGTAGCCTGCTGGATCTCTTTCTGACCACGCATCCTGCCCCTTACAGCACTGCTGTCCTGTCCCCCCTGGGTAACTCAGATCACGGTGTTGTGGAGGTTAGGTTTCGGTCAGAAGCCGCTGTGGCAGCAGAAACTCGCACAGGCCGCAAAACTTGGCATTACGGACATGCCGACTGGGAGGGGCTCAGAGACTTCTTCTCTAGCTTTCCTTGGAGAGATGTCTGTTTCACTGACGCGGATGCGTCGACTGTCTGTTCTTCAATAACCGAAATTATCCACGTCGGAATGGAGGAATACATCCCTCACACAGTGAAAGTTCCTAAACCAGGGTCCAACGGCTGGTTCAACAAATCGTGTGACACTGCTCGCCAGCAGAAGATCAAGGCCCACAGAACCTACTTACAAAACCCCACTGTAGAGAACAGACAAGCCGACGTCGAGTCCAGAAACAAATATAGCGAAGCGGTTCGCAATGCCAAAACCCAGCATGATATAAAAGTTAGGCACAGGGTAATGTCGCAGCGCAATGGCAGTCGGTCTTTCTGGACGCTGGCCAAGCAGATTGAAAAGAACTTCTCACACAGTAGCCTTCCACCACTTACGTGTCAGGATGGAACTATTGTATTCGACTCAAAGGCCAAGGCGGAAGTGCTAGCCAAGATCTTTGCTGCCAACTCCACCATGGACGTCCCCACCAACGCCCAAGTGCCGTCAATTCAAAGGGTTCCCCACACTATGCGGGAGGTAACATTCAGGCATAAGACCGCAAGACGAGTGCTCTTGTCGCTCGACATCAACAAAGCTTCTGGTCCGGACTTGATTCCTGCCATTGTACTGAAGAGATGTGCAGCTGAGCTTGCTCCAGTTCTTTCGCGTCTCTTCCAGATATCTTATGAATCCGGCACCTTCCCAGAAAACTGGAAATTTGCTCATGTACAGCCCATCCCAAAAAAAGGATCTAAAACCGACCCTTACAACTACAGGCCTATAGCTCTGCTTTCTGTTATAAGTAAAGTGATGGAGAGGTGCATAAATCGCGAGCTTCTGGACTACCTCGAACGTCGCAGCTTGATTAGCGACAGGCAGTACGGTTTCCGGCACCAACGATCCACAGGGGACCTCCTAGCTTACGTCACGCAACTGTGGAGTAAACTCATCCAGTCTCATGGTGAGGCTCATGTCGTTGCTCTTGACATCACGAAAGCGTTCGATCAGCTGTGGCACGCTGCCCTCTTGAGCAAGCTTCCATCCTACGGCCTCCCAGAAAAGCTTTGCAGATGGGTGGCTGACTTTATCTCTGGCCGCAAGATATCCGTCGTAATTGACGGATTCTCCTCTTCATCCCACAACGTGAACGCGGGTGTTCCCCAGGGATCGGTCTTGGCTCCAACACTGTTTCTCTTACATATCAACGACCTCCTTTCCTGCACGATCAACCCAATCCACAGCTTCGCTGATGACAGCACTCTACATGCAGGAATTCAGAGTGACAAGCCGAGATCTGCCGCTGAGCTGGAAAAAATAAGACTAGCGACGACTTCTTCTCTGACAAGAGACCTGGAGGCTATCACTGCTTGGGGACGCAACAATCTTGTACAGTTCAATGCTTCCAAAACACAGTACTGTACTTTGACGAACAAAAAGCGTCCTAGCGCTCATACAGTTTCGATGGATGGTCAAGTTCTACCAAAGAGCCATTCATTTCGGCTGGTCGGAGTCCAGATCACCGATGACCTGATCTGGCACGAACACATCTCTTCAATAGCTGCAGCTGCTGGGAGGAAGCTGGGCTATTTGTTTAGGGCTAAGAAGTACTTTTCTCCGCATGACCTTCTCACTCTATACAAGGCCCAGATAAGGCCTAGCCTCGAGTATTGCTCACACATTTGGGGTGCTGCCGCCCCGACTACATTGTCCATGCTCGATGCTGTCCAGAGGAGGGCGGTCCGACTGATCGATGACTCTTCTCTAACAGACAGTCTCGGGACTCTTTCGCACCGGCGGGCCGTCGGCGATCTAGCTCTTTTCTATCGCTACACCAACGGGCTTTGCTCCTCAGAGCTCTCTTCCATGATGCCGCCGCGCGATGTGCCTGAAAGACAGACCCGCCTGACTTCGGCGTCCCATCCTAACCGTGTCAAACTTCGTACATCCAGAACTGGCCGATACGACCGCTCCTTTATCCCGAGGGTGTCTAGATTGTGGAACAAACTACGGGAGGAAGCTTTTCCCAGTTCTACTAACCTTAGGCAGTTCAAAAATCGTATTAACAAAATTTCTTTGGGATCATCATAGCAGCCGCGGTGTTCCGGCATTTAGGCTTCTGCCTGCGCGGCTGTTTCGATATAAAAAAAAAAAAAAAAAAAAAAAAAAAAATCACTATCGTGCTAGTCGTATATTAAATTGGTATAAATATTGAATTTCTGATGATAATACCTCTCGTTGTTTCTGTGATCCTGACTGAATATTTACGCTGATGCTTCATGCAAAATGCCACGGAAATGGATGGTAGTAAGGTTTTGCTACCAAGACAGCAGACACGCGAAGAGATATGAATTAATTACGTTGCTCCTGATAACTCGGACAACTAAACACTGCCTAACCAGGAAAGACAAGTACTCTGATCTGCCATTTTCGTTCCTAGAGACTTCATGAACAAGGAACAAAAAATGCCCAACCTCCATGACACATTCACACAAATGGTTCTTGCAAAATTATATAGACTTGCATGGCAGTAAGATTTGTTAGCAGGATGTCAGACATGCAAGGAAGTATAAAAATAGCATTCTGCGATCCTGATACAGAACTCTCAATAACGAAATATCCTACATTCGCACCGACATTACGAGCAAAATGATACAAAGTTATCAGGCTAGTCGTATATCAAATTGGTATAAATATTGAATTTCTGATAATACCTCTCGTTGTTTCTGGAATCCTGATACAGAATGTTCAATGACTGAATATTTACGATAATGCTGCATGCAAAATGCCATGGAAATGGGCGGTAGTAACATCTGCTACCAGGACAGCAGAGACGCGAAGAGGTATGAAATAAGTACTTTGCCCCTAATTAATGATAATTCGGACTACTAAACAGTGCCTAACCAGGAAAGACGAGTACTCTGATCCACCATTTTCGTTCCTAAAGGCTTCCTACTATCAAAATGGAATGAAAACCAAATTACTGGCATAAACACCTCTCGCCGTTTCTGGGATCCCGATACAGCATTTATAGTGGCTGAATCGCACATTAACACGAGCTTCTTACAAAGTGATTAAGAGTTGCTATCAGGATACAGAATTGTCATTCTTAATGGCACATGCACACAGGTGCAAATTGATGTAAAACAGAATGGTAATATTTGCTATCAGGATATCAGAAATGTAGGAGGTACGGAAAGGGCATTCTGCGTCTAATATCAAAAAATCTCATCATTTCTGCGTTGCTGATACAGAATTGCCAATACGTGAATATCGTACCACACCGACTTTACGTGTAAAGCGATACAAAGCTATATTTTTAATGTGATTTGCTATCAAGATAGCAGAAACGCGAGGAGGTATGCAAAACCTAGTCTGTTCCTGATTAAAAACTCAGACTGAAACATGTGCCTGACTAGGAAAGAGTAGTACTCCGATTACTCCGATTAGTCATTTTTGTTCCTAAAGGCTTTATTAATAATATAAGAAAAGTATATAGATCAGCCATTTTTTATGGGAATACCTCATTGATCCTGATGAAAAAAACGCTTATTCTCAATGTCACATCCACACAGAGGGTTCCTGCAAAGTTATATACAACTGGATGACAGAAAGATTTGTTACCAGGATATCAGACATGCGAGGAGGTATGAAAAAAGCCATTTTGCCTCCAATATCAAACGAAATGGAAGTCTGGGGTGATCACTTCTTCGCGTTTCTGGGATCCTGATAGAGAACTCTCAATAACGAAATATCCTACATTCGCACCGACTTTACGTGCAAAATTATACAAAGTATATGTATCAAATTGTTATAAATATTGAATTTCTGATAATACCTCCCGTTGTTTCTGGGATACTGATACAGAAGGTTCAATGACTGAATGTTTACGCTAATGCTGCATGCAAGGCCATGGAAATGGCCGACCGTAAGATCTGCTAGCAGGATAGCAGAGACGCGAAGAGGTATGAAATAAGTACTTTGCCCCTGATTAATGATAATTCGGACTACTAAACACTGCCTAACCAGGAAAGACGTGTACTCTGATCCACCATTTTCGTTCCTACTATCAAAATGGAATGAAAACCAAATTACTGGCATAAACACCTCTCGCCGTTTCTGGGATCCCGATACTGCATTTATAGTGGCTGAATCGCACATTAACACGAGCTTCTTACAAAGTGATTAAGAGTTGCTATCAGGATAGCAGAAATACGAAGAGGTATAGAAATGTACTTTGCTACTAATATCAAATTGATGTGAATATTGTATCACTGATGAGAACACCTCTCGTTGTTTCTGCGATCCGGATACAGAATTGCCATTCTTAATGGCACATGCACACAGGTGCAAATTGATGTAAAACGGAATGGTAAGATTTGCTATCAGAATATCAGAAATGTGAGGAGGTACGGCTAGGGCATTCTGCTTCTAATATCAAAAACTCTTCTCAGCATTACTGCGATCCTGATACAGAATTACCAATAGCTGAATATCGTACCACACCTAATTTACGTGTAAAGCGATACGAAACTATATTATTAATGAGATTTGCTATCAAGATAGCAGAAGCGCGAGGAGGTATGCAAAACGTAGTCCGTTCCTGATTAAAAACTCGGACTGAAACATGTTCCTGACTAAGAAAGAGAAGTACTCCAATTCGCCATTTTCGTTCCTAAAGACTTTATAAATAAGGAAAGAAAAGTACATAGATCAGCCATTTTTATGGGAATACCTCTTTGATCCTGATAAAAAATGCTCATTCTCAATGGCACATCCACACAGACGGTTCTTGCAAAATTATATACAACTGGATGACAAAAAGATTTGTTACCGGGATATCAGACATGCGAGGAGGTATGAAAAAAGGCATTCTGCCTCCAATATCAAACGGAATGGAAGTCTGGGGTGATCACTTCTTCGCGTTTCTGGGATCCTGATACAGAACTCTCAATAACGAAATATCCTACATTCGCACCGACTTTACGAGCAAAATTATACAAAGTATATGTATCAAATTGGTATAAATATTGAATTTCTGATAATACCTCCCGTTGTTTCTGGGATACTGATACAGCATGTTCAATGACTATTTACGCTAATGCTGCATGCAAAATGCTATGGAAATGGGCGGAAGTAAGATCTGCTACCAGGACAGCAGAGACGCGGAAAGGTATGAAATAAGTACTTTGCTCCTGATTAATGTTAATTCAGACTACTAAACACTGCCTAACCCGGAAAGACAAGTACTCTGAGCCGCCATTGTCGTTCCTAAAGACTTCCTACTATCAAAATGGAATGAAAACCAAATTACTGTCATAAACACCTCTCGTCGTTTCTGGGATCCCGATACAGCATTTATAGTGGCCGAATCGCATAATTACATGAGCGTCTTACAAAGTGATCTCAGGACTTGCTATCAGGATAGCGGAAACACGAGGAGGTATAGAATTGTACTTTGCTCCTAATATCAAATTGATGTAAATATTGTACCACTGATGAGAACACCTCTCGTTGTTTCTGCGATCCTGATACAGAATTGTCAATCTTAATGGCACATGAACACAGGTGCAAAGTGATGTAAAACTGAATGGTAAGATTTGCTATTAGGATATCAGAAATGTGAGGAGGTACGGAAAGGGCATTCTGCACCTAATATCAAAAAATCTCATTTTCATTGATCCTGATAAAAAACGCTTATTCTCAATGTCATATGCACACAGACGGTTCTTGCAAAATTATATACAACTGGATGACAGAAAGATTTGTTACCAGGATATCAGACATGCGAGGATGTATGAAAATGGCATTCTGCTTCCAATATCAAACGGAATGGAAGTCTGGAGTGATAATTTCTTAGCGTTTCTGCAATCCTGATACAGAACTCTCAAAACGAAATATCCTACATTCGCACCGACGTTACGTGCAAAATGATACCAAGTTAGCAGGCTAGTCATATATCAAATTGGTATAAATATTGAATTTCTAATACCTTTCGTTGTTTCTGAGATCCTGATACAGAATGTTCAATGACTGAATATTTACGCTAATGCTGCATGCAAGGCCATGGAAATGGGCGGTAGTAAGATCTGCTACCAGGTTAGCAGAGACGCGAAGAGGTGTGAAATAAGTACTTTGTCGCTGATTAATGATAGCTCGGACTTCTAAACACTGCCTAACAAGGAAAGGAAATTACTTCGATCCGCCTTTTTGATGGAATACCTCGTTGATCCCGATAAAAAATTTCAATCTCAATGGCACATTCACACAGACGGCGATCTGATACCTGAATTCCCAATAGCGCAAAGCAGTAACACCTACCATGATTATAGACACGTGGGGAGGTATACAGAAAGTACACTACTCCTACTATCAAAATGGAATGAAAGCCAATTACTTTCATACACAGCATTCGTTGCTTCTGCAATCCCGATACAGCATTTTTAGTGTCTGAAGTCGCACAAAGTAATAAAGTCTTGCTATCAGGATAGCAGAAACACGAGGAGGTAAAGAAATGTACTCTGCCCCTAATATAAAATTGAGGTAAATCAGAGAACTAATGAGAACAACTTTCGTTGTTTCTGCGAGCCTGATACAGATTTCTCAATCTTAATGGCACACGCACACAGGTGGTTCTTTTAAAATGATATAAAACTGCAGTTTTGCTACCAGGATATCAGAAATGTGAGGAGATATGGAAAGGGCATTTTGCTTATGTCAAAAAATCTCATCGTTTCTGCGATCCTGCTGGATATCAATAGCTGAATATCGCACCTCAGTGACGTTACGTGCAAAATGATACAAAGCCATATTAGTGGGATTTGCTATCAACACAGCAGAATCGCGAGGAGGTTTGCAAAACATTATCGATTAAAAACTCAGACTGATACAAGCGCCTATCTAGAAAAGAGAACTACACCAATCCGCCATTTTCGGTCCTGTGAAAAACAGTTTACTCCTACCAGGATGAGAACGTGGGTGGGCGGTCGAAGAACTCCAGCGAATACCAAATTGCAATAGAATTCAAATGACTGACAACCTCTCACCGTTTTTGCGATCTTGATAAAGAATTTTCATGCAAAATGGATAATAGATTTGCTATCAGGATAGCAAGCAAGTGAAGAGGTATGGTAATTTGCTCCTATTTCTGCTTAAACTACCAAACATAGCCTAAGCGGAAAAGATAAGTTCCCTTATCCGCCATTTTAGGTCCTAAATATGCTTACTTTGATATTTAAGAATTTGATGATTCTGCAAATGCAATAAAGTCTGCACCGATCCTGTAAAAGGCTCATGAATAATAAGTTAAGGAAAGGGGGGGTTATGGGAATAATTAAACAACGATATTGAAAAAAATTATGTGTAAATTTTATTTTCAGACATCATATCTTTGAAGTTGAATATCCACGAACGAGTTGAAAGAAACATACATTCACAAATAAAATGTTACTATACAAACTAAAATATTTCTACTAGTAAGATGCCATAACAAAAAAGGCTACTAAAATTATGGTATCTACAGGAAACAAAATAAGACAATTTGTAATACAAGGTTTGCTAATTTCATACGCGTCTAGGTTAAGAAATAATTATAAATACAAAATATCTAAATTTGGCGAATGACGTCTCAAATTTTATGAACAGCTATAGTACTATGGGATCCAATCCCGGGATTACCACTTGCCAGAATTGATAGGCCTGAAAAAGAAACAGACGAAAAGAACAACTAAACCAGGCATTACAGAAACAAATTTTGCCTACATCAGTTCAGGTATGTCAGAACCTAGAAGAGTGTCACAAGAAGTGGAACTTTTTAAAAATGGAGGCCAACATGGACCTAATCTGCAACCAGCATGATATTTTATGCACCATACCACCAACCAGTGTTGAAGCTGAAAAATGTTTCTCAGCAGCCGGTTTAATATTAACCAAGTTCCATTCATCTGTTAGGTAATTTAATTTTTTTAGGTATTTTCTAAGAGAGAATAAATAAAGGTCGTGAATAGCATGTAATGTTTGTATTTTATATTTTTATTTTTTGATTTCCATATTTATAAGAAAAAGTATTTTATTTACCGTTGTTTATTTTTTTTTTTGAAGTACTTGTTTATGTTGTTCACTTGTTTACTAGAAAATGTATTTTAAGTTTGCTATAGCCAATAAAAGTTAACAAAAATATGTTTAATAATTAATTTTAAATCCAGGGATTACAAGAATGATAATCCCGAAACCCCGGGATTCGAATATCTTACGAGATTGGATCCCCTAGCTAGTACGACGAATGAGTAACATTTTTCCCAAATTTAACAATGTTTTGATAGAAAAAGGGCACAATACAAGAAGCTATTAAACGAGTACCAATTCTTCTATTTCCAAGGAGGTCTATTGTGTTTTTGAGCATTTTTGGTGTAGCGAACCACCAGTGGTTCCGGACCACTGCTGTCGACTATTAAAACCCTCTTTGTCACAAAACATTATGGAAAAATAATTAATTTATCGACCCTACTAGCCTAGCTGAGATTTCGTGCGAAAATTCAAATTAAAACCTTACAAATTATCAGGTGATCTAAACTACTTCTTGGACTTCTTTGACTTGTGCCTATCCGAGATGTCGTTATCTTTGTTACGTTTTTTGTCGCTGGAGTGAGATGAAGAGCTCTTGTGGCGATCCTTATCTCGAGACGATGAATGATGATTCGAGCTGCTACTTGAAGATTTATGTTTTGTCGAGGATGATGAGTGTTTGTCCTTATCTCGACTACTGTAAAACAAAATAATTATTTGCTTAAATTTCTAAACTGAATAAATAGATTTCAATAAGATCAAAGAACAGGTGGTTGATGTTCGCCAATTGATTGACCATTCTTATTTTCATAAAAAGACAAACTTTCACACAAGCTCTGAATCAAATAGAAACAACAGTAGTGGTCCTTCACATTATTTTTCTATTGAATCCTAAAATACATAGGATAGGGCTATGTATGGAATAGTACACCAGGCAGATGGCTTTAAACTATTTTGTGGAAATCTGCCACAATTTTACATAGTCAATTTCAATGATGCAGAGTAGAGTTGACTCGTTTAACGCACTATATATCAGCAAAGTCGAGGAGGACATAACCAAATCTTATATTTTTATGATTCAATGGAAATCAACATTTCAATACTATATTAAGATTTCTTCTCAAGAGACGCGAGGACGGATGCAAAAGTTCTCTGCACCTGTTTAAACACTCAGACTGAACGCCATGATGTATGGAAATGTACTCTGCTCTTAATACCAAAATGAGATAAATACTGAATTACTGAAGAGAATACCTTTCACTCTTTCTGTCATTCTGATACAAAATTCTCAATGTCACATTCACACAGGTGATACTTGCAAAATGACATACTGGATGGCAGTAAGATTTGCTACCAGGATTCAGACATGCGAGGAGGTATGCAGATGGTAGTCTGCTTCCAATATCAAATGGAATTGAAGTCTGGAGTGATCACTCCTCAGCGTCTCTACAATTCGCACCGACGTTACATGCGACATTTCGTATCATTATACAAAACGATCAGGCTAGTCGAATATCGAATTGGTATAAATACTGAATTTCTGATTATAATACCTCTCGTTGTTTCTGTGGTCCTGATACAAAATGTTTAATGATTGAATAGTCACGCTGATGCTGCTTGCAAATTGCCACGGAACTGGATGATAGTAAGATTTGCTATCAAGATAGCAGAGACGCGAAGAGGTATGAAGCAAGTACTTTGCTCCTGTTTAATTAAAACAAATTGATAACTACACAAGCTAATTTATTTCATGCACATTCCGTAGAATAACATATTATGTAATATCCCCAGTACGACGTTTAAACCAGGGTAATTTTGAAATTGAAATAATCCATAATTTTTCGCGTAAGTGATGGAAAATGACTTCATCAAAAAAAATTGTTTTCCAGACAACTACCAACAAGTGACAACAACTTTTAATCTCAATCTTTTAATTTGGAATCCATCTCTCTAATTTTATTCATATTGTGTCTCAACCCTTGTTTGGTAATACTTATATCACCTGTCATACCTATTATGCCTATCTTTATCCTTAGAGCTCGAATGGTGCTTATCCTTAGATGATGAGGAGGAATGCTTTCCGCTAGAATGCCGGTCCTTATCTTTGCTGCTACTACTGGAATGATGCTTGTTCTTGTCCTTGCTGCTGATGTGCGAGGACGAGTGCTTGCCGCTTCCTTTGTCCTTAGATGACATCTTGCCCTTCCCCCTTCGGCCGCCGTCGTCCTCTTCATCGAACCGGGTCACTTGGCGGTCCTCCTCCGCTGCCTCTCGTTCCAAATCTGACCAGTCTTTGCCCGATTCCTCGTCGCTACCTGTAATCGAAACAAACGAATAATTCAAGTGTTTTGTTATTTTTTTAATAGGAATTATCTTCTATAACCACTCTCAGGCAGCTCGAGCTTGAGATTCTGGCATTGCTTAAAGATGGTTCAAAATAAATTAAAAAATAGTATAGATTTTAGGATGATAATACAGCATGAGATATATGAATTTTATATACTTGAGAATGCATCATGTAGATGTTCTCCATTTCGTTGGATATATTATGATAGTGATTACTTCATAAATATCCTTGCTGCTTCACTAAAGTGTCATGAACTACTATTGCCGATGATCTGAAAATCTACGCCAAAATTACAAATTTAAAGAACAGTATTTCTAGAAGTATCTAGATCCTCACACAGCCGGTTGACAACATTTTTATCTTCTTAAACATTTCCAAGCGTAAAGTTTATTCTTATGGTCACAAAAAGAACTCAATTATCTTTGATTACCATATAAATAATGCGGTTTTGTAGAGAACAACAGAGACTAAAGACCTTGGTGTAACATATTTCTGCAGGTTGCACTTTTCTGTCCATGAACGCGTCACTTATGAAGCTACCCGGATTAGGTTTCATAATGCGTAACTGCCCATCTTTTTACAACGAAACTAAAAACTTTTTTATTTTGTTCGTGTGACCAAAACTTGAGTATGCTTCCTTGGATATGGATATGGAATCATTTCATGAATATTATATAAATATTAAAAAAAAATCTAAAATATTTTACTTATAAAATTGATAGTGCATATCCAGAAGGGGGGTCAGTCAATTTATACTGCTGCAACGTTTCAACCTAGCGTCTCTACAATTAAAATGTCCCATTGCTGGCCTGACATTCCTCCATAAGCTGAATTTTTGTATAGCGCGTTTAAATTCGCGAAGAACTCTAACTTTCTACTACAGTACATCCCGTACAAACTTATTTTACACTCCGTTATATGCACTAATTATAATTCCATAGCAGTTTTGACATTAATTTTGATTTTACCAGTAAAATATTGTCAAATTGTCAGGGACTATTACAATAGCTAATTTTAAATGTTGGTTTTATGTGGTTTTGGTATGCATAATATTAGTAAAGTTACCATTACATTGCTCTGTAATTCGATTAGTCTGTTGGACAATTATGTATAAATAAATAAATAAATATATGCATGGAGTGCATGCATGTTGCTTGTTGCATAACTCACTGAAGCATATCAGGTTTAATTTTGCTTACTTAGCGACATATATTTTTTCAAATCTGCGGTTTTTTCAGAGCTTACAATCTACTGTTCACGATACTTCATCACGATTGGACGTCTATTGATGTGAACAGCTGATCAGCAAGTGACATCTTTGTATTAAATTTTGTTGGCAACATCGCAACAATTAATCTCATAAAACTCAGGACCATATTGTTTACACCAAACAATGACTTGACTGATTGAATTGAAATATAGTAATGATCATTGACAGCCATAATATTAGGAGGATCGTTTTTTTTTGTGCGTCGCATCTTTTGAAAATAAGAGCGTTTCCAAAGAAAATTTGGTGATAATGCATAGCCACCGCGATCACCAGATTCAGGGGCTCTTCCAGTCGGGTGACCCAAGATCACAGTTAACGTTAATGCTCCCGGAAATATCGATGACGAGATAAACTATCCGTTCCGAAATAAAATTGAATTAATGCATTTGTAGTAATTTTTAATTTATTTGGAAGCTCTAAATCTACACTGCACAAACTTTTGACTGCAGCAACAAACACTCCATGGTTGTTATTTGTTATACATAAATGAACAGTTTGAATTATGTGTTTAAACCAAAAGATCTGTATGCTCAGAATATTAAGAAAGGTCTATTGTTTGAGAGCAGTAACTAAAAACGGTGGCTTGCAAGAGGTTCTGAATTATTGGTAGACAGAGAACAAAGCAACTCTGAATCTGTTTAGACCTGGCAACAGTTAATTGAGAATGTCAGTTTAAAATAACGATTCAATTACCTTATTGTGGGACTTTAAGTTTGTTGCTCAATATAGGCGGATTTAAAAACTAGATAGTAAATATTACTAAAAGAAAGAATAAATGAGGGTAAACATACCAAGCTCCTCTGAGGCATCATCATCATCTTCAGTATCACCTTCAGAATATTCTGAATCTTCCTCACTCCATTCCGAACCTTCATCCTCCACATCAGTTGGTTGATATCTGGAACAGACCAAAGTTAAGAACTCCGTTTTTGTGGTAATACTCGCCGTGAACATTTACCGTTTCACTATCGTAATTTTCATGAAAAAATAAGAGTGTACTTCCTACGATCCCAATAAAATTCCCAAGACTCTTACACGGATACCTCCTTTCAATGGACATTCTCTTAAACGAACGCGCCCACGAGAAAATGTTCTAACCGTACAAAAAACAAAATATTAAGAAACGCTTTGTCTTATTTTTTTCTGTTGAGAGTATCGCTATTGCATTTCTCGAGTAAACTGGGATTCACCGACTTTAATCTTTCGGTACAAACGCAGCCTTGGTGGTGAATCTCTGCCCGGCATGAATTAGGGACTTCCCCGAGCTGGTTCTTATTCTTTGAGTACACACACCGATTAAATTTCCATTCATATTAGTCTGACGCCTAGGCGATAAAGACACATTCGTTGTAGAAATGGCTCCAAATTATGACAGTGGTTGCAAGACCCAGATTGGAAAATGGTTAAAAAAAAGAAAATTTTGTAATTTTTGGACAATGAGGGATCTCATCCAAAAGTCATTCGCTTAAATATTATAAAAATCTTATTTTTCCCCTAATTGTACATCAGCTTGTCAATCACTTGACCACTGCTAGTAAACATTGAAACTGCTGGACAGCTTTTGAGTAAATAAAGAAAATTACGTCATTGGATACAATTTATTTGGCAAAAACCACTTGGGACCAAGCAGCCAAAGCAACAGTGCAAAATTGCTTCTGCAGAGCAGGATTTAAGCATAAAAATATGCAAAGTGAAGACCAGTAGAATGAGGCTGATACACCTGACCCAGAAGATTACTTACCACTTAATGTATTATCAGATAAGAATTTATTGAAATTGTCTGATAATGAAAACCCTTATGATTTTTTGAATTTAGATGAAGGTTTGTATGTTGAAAATTCAGGTTCAGGCCAAGAAATTGAAATCCAGCTGAAATATAAGAACTTTCAGAAGATTCTGATGCATTTTTAAAAAAATTCCTGATATGGTTAGAAAAATGGCATAATCTAGAGAATAATAATGGACACCTGACACCAGAAACGTATACAGCTCTATATCAAAGCACGCTGACTCTACTTAATATAATTGAATATTCATTTAATCAATTTGACATTAAGTATGTATTGCCTGGAAAATTCACCACTGATAATTTAGAAAAACGATTTGGCAATTATAGACAAAAGTCTATAAATAAAAATACATAAAAATGTGGCTGCAATTACAATGTGTCATATGATGAAATTTTAAATGCTGAAAAGATAATACGGCTGAAGCATATTTTCAATGAAAAGAAATCGTCATTTTCTTTAGCAGAAATTAAAACAAGGTTCCAAAACTGCTTAGAAACTCAAGAAAATTTTGATTTCTTGGATACCAAACAAAATCCTGAAGTTTTGGATATATTCAATGAAGTATTTGAGACAAATTACTTAGCCAATTGTGACATAGAGGATAGTACTAAGACTTATATATCTGGATATGCTTCACACGCTATCTCTAAAAACCTAAACTGCGAGAGATGCAAATCGTTAATAGTTAAAGAAAAAGGTTCATTAACAACAAATGTTTATTTTGATCATTTGCAAAGAGGAGGACTGTCAATTCCAACCAGTTATGTACCAATCATATTCTACCATATGTATGCCATTTTTGAATCTATTATTAATGTAGATAGATTGGAAATTTTCTTCTTGAAAAGCAATAATCAAAAATTTATTTTGTGTCAGTTAACCTTGCTCAGCATTCAGTCTGACTTTATATACAGTGAATTTTCTTTAACTTGCATCTGTGGCCGCAATTATGCAGATATTTTATCTAAGCTTTTGTCTATTTTTTCAAACATAATTTTGAATGATTATATAAAATTGAAAAATAACAGTAAAACTGAAAGTAAATGTATTAAAAACAAACAGGTAACTAAACATTTCCAAGCTCGGCCTGTTGGAACACAGTGTGCTGACACCAAAAAACGTAAACTAAATACTTTTAATTAGGTTAACTGCATTAGCGACTCATATATATCACGATTATTTCGTATTTTTAAATTTTTTAGAGCTATTTCATATTCAGACGATTTGTATCGAATCGAACTGTCCTCTTTTCCAAAATTAAATTTAGTTCTTGAACGTTACACGGACACGGAGCACACAGCCGCTGGCGGCCGACGTTCACAGGTAGCACTACCATGCCGTCCGAGCGCGGTGTTGCCTTTCTTTCATCACGGCTCGTAGTTGACGTAGGCTGTGTGCTTAGTTTGGCATGTCATAGAGTAATTGAGTTTATACAGGGTAATACATATTATTATTTTTTCTGTCTAGACGATATATGATACATAGCATTTTTCTGGAAAATAGGCTTGAAAAATAGAGTGCTTTAGCGTTCCACCCATTGGCGATAACCCACTTGTCGTTCTGGTTTCCTTGACATTGTGCAATATCAGTAACTACTATACTGATTCTAACAGAGGTTGGAATGGATTATTGTTCGGTCACAAGTTTGAAAATGAGTGTAAGAGCGCTAAACTTAGTAACCAGAAAAGAAAGCAGATTTTCCAAACTGTGTGCTTACATCCTAAACGCTTTTTCAGTTTAGATGAAAACAATCAAACTTTGTTTTTTGAATGTTCGTATTTATTTTCCAGGGAACATGAATAATGTAGACTGAAGTAGAGTAGAGTATAAAATTAAATAAAGAAATGGAACAGCACATCTATTTTCTCGCAATATACTTGAACGATCTACTTTGGAAATGTTTGGCAATAATCTTTGACATAGAATGCAAAACTAAATAACAAATTTGTATCGTATTTTCTTCTTTTTGGTACTACCCAGTCATGAATCACAAAAGTTTAGTTGTTCAATAAAAAGAGTTCCAGCATGATGTAACTTAAAACTAACAACTTTTTATGAGAGCATAAAAGAACTGTGGGCCTTTGGAGTCACTATCGAATGATCTTATAATCCTCCATGTTTGTCTAGTCGCAAATGAAACCTCATAAGCTAATAGTGTCTACTGATGACATTCCGCCAATCACGGTGGCTTTTTTAAACAAATACATAAGTTATTCTTTGCGTTTAGCGGTGGTACAACTTAAGCGACGATGTCTCAAATTCCAGATATGTTAGAATAACAATAGTCGCCTTTACATCATTAGCGGAGCATCGAAATATTAGCACCCCACTTCCTGCTAGTTTCGCAACACGTAAAACAATCCAGTGTTCTGCGGTCAACTACCTTCAGGTGACCTTCATTCCTGGATGTTTACCTTCCTCCTCACTAGCTGCTATATCACAGACATCACAGTTTAACTTCATGTAAGATGTAATTTCAGACACCTCGCCAAAGACGGTTTTAATGACGCAGTGACGCTACTCTTCTATAGTCCATATCATTTCTCCACTTCTTGCTTAACTACCTTAGGCGCTAATGCGACGTTGCAGTTCAGTATTTTGGGAGGCCAGAAGATGAATGTATGTGCAACTTCGATTGCAGATTTTTGTACATACATATTATATCATACATATGTATGTACATACTTTATATATGTATATCTAAAGATAAACTGTTTTTCTTAAGTTTAAAGTTGGTTTATTTTAAAAACACTGTACGTGCGCGTGTTAAATGTCCCGGTTTCTTTAATATATTGTTTTCATTAAAAACACGATTTTTGTTGTGTTTCTTTTATATGGACACCCCTCTTGAACGGACACTTTCAGTGGGTCCCGTTGGTGTCCGTCCAGGCGAGATTTCACTGAAATTTCACTAGAAATGCAGTATTGAAAAATACTCACGGTTCATCCTCATCTTCACTCTCCTCTTCTTCTGCAGCCTCGGCATCAGATTCTGGGTCCAAGAACGTCCAGCCTCCACTTTCAAAGAATCCTTCAGGGTCGTCAGTAATAGTCTTCATGATTTTCGCCCAATTCAGAGACTGTACGCCTTCCGAATATCTGAAACAAATAGATAATTTTAAACACGCGCACTTCCAATTTCTTATGTATTTTGTATATACTTCAGACGTTGACGTAAATGGCCGGGCAGTGCTGTTAATATTGTCATTTTAACATCTTTGTTCGACCATTTACGATAATGATTAAGATGGGATATATGACAAACGAGTGAAAAATATTCAACAATATCAGCAGTAATAAAAATAAAAAAACAATTAGGGCAAAACCGGAATCCTGGAGTTGACTGCAAACTTCTTGCTTCTTTAATATATACGCTTTTAGATTACTCAACGTTTTTTTGTTGTTGTTGTTTAAGATTTATTTAGCATTAATGCTACAATGTCAATTTTTTATAATGATTCGGTTACATATTTTTCTTCAATCCATTTTCTGTAATTTTACATTCTTGTCTATTGAAATTAAAATTACGTCACTATGTATTTTGATTATTCATAAAGTGATTTTTTAATTTCACCTTAAATGTTTTTAAAGGACGATTTGTTAACATTGCATTTATTTTTTACAATCACACTTCAAATCGACAACACGAATCAGAATACCGGTTTGAACCGTAAATTAACTCAAATACCAGTGCCTTTATAAGCAATAAAAAAACAACCACACACTATTTGTTACATTCCACTGTATCATTTGCCGCTGTTTGATGGAAATCTATGGCATTTCCCAGTAAACGATATCACTGAATACATATTCTACCTGAAGATAGCCAATCTAAAACTAATATGCGCATACGAAAAATTAGTTGAGATGAAATGAGATACCGTAGTGTCCTCTATGAAAATTTGTAACGACTATCTTTCTCCTCTCCATAGTAACTACAAATCTGCTTTGAAAAGGTTAGTGACTCATAGATGGTACTGTGGCCAACTATGTGACCATAAAGCTTCACCCCGACCTATAAGACACTATCCTTTACCATGTGAATTTCTAATTATGGCAGAGAGGAGAAGCATAGTTGTCACAAATTCTCATAGATAACGTTACGGAATCTCGTTTCATCTGGGATAACGCAGAATTAGTATAACATTGGCTGCTTTCAGGTAGAATACGTTAATCAATGACGACATTAACAGCGCGTTTGTACTCGTATAACGTTTTAATCAACAATGACCAACATGACTGGGCATTAACGTCATTGAGTGGTCAGCACTGTTATTGCTCGTAATACATACACTATACAGGGTGTCCCAGCAATAACACACCAGAGTGACACGGGAGGTAGATTGGCTTCAGATCAATCACATAAAACCAACATGACCTTAGTAAAAGTTTTCTAGTTTTCTAGATATTGACACTTTTGAATTTTGGTAAAAAATCACTACTTTTTGCCTGCTATGGCTATTAAGAACTTCTAGCTTATGAGTTTTTTCGTGGGCTACCATTAGTAGTTGGTCGCAACAACCGAGTATTCATTTCATTGAAAACTAGGACAGTATGCTAAAAAAAATGATTACATTTTGTTTCAATGTAAAAGGTTGAAAAAATGTACCAGACTGAATCGGCAAATAATCTTAAAAACTAGCCTAGTCTATTTAATGCTCTTTTAAAAATAGTATAACATTTGTATGTTCTTTCTACTAAAAATTGAACAATTCCAAGTTTTGTCATTGAAGTAATACTTGCGAAATACTACAAATAAAAAATAAGTGCAACCTTTTTTTATATCCAAATCACTAAGTAATGAAACGACCGAAACATGCCATTGAATATCTCGCTCTCACATTCACTGTTCGGTCGGTAGCGTTATGTCACCTCGAGAAAAGGTGTGGTACCTGAGCACCGCACGCGCGAGGTTAATTTAGTAGTGCTCCTTGTGTTAGTGCTACACACGTGTTATTTAGCTCTTTCGCTGTTTAAGTCGTTTCATACCTTAGTGATTTGGATACAAAAGACGTCTGCTATTATTTTTTATTTGTAGTATTTCGCAAGTATTACGACTTCAATGACAAAACTTGGGATTATTTAATTTTTAGTAGAAAGAACCTACAAAACTTTTACTACGGTCATGTTGATTATATCTGATTGATCTGAAGCCAATGTGTTACTTGAGTTTTAACTTGTATATGTCTTATAACAACTCACTCTACTTCCTCACGTTCAAAACCCCTGTTTCTAAGAGTGTATATTTCATTTCAATATTGTTATTTAAGTTTATCCTTTTTTATGAGTAACATATGTAGGCATAGGACAAGTCTAATAAATCATCACACTTTTTTTTCCAAAAATGAATAAAGAGTTTATTACTATTTTAAATAGCTATATCGATTGACATAACTAAATATTGGATCCATTTTTTAACAACTGGGATGAAGTACTGGCTCACCTAATATCACACGAGTTGAGCCACTCCTTAACATGATCCAGCATGTTCATAGGAATGGCATTCACCATAGCCGTTTTCCTGTGGTAATCTTTGAAGACGAACACCATATCGAAGTTCTTCAGATGGAACTGGACTCTTTCGAAATGCACCAGCTCGACGTCTTCCAAGGTGATAACGAACGGCGGCCATTCGGTAAGGTTCACCAGGCATCCGGAGGTCGGTTGAAGGAGGACGGTGGATCGGAATGGAGCGCCGGGGAAGCCGAGCTCGCGGAACGGGGTGTCGAATTCAATTTCTTGTTTCGTCATTGACTCCACCTGTAGATTAAAAATAAATATACTACACAGGCTGCAATAGGAACAAAACAAAGTAATGAGTAATTTTTTGTTAACTTTGACTCGGATTACAGGACATCCTGAATCAGGTAATCTAATACGGCAGGTGATGGCGTACATGATATAAGCTAAACGGCCCACTGAACAATTACCTATTGCCCTTTGCTAAGATTTGATTGCATATCTAAATTTTTTTATTTGACATTTTAGAATGTATGCATTTTAAACAGTTTGATCTGTATTTTAGTACTGAATTCACTAATTTTTTAATATTAAACTTACTTTTTTTATATGAGCGCGTGGTCTCACCACTTCCTACTTCAAATCTATATTAAACCGCATTATACAGAAGATGCATAAAGGTGTAAATGCGTTCACAATAAAAAGAAAAGTTGAAATAAATGAATGAAATTCATTTTTATGTTTTCCTTGTTGGTGTGTTTTATTAGAGGTTTGGAGTAGAGTACCGACCACGCGCACATAAAAAATAGTAAATAGGACATGTGGAACTAGGTGAATTTTGGACAAACATGCCGAAATAGCGATCATGAGCTTAGGCAGCAGTGGTGGCCGCAGTGGTAGACGCTTCGGTCTCCTAATCAGTCGCCATGCGATGCGCGGTTTCGAATCCCGTCCCGAGTGAAATTTTTATCTTTTCTATGGATGTTGTAGGCAGGGCCAGAATGTGTGCAGGCTGCATGCATACGTGTTCCCTCGCTAGAGTTCATGTGGTGTCGCCCCTTTCCCCTGTATCCCCCTATAGACCCACGGTACCCATGGGTGTTTAGGCCTTAGGCCTTCGTGGTAGCTGGAGTATAAAAAAAACGAATAATCAAGTACTAAACTAAAAATGTCAATTTGAGTTTAAATACATATTTGAAACATTCAAATGCAAGAATTTCAGAGATGCAAATAAACTTCAGATTACAGGGCTGAAAAGAACCTTAAAGGAACCCCATGCTCTTTCAACTGACAGACAAGATATAAACAAATTATCAGGTTATGTCTTGGCCGTGGTATGATACAATCAATTGAGAAATGATCAAACTAATGGATCATTAGTTTAGCTTTTATACAGTAGAGGTCAAAAGTTTCGAAACATTTTAAGTAATTTTTAAAAAGTGCGCTAATTTTTTATTCTTTATTATTAAGGACTATTTTTTTCTCATACAGTTGGCTTACAGTGACAAACCTTGATGTTGCCACCATCGTACTTAACTGTTGGCAGCTGATACTTTTTTCGAATCTTTTTCGTATTGGGCGTCTCACATATGCTGTACCGTCAGATCCAAACAAGTTAAATTTGCTTTCATCGCTCCATGAAACTGTATTCCATTGTTGTTCTGTCCAAGTTAGATGAGTTTCAGCAAATTCAAGCCGAGCAATAAGATATTTTTTTGAAATGAGAGGCTTTTGCACTGGACGCCTACCGAAAAGCCCAAAATCCACCAAGTGACTTCGCACTGTTCTGATAAAAAGATTCTCGGCACCCTCTTCTACGACTCTTTTGAAAATCTCTGTGGCTGGCTTTCAAGGATCTTAATGGGACAAACGTTTAATGAGGCGATCCAAAACATAATCGTTTTTTTTTATGTCTTCCGCACCTGGGCAGCGTTGCTGTTGATCCGTATTCTTGATATTTACTAATAATTTTCGAAATCGTCCCTTTGTTCATTTTTAATCTTTGAGAAATGTCGACATTTCAGATACCACTTCTAAATAATACAATCACTTTGTCTCTTAAGTCTTTTGAAAATTCTTTTACTTTTGCCATTCCCACTGATGTCAATTTTTAACGCACGCAATATCAGAGTATCACGGAACAAATAAATATGGCAAAACTGAAATGTTTCCATACTTTTGTCGTTACAAAAACTGTGATATTAAAAAAAAAAACGCGTTTTTATTATCAGAGTATTTGAAGATAAACCTTGTATTAGTACAGGAGTCAAAGGTAGACTTTAACATTTATATTATCTGTTCCTTCACAATTTTAATTTAGGTATATGAAATAATAATGTGGACACTCGATCGCCACTTCAATTCGCTTGTCACTGCCACGCCCAGGCATTTATGGGCCGCTGTTCAATAGGAGCGCGCGAATATACATCGCACGTTTTTGTTTTAATGGAGAATAATTAAGATTTGGATACATTATAGCGCAGTGTGGTATGAACAATGCTCACCTTTTCACAGAAACTCTTGAAGGCAGTTTTCAATTTATGCCTCAATTCTCTTTCACTCTGTTCAGCTGCCAAATCATCTCTGTCGTGCATATGTTGATGTTTGCCCAAATCAGTAGTGATTTCACCCACCTGAAAAAATATTACAATAAGTCTATGTTTATCATAACTACGATATGAAAAAATAATATGTTAAAATGCAATACCCTAAATTAAGTAAATTCAACAAGATTTAATATAAAGTAGAAGATTCACCTCAGTGTAGAACTGTACATCGACGTGCTTCTTTTTGCCAAACATAATGGCGTGTTTGAGATGGAAATGCAGCAGGATGATCATTTCACCATCACAAGGTTGGAAAAAGGCATTTTTGATGTTATTGTACAGTATGTCCACCTTATCTCCTCGCACAGAGGTGTAACGGAAACCGTTCGTGTGCGCTTCTAGAGAGCCGGTCATACGTTTTGTTACTATATTGGGCCTAAAACAAAATCACAATCATTCAATGCATGAAAGGTACCTCCATGTCCATACATGTTCCTTTACAATTGCAGATAGAGTAACCGATAGAAAAATATGGCAGCTCCCAACGTAACGTTAGTTTTGTGGCCTTATATTTCAATAGGTCTGTTTGTAAGTTTGTTTATCTGTGGTTTGGCTACAACTCGCTAAATACGGATCTGATTGTCTTTAGATAATCCCTTACCTGATGTAAAGATCCTTTAATTTCGGATTACCCTTGTTTTGACTGAGTACCAAAGTATCCTGTTTCACCAGATCCTCCTTTTCTTTCTCTTCAGCCTCCCTAGTCTTGAATTTCCGCTGCACTTCCTTAATCAAACGGAAAGCGGTGTTTAAGTTTGAGGATGGAGGTGAAATTTCACCTGGTTCTTTGGTATTTGTACTGCGATAAGTCAGTTCCTTGAGGAATGTGGCTTCTGGATTTGTATATGTACCTAAAATAAATAAGGATTTTTCATTGACTAGCCTACTTTTATTTTTTATTCAATGAAATTACTAGTCCAGGCAGTTTGGCGGAATTTATAGATAATATTGTCACAAATGACCACTGTGTAATCAGCAGTGTAATTCTCACTCTACAGTGCCAACTAGAATAAGTACTCCTTTTTGTCACATTCATGTCCAATAGAGTTTATTTACGAGTACTTTTGGGTCTTCTGCCAGAGTAGAACTAACCACCTAGGTAGCTCGGTGATTAGCGCATCGAGCTAGCAACCCGGGGCTCGCGGGTTCGAATATCTGCCTCGGAAGTTAATTCCGTGCCATGGATGTTGTTTTGTTTATATCACGTGGGTACAATACGAGGTCTGTAAATTAAGTGATGAGACTGGCGGCGTAGCGTTCGATCTGGCAACACTGGAGGCGCCAGGCTGGGAGGGGAGACAGGAGAACATGTGATCCGCCTTCAGTACAAGTTTGGACTCTCTCGAGCCATTTGATTGTCCGCAACGATTTTATTTGTGAAACAGCTTTTTCTATTGTTCTAAAAAGGAGTGAGATCAGTTTCAAGCAAAAGTGTGCTCCTTGCCACACAGCAATGTCAATAAACGAGCTTTTGGTCAGTAAAAAACATTCCTGTGGCTTCTCCTCATTCGCCTGACTCAAGTCCTTGCGACTTTTTTCTCTTGCAAAAATTGAAAAATCACCTCAAGAGAACTCATTTTGGGTATTCCAGTATCAGAGTTCCAGCACTGCTATGAGGAGTGGAAGAACAGTCTCTAGTGCTCTGTGGCTTCAGAAGGAAGTTATTTTGAGGGAGAAAATATAAAATTGTAATTTTATTTGAATAAACAAAATCAGCCTCATTGCTGAAGTTAGTTTATCCAATAATAAGTTACCAGTAGATGGCTTGTACAGTACAGTACAGTACTATTGGGTCGGAAAAAGGGGTCAAAGGTGGTCAAGTTGCCAGGCTCCCCACCACTACTACTACTTCTACTAACCTACAAGTCACAATCGCGACAATATTCCAGGGGAAATTGTAAGGGGACAAAATATTTTGTGAAAACGCGTCAAAAGGTATAAAACATTTTTTAATTTTTTCATATAGAAATTACTAATGGAATGAAAATTATTACTAAAAACTGATAAAAATGAAGCAACGTCGTGTATATTCTTCTGATTTTTATTCTCGTAAAAAATATATACTAACACGTTGAAGAAACAATGAGTTTCAAATCAAACATGTCAATTCCTTTTGATGCACTTTTGTGGAATAAGAGCATTATTAATGGAAACAGATTTTACATAGTTTTTACAAAAATAGCCCCCTCGGTGTGACGAGGGTGGCAAGGTGTAAATATTTAAATTTTAAAAACAATTTCTAGACTATACCGCGTAACAGCGACTCTTACCGTCATTTTTTCCCATTGTGGATCCAGGATGGAAGAAATTAATTCTCAGGTATGTATAGTCTCCTTCAACAGATTGGGAGATGTTCTTTATGGTGGATATATGGAATGGTACCGGAACACCATATATGGGCAGAATTACAGTTTCATATTTCTGATCGACATACAGTTTTAACTCTTTCACTTCTGTGACTCTTGGCATTTGGTTGACATTTTTATAAGATACTGTGTTTTTCCTAACCTTCTCTTTGTCTTTAGCACCCGATTGCTTAGCTAATCTTTCTTTTGCCTGAAAATGAAAATACCATGGAACTGCTGTAAAATGCCAGAATTCTGCATAGATAATTGAAGTTGAACCTAACATGGTTTACAATACAAAATCATGTAAATGCAGTATAAAGTACTACCTTTTCATTAAGTTGAAGAGCTAGTTCTTTCTGGTGTTCTTTCCTCTTTTCCTCAGTACTATGTTCTGTTCTCAACTTTGAGTCTAACACAGCAGATCTCTTTCCTCTACCTAACACTTCAGTCGTTTTTGGAGTATTTTCTTTCTCTTCATCATTTTCTTCCTCCTCTGAATCATCCTTCAAGAAAATACCTATGTTCTTCATTTTCTTTTTGGACACAGTCAATATACTTGCTGGTTGACCATCATTTACCATGACAGTATCACCTATAAAGCAGTTAGAAATAATTATAGATATATACATAAATGAGATACTTACAAAATATTATATATGACTATATGAAAAATTTAGAGCAGCATTTAAGTAAATTAAAAAATAATTAATATGACTTTACCACTGCAATACTGGCAGCTAAGTTGCGGCCTAGGCTCAAATAAAGACAGTCCCTTATTGCATTAAAACTGTTAATTTATAAATAGTGGGCCCAAAATTTACTTCACTGCCCTAGGGTATAAAAAAGTCTGAGGGAAGAAAAGTGGGACTTAACATCTAGAAACCTATTCATAATGAACATTTTTCAATGCGGACATAGTTGAATGATTTTTTTGCATTAAAATTTTAGCACAAAAGTTTTATACCTATAAACAGAGCATACACCTTGCCCTCCTTATCAGTGGCCTCCTTGTTTTCCAAATTGGCAAAGCCTATATTCAGGTTGAATATCATGCCTTTCTTTGCTACAGCTGTAGTTTTTGGACCAATCATAAGAGAGCTTTCCTAAAATAAAAATAAAAACAATCCAATAATATTGAATTTTACAGATAATTTTCATAAAAGTACAATATAAATTCCTTCATGAAAATATTAATTGACTTAATGAAGCCTAGATTAAATTCAAAAACAAACTTTTGCATTTTTTAAAATTGTCTTAATAAATGTAGTGATATCATAACATAACTGGTTTGGGTCTATTGCAAAAACATACAAAGAAAATATAACTTACTTTGAATTCAATGCCCATGGCAAACCCAAAATTCTTAGTAGCATGTTCTGCAAGTTCAGGCTTTTCTTTCTTGATATAATTGTACCCTACATCATAAACATCTGACAATTTTGTACCATGTTGCAGTTTCTTAAGTACTTCTTCTTCAACAATCAGTAAGAAGTTGTAGTTATTTTGAACTGCTTCAGTTGGGTTTACTAACAGAGTACGGATGATGTTTGAACAATATGATTTATACCTACAAATGTAAGCAAACTTAAGCATTGCACTTGGTTGGTATGCGTTTTACAACTTCTCAAATACGCAGATATGCACAAATGTCTGAAAGTAGTCATATATCACAGTACACAATTTATTCAATCAACTATTATTTATTCTTGATTGTACAGCTGGAATGCATACTCAATAGAGGTTGAAAATGAGGAAATTTGAAGTTATTACATACCATAAAATTAAGTATGTTCTTTTGAAGTTCAAGATTTATAGAGAAATTAAGACTCTAATATTTGAATGGGAGTATTTACCTGGCACCTAGAGAACATATAATCGCCCCAAAATGCAGGGTATTTTTATCACTAACTACACTGAACTTCAAGCTGTAATTACCACCTGACTGAATAATAGCTGGGTAGCACATATCAACCTGACTAACATCAACACCAGACACATATTTTTTATCAGTGATTGCTTGTTCTACACCTTCAGCTAGCTTAGAATGTTTCACCTACAATATCAAACAAGAGTAGAGATATATTGGTCCTGTCCTTTGAAGTTTCACAGCTAAGGGATTATTACATACCTTTTTTTCACTATCAATAATTTCCATAATTTGATCCTTTAAGTACTTTGTAAAAACGTCAACAGTGACCATGCAAGCTTTCTTGATTGTTAGGATTTCAGAGTCTTCTTTAGGACACATAATGTAAGCTACATATGCACTCATATCAATTGTCTAAAAAAAAGTATAACATTTAAAACTTTTAACAATCATGATTTCTTCGCTTTGATAGCAACATTGGAAGGTCTCACAGGTAGCACTGCCCACAGAGAATCAATGGTTCCAGCCTTTAGAAATATGTAATCAAATTCAGAAACAATTACTCAAAAGTGTATAGTGGAGAATAAACACTTCATTTTTTTTTATATAATCATACTGTAATTACCTGAAACTCTTCTTTTTTTAAAGCTGCTTTCCAGGAATCAATGAGTGGTCCAGTATAATTATCTTTTGAGAATACTCCTACAGATTTTCCCTGTTTGCTTTCTTTAATTGCTTCACATAGTTTCTTGAAATTGGCTACATCACTAAAAAGATTTCTTCATAAACATACAATATCAAGATATTTACCTTATTTTAAAAATGATTTAACTATTTGATACTTACCTATCTTTATCTCTAACAAGCAGTCCCAGAGGTGTGTGATTTTCATCTTTACTCTCTGCTTGACGTAAGAAATCAATTTTCTTTTTACTCGCTAAGAAGTAAGCCTTCTTCTCTGTGAGAACCATGATGGTATCTGTAAGTTCATAGCCAAAGAGCCAGGTCTGAAGTGCACCTGACTTGCTGTAAAAATCCAACACAATATTTACTTAATGTGATATCAATTTCTTAAATTGAAGGAAGTAGTATATATAGGATTACTCTGATACTTCAATAATAACAAAATAACAATAATGATAACAATAATCCTTATCGGCAAATACAAATGATATACAACAGCTGTAAACCACTTGTGATACAAATAGTGTCAACCAAACAAAATTAATGATAAAATCTTGCTTTAGAGCATATTATTCAAATCTATCTTGAAAAATCATTGATTGTATATCGCTCTATATATATATATCTTTTGAAATGCACTTAGTTTTACAATCTTTTTTCACAACTGCTGGTAAATGGTTAAAAAGTTTTAGACTATAAAGAGGCTCTTTTTCAAACAATGTTAATCTATGCTTAGGATAAATATAGTTAAAAACTCTAATATGGTTACTTGTAGGCTCATTATCTGTGAACATTCACTTATTTTTAGATAGATATATTAGGCACTCTTGAATAAAGACTCCAAAAACTGTTATCCTGAATTGCGTAAATTTGCCTCTACATGATTCATTCAACTTCAAACCTACAATACTTTTCAATATTCTATTTTGTATTACAAAAATGTTATCAAAGTCACTATAGCTTCCAAATAACAATACCATACCTTAATCTAGATTCAAAATTTGAGTGATACCCAACTTTCAAAGATTTTCTATCCAAATATTTAGCAATAATTCTTATAGAATAACATACCATGTTGAGCTTATTTCTTAAATAACTTATATGGTTGTCCCACCTGAGGTAACTATCGAATTCAAGATCAAGAAACCTAGTATTGTCAGATACTGTTATTGTTGTACTATTATGACAAATTGAATTTTGGAAATTTGCTCTACAGTGAGTAATTCAAAAAAACATAGCACTACTCTTTGTTTAATTAAGAATTAGCCTATTGTTCAAAAACCAGGTTTGTATATTGTCCATATTATATCCAAAAATAGCCTCCCTAGTTCTTAATACCAGCATTTTTATGCCTTTTATTGTTTCCCATTTATGCCATATACTAGTTGTACTGACTAGTACTTCATTGTATTGAAATTTACCAGATAACAACTATTGTAAACACATTTTTCTAGATTAACATAAATATATTTGAATTTTGAGTTCTGATGGTAACTTGCCTTTTTGGTTACTAGGTCTGATAATCTGAGAACTAGGCATTATTAACGAAAGAAAACATGAAAACATAGATAAGGACAGACAGGGAAAAATGTATTTCAGAATAGAGTGGAATTAGGCATTACATTACATATTATTAACAGTGATGATTGTTTAAATATGCATATTACATAAAAATGAATTAATCAAAACATGTGACTATGGTGTCCCCTTTAGTCCTTTAGTTACTAATCAGATTACATTTTTCTTTAAGATGTCTATAGACATTCTATCCTCTTTGAAGCCCCCTCACTGTCAACCAGTCAAGAAACATGAGAACTATAACTCACTCTTGTGCATACACTCTCTGTGAAAGCACTCAACTCTCTATGAAACACTAGAATTTCTCATCTCATCTCTCATGTGTATGGATAGCAATCCTCTGCACATTCAACCTCAGTAAAGGTAATGTGCTGCCCTGTACAAAACCTCAAAATAAATTGAAAATCCAACCAGAGTTTATACGAACACTGCCCTACATTAGTATTATCACAGCTATTATATATCATAACTCAATTGTGTGGCCAGAACTAGAATAAAAACCCATAAAAATTGTTATAAACCTGAATAGGGTGATTTGGGGGCTTGCTGTATTCATTATTTCATTAAGTACTAACAATTTGAACTGTGATGAAGTATCACACACACACGTCCATGTTTACAATGGTTTGTAAGAATATATATAATAAAAGTTATGTTTATCAAAGACTGATCTGCCCAGCAGATTCTCAAAGATGTATTTTTTGTAGTCCTCAAATGATACTGCAAATATTGGAGCTACCCCCGTATTTTAAATAGTTTTAAACCGGTAGAACGATAGGGGGTATGTATTTTTTGTTGCTTCCATAAGAGCATTGTATGATGTAATTTATTTCTCACAGGCGCTAAATGGCTGCTGTTTTACCTGTAAAGAATATCATCGTCCTTTCCAACCGCCGTAACAAGGGCGTCAGCTTTGGATAAGCCGTTCTCGCCTTCCGGCTGCAGCCATGCTGTGTAAAGACGCTTAAGACGCCGGTGGAAGGTCTCTTTGTCCAGATTAATGTTCGCCATTTCTTCCAAAACGGCTGCACTATCTGATTTTTAAGCGAACACCATCACACACTGTCTAACGCGTATATCACTTCCATGCAAAAATCACAAGAAAATCGCGTGAATCCTAAAAACGACGCGCCAATGTCGGCTGTCACTTGTCAAGTTGACAGCTGTCAAGGTTAGTAGGACAACAAATGCCAAATTGTACAATTTATCTCTAAACCCTCTTACAACTTTGATTAGAATTCGTCAATTGAGTTGTTTGGGACATTCATGAGGTAAAACAAGCACATGTGCCATTTTGAAGCAATCATTAACTCTCGTTTAAGCGTTTTCAAATAGAAGAGATGTTCATTATATGTGCCTTTGTGGTATCGGTATCATGTCCCTCGCATTATAAACTGTATATACCACTATAATTATACTTACTTATTCTGTTAGGTAAAACCATCGCCTAATGTATTCTATCTGCAATAGAGTAACCAGCAACATACTGCACTATTTTTGGTATGACGGCTGTATTGCTACTCATATTTGTAATGTCCGACCTATCTATCTATTTAATTTAAGAACGACTTTACCGATTCCATTCATCTTTCCTTAAGTTTCCTAATGCTGTATAGAAGGTTCTTACTGGAAGAAAAATCAATAAAATTGGGAAATAATTGAAAACCTAATGATTATTAATTTAAGCTACGCGCGATTGGCAGTTTACTTGAGCATGGAGCACGCACAGCAGTAGTAATATCTCAAGTACCAAAAGAGACAGGCACTCCTCTCCGCCATCTTTGTTCCAACAGTTATTGACAGTTAGCTATGTGAGAAAATTGCTTATGAAAACACGGTGCTCCGTACCAATGACGTCTTACAATCCGTACTTTTTGATGGCCCCTTCAGAAGAAACTGCAGTGTTGCCTGACTGTTATCTGTGTCAGTTAACTCTATGAATAAAAATGGGGGATATAAATACGTTTCTTTTGCTTAATTGCTACTCTAACATTTTGAACTTGACAGCTTGTACGCCGCAAATTTATATTATCGTTTAACAGTGTTTATCGATGAACAAATATTGTTTTATTTAATTAGTGAGTTTTTAGGAAATGTTTATTCAAACATAATTAACAAGGGTTGAAGTTAGTTCACCGCAAACACGCCTTATATTAGAATTGTAATTCATCAGACGTACCAACCTAAGTCGAAGAACTCGCAATGCTGCAAGTCAAAGATATATACGAAGAAGTCAAACTGACGAGCAACGAGAAGCGAGAAATGAAGTTGAACGGGACTGAAATTCAACAACGTAAAAGTATCCCATTTAATCCCAATCGAGCTGCATTTAGTAATTGCTTTCAAATGACGTCATTTGGCGCAACCAAAATCATTCCATATAATTTTATGCCTACTTTCAAGGTAAGTTGATGGGGCAATGGGAGTGCCTCCAACGTATTGTGCTAGCCATATAGCACACACTTCGATATATAATTACCTACATTCCACATATTTACCCTTTTATTATTCATTGTTCATCCCAGTTCATAGCTTAGATAGGACAACGTCTGTCAAGTCAGGTAGTTTTATATATAAGCGTATTGCTGTCAGAATGCCGAACTATTGGAGTTCTGCTTAATGTGATGTAAGTTGGTGCGACGCATACAATTTCGGCAGTCATTCTTGTATGATTGATTGATTTCACATTGCAGACAATATAGCCAAGATATAAACGAGATAGGGCTACATTCTACAATCTGTTGATTATGGCTGGGGAGTATAAGCTGTCATATTTATAGCAAAATATTGCAACAAAAATTGTGTCCGTTCAGAGGCTCCTTTAGTTTCACAGGCAAAAATTTTGTAAGAATCTTGGCATCGATGCGCACAATATTCATACGGGTCCCACACGATGCTTCCAACGTTCGTCACCTCACAAGTGGCGTGACTCCCACACTAGGGGCATGGGATGAACTTCTTAGTCTCGGACGTTCGACGCACGGTGGCGCCAACGTCTATTATCGGTGTCAGTGTCGCGCTTGAACCTTTACAACTGAAGGAAAAATTATACAAAATGAACGAAGTAACATTTTTTTCGAGCGCTTAACAATAATTTCAGATCTGTCTTCAACGACCAAAACTTATGTCTGTCAGAAGCCTCAGAAATGTCGAAAACGACATTTGACCGTTTTTTGTTTGTTTTTCGACTATAACTCTGCCGCCACTCTACCGATTTTTAAAAACTGCAGAGCTTCTCCGTCATTTTCATAGTTGTAACCTAGGGTCAAAATTTCATCAAAATCCTGATACTACTTTCAGATTTATCATTCATTTAATCATTTTCGTTAGATATGAAATGCAAGTCAATATATTTCTAAACTAGTCTTGCATTGCAACAGGACATTATAATGAAACAACTGTAAGCACTTGATAATTTATAATTTACTAAAATAAATATCCTTAGGCCAGACATAACTCACCAGAGAAACGTACAAAACATTAACAATATGAAAAAAGTGTTGTTATGGCAGGCTATGCTTTGTATGTCTACTAATTTAATTCATTCTGATCAAAAGTTAGTTACGGAACATACATTATTATCAATAGGTAGTTATACAAATCAAAATACTTCCCACATACCACTACTTCAGCACAATCACAGCAAACAAGTAAATAATGTTTTTTGGCGCTAATGGTTCTAATCTAAAAACGTCAAACACATGACATCTCGTGTGGGAGCCTAACCAGCGCCACCTTCAACTAACGAGCCATGAAGAGAAAAAGGCAACACCGCATCATAGCATTTTGGGGTCCGGCCGTCCAGCTGGTGTGTGCCGTTATTAAGGCGCGTTTTCACGGGTCGATCTGAGTCGAACAATTTGTGTCGAACATTGAATCGAAAGCAAAGTGGTTTCGTTTTTATTTTTGGTCAACATACATCGCCTATCGTGTAAACCTTTTTGCTTTCAACTCAGATCGAACCATGGTCGAATAACCCAGGTGGTTCAACTTAGATCGAACCATGGTCGAATAACCCAGGTGTGGACTGTGGTTCAACTTAGATCGACCCGTGAAAACGCGCTTTTACAGAAACTTCGATTCGAGCATTTTTTTAATGAATCTCAAATTTACGAGTACAAAGTACAAAACAATTTCACTAAACATAAGTTCAAAATCGAAATTACAGAATGTGAATACTCTATGCGAACCCTAGAGAGGGAAATTCACAAGAATACTAATTATGTAGTGCTTCTTATAACTAAGTTGTTTGCTGGCAGACGTATACAGGAGTAGAATCGTACTTGAGATGTATAAATGAGGTATTGCATTACCACACCAAGTTACCAATTTATATCGGGAGGTTTTGCCAAGAGCCATATGTCTGTGGTACTAAGGCAAAACCCAATATGTCAAAAAATATTGATTTTTTGTTTTTAATGTCAATATATACACCAAATGACGAAGTATTCTATGGCAAGACCGGATATAATTTATAAAATTTCCGTAACACTCTAAATTAATGTTATTTTTTTAAGGAGGAGCTTAAAATTTAAAAAAAAATTGGAATTACTAAAAAAATTATATTCAGAATAAAGATAAGAAATAAATAAAATACATAACTGGAAACAAAACAAAAAACAGTGAACAAACTAAAAACAACGATAACTGAAAATTAAATAATAAGAGAAAATAAAATAATTGTAACAAAATAATAACTAAAAGGATATTAAAAAAGATATTGCACATTTTATATATCATTCACACATTGAAAGTGCTCAGCTTTCTCCGCTTTTGCAAATCAAAGCTTGTGACTGGGGATACAGTTACACTATTACGGTTGGTCCGAGAAGTAGATACATTTTGTTTAAGGTTTGCTTTGTCAATTAATTTTGTATTATTTTTAAATTTAACATAATCATTTAAAACAATATTTGAAAAAATTGATAGGAGGTTTAATAGGATATCTCTATAATTATTCCCACATAAGCAAGTTTGAGAAAATTCCTCATAAACAAGATCTGATTTTATACTTTGCAAGGTTAGATGACATAAAATATTTTTCTGCTGAGTACTATGTAAAAACTCATTTTCTAGTCTATCTATGTTTATTATAAATTCGAAAATGGCATACATGTGGTAAAAAATAATATTGACATATTCAGTTGGAATAGACAGTCCTCCTCTTTGCAAATAATTAAAATATCCCACCTCCAAAATTTGTTCCTTTTTCCTTTACAATGAGTGAAATGCATATGGGACAATTAAGTTTTTTAGAAATACTATGTGAGGCATAACCAGAAATGTACATCTTAGTATCGTCTTCTAAATCACAATTTGATAAATAATTGCTACAAAAGATTTCTGAGAATATATCAAAACTTTTGTCAGGATCTAAATTTTCACTACTTCCTGGTGTACATGATAGATTTTAAAATTTGTTCTTGATTTCTGTGAATGAAAATGATTGTGATGGTGATTTAATAATGTGTTTGAGTCTGATCTTCTTCTCAGAATGGATGACATCATCACAGGAAACATTATAATTGCAACCACTTAAAAGACGATAATTACCAAACCGTTTTTCTAGAGCATCAGTGGAAAATTTACCAACTAAAATATGGGAAACAGGAAACTTCTGGAAGGAGTGTTCTATGATTTTTAAAATGACTGTAGTTGTTAAATACAAAGCAGTGAAAGTCTCATTTGTCAAGCGGCCATTGTTCCATTGCTCGAGCCAAATCAGAAATTTTCTCAGATATTGGCACCGGAAGTCATCTACACTAGAAACAGGCTTTGAAAATTCATTTAACTTACATACACCCTTAATGCAACTTTTATTATTCATAACATCCCACCAATTTCTGATGATATCTAAAAATCCTGCAGTTTCTGTGAAGCCAAAATCTTTAAGAGCTGCTATAGTTGAATGGTGGAATAAGTTATCTGCAAGATGTACCTTTTGTCTATCAAAATTATTTGGGTGTATTGTTTTTTCATTTAATTTGAAAGCTTTCTTAACTACGGAATGTTTTTCTAGACTTACTTAGATAAGATGGCACATTTGGAAAGACTGATGGGACAGCACCTTCTGAAAGTTTTGGACGACTCAGTGTGACTGTGTTAGCTGATCCATCCTGCAGAACATAAGTTTCCGTACGGATAATTTCTGCTTGTTGAAAATGTGCATCACAAACAACAGAATCTTTAGAAGGCGACCAGTCCTTTCTTGGTATTGAAGCTAGCCACTTACTTTTCAACTCCTCATTTTTTGGAAATCGAAACACTGACCTGTAGGGTGTCGATCTCGATTCTGCCTCGTAGTTTCCCTTGCAGCCTGGTACACAGCAACGCTTAGGCATATTAATTAAAAGAAAAGATGTACCCACTCGAATCTACACACTATACAGACGTTTCTAACAAGCACCGATTCACACACATTTTAAACACATCAAAGCACGATTTTATACTACCTAAAATAAATACTTTCTGCACGGTTTGAAGAGCAAAACTAAGTAGATTACTCTGGTTTGTAAGAATTGCACTGTTCCCAGAGATTTACAACAAAATTGCACCAAAAAGTCGGAGGTTAGGAATATAAACAAACGAAAAGCCCGGCAAACACCTGTCTGTGGAAGACCCCAAAGCTGCGTTGCCATATCTACTGTTCATGGCTCGTTAGTTGAAGGTGGCGCTGGCCTAACGAACCATTCTTCCAACGTTGTAACGTCCTTTGACGCGGGTCAAATTTACCGACAAGAGCCCAAACGTGTCATGTGGCGAACGTTGGACACATGTAATCCATCAGCGCGCTCCCACACGATGTGGCGAATGGCCATGTGTCCAGCGTTGTAAGGCATTCGTCACATCGTGTGGGACCGGTTTCATACATAACACCTCCAACTGCATCATTCGTCAGCAGTGTTGCCGGACCTCCTGATGAAACACGGAAATACCGAAAACGTCCTCATTTTCCACGATTTTTCAAAATATGTCAGATATTTCCAGATTTTTTACCGAAAACAGCTAGAACTAAAAATAAAGCTGAAAAACAATATACAGTGTTATGCCCCATACCAGTCATACATAAGCGTACACAGGCACTAGGGCACACGAGGGCCGTAGATTAGGATTGCCTACAAGTATGTAGACACATCCCCTATTCCGCTTTCCCTACATTCTTTTTTGTGTACAACAGGTACAGACTGGTAGATCACCGTCATTATCGCATCACTGAAAAGCAATAAGGAAACCAGAGCGTGACTGTATAGTAAATTATGTTGTCAGGTGATGGGGCTCATGTTCAGGGGTGTAACAGCAAAATATTCAGTATCTTAAAAACAAGAATGGCAAAAGGAGTTTCAATGATGGTTGCAACGGAGTTTCAAGAACGACTAGTATGCTGATTATATGTACAAGTTGTAATAAGGAGCTAAATATTTTTTCAGGAACAGATGCCTTCAAAAAAACCTGTTATGTGTGCACCATACAAAAATATAATTTTTTATAGAGGGCGCTGCGTGACGCAAGCAGCAACTCATTTGATCCACCGCTGATGTTAAGAAGGCCCAAATTTTTCCTTCTACCGAATTTCAACGACACTGTCTACCGATTTCGTCTTTTTCGGTTCGGCAACACTGTTTGTCAGACTTGCGCTGTCAGTGTTACCAGATCTCCTGTTTCAACAGGAGATATACTGTTTTTACCTTATGCTACTTTTCTTCTGTTTTCACTATAAAATCTCCTGTTATTACAATACGTTTTTTATACTTCTCACCTGCCACTATGGCAATAGTGATTATTGACTGATCTGTTTGAAAGTCGAAGATGAACTGGTAATCAGTTCATTTTTCAATTTCTACTTGGTATTAGCTCATTTTCGATCGTAAATAAAATTAGTATTCGACTACTTAATTTAATTAATTATAGCTAATTTGCTTTAAAAGAAACAGCGAAATAGGTTATCTACTTCTAGTATGGTACGGCTACCTCATGGGAAAACCTTCTTGAGATCAAAAAACCAATCTTTCCATTCTTTTGATTCTGGACGGCTGTTGAAGTTACATAATTCGGAGATGTATATGAAAAACTCCGAACTGACTTATTCAGATTTACACTGATTAGTATTTACCAATTTAGCTCCAAAGTTTATTTTTAATATTGCATATTATTACTATTTTCAATTGGAAAAATTAGTGTTTCTAAGTTTTATCTTTTATTTTTATATATTATTGCTATATTATTTGGCTGTCTTTATGTGATACTTTATGTTTTCTACGAAAGAACGAGATATTTATTTACTTATAAGTATTTTTTATTTAGTTTTCTTTGTGTTTATAAAGTTTTATGGAAGAATATGCATTTATTAAAATCTACTGTTGGGATAGACGTTTTTTTTTGGTCCCACCTTACTGTTCTGATCTGGCAACACTGTGTCAGAACTGTCGGACGTCAGTTTAATGTCAAATGGATAGTTTTTCACGGTGATTATTATTCTTTATCAATTTTCAACTAATTTTGCCCGACATTTCATTTAATGATTATTTTTCAGTTTGCTACAACGGACTATTTTCAGGGAACATCAAGTTGAAGATGCAAAGCGTTTGACACGTGCGTCTACTCCAACCTAACCTCAAAAGATGACATCTATTCCGGTTGCTGGTGAGGAAACACCTGAAAAAAAATTAATTCTAGGTCATATTAACCGATCTATTTTAAGCCCGTAGCTCCTCTGGAGTCAGCGTGTTCCTGGGCCCCCCAACGTTTGGCAATGAAGAGCGATTTTCACCTGTGCAAAGCAAAAACTGCAAAGCTCTGTTGTTCAGCCCAGATGGGAAATATCTGGCCTATGTGAATAACCAAACGTAAATGAACTTCTTGATTTTAAAAGTAAAAAAGCAAAGCTTCAGAATTTCAGTAGTATTCAGCTATACAATGCATAGGACTAACTTTATATGAAATATAGGGTTGAAGCCCATAAGGGTTAATAATAAACATTTAATTACTGTAGTAATGATCCACAATATTAGCACCTTCTCATTGTTTCTATAGTATCTTGAGAATTATTCAGATATCTTCCAATTAAGAACTTCATTGGTCTATTAAAAATTTATTTTAACAGCCAGATAAACACTTATATTTTACTTTATCTTGAAGATAAGAGAAAGGTGTATAATATTCTCTGCCATTGGTATGTAACATGATACAAAAAAATATTAGTTTTACTGAGGAACCAAGTACATATTGACTTAAAATCACTTCAAACATTTTTTAATCCAACTAAATTTACCTATATGTATTGTGTCAAGGCATCCATGAACCTGGGGATGAGTAAAAGATCCTACAATATTTAATCCTTTATCATTTAATAAATATTGAGCACTAAGGTATTTAAGCTCATTGTCATTAATTATATAATGTTACTTCTAGAACAAAGATCATCCATACTGAAGACTGGAAAGATGTAGCTACAATAGAAAACACAAAAGCTTATCACATAGCTTTTTCACCAAAGAGCACATTTTTGATGAGCTGGGAGCCTTTTACAGTTAGTAATGCTAATCCTCAAGGGACTCCAAATTTACATGTCTACAAAAGTGAAAATGGAGAGCTTGTCAAGAGCTTCATCCACAAGAAACAAGGTTGATATTTATTTAATATAAAATTATTTTTCCAACACTAACTGTTACTAAATTTGCTAAACTAATATTTAGTTTTCTTTTCCCACAAAATGTTTGCCACTAGAAGTAATATATTTAGTGATAAACAGAGTGAAATATGCATACATTTAGTTCATGAAATCTAATCTAAAACTGATTCATTTTTATGTTTCTGCAATTAATAACATATTTTGTTTTCACTTAGTTAACTGGGAGCCCCAGTGGAGTGCTGATGAAAAACTCTTCTCAAGGATTGTGAATACAGATCTAGTATTTCATGAAGATCTCAACTTTGACAAGGTGGCAGCCAGAATCAACAGCTACAAAGTTGCTTCCTACAAGTTGTCACCAAATGTGGGAACATACTTTGTTCTTTGTCATACCCCTGGGAGCCCTGGGCAACCATCATTTGGGAGGTAAATAAACTGTGGATCACTATTAATGCAAAAAGCCTGCAGGGACATAAATTACATTCAAATAACATTATTGGGTCTAAAACACAAATCTAAATCTTTGAGTTTTACAAAAATAGCTGGAAGAACTGCAAAAATAAATTATAGATGTATACAGGGTTTGTCCGGAAAGTAATAGGACTCATTTTCTTCCGCCATGACTGTACGTCGGATCGTGCGCGCACCGACTGGATTCGGTAGAGGGCGTCCCCTAGCTAACGAATGAGCGGCTGGTCAGTTGTCTCCAAGCACTTGGAGAGTCAGGATAGGCATTTTCGCGCGACGTGTATCTGTGAGCGGTGCAAGCCGAAAATGCAGCGTTCGTTAGAGCAGAGGTACGCGATTAAATTCTGTGTGAAACTCGGTAAATCTGCGACAGAGACGTTCGATATGATCAAGCAGGCTTAACCCGGTGTTGCTTTAGCAAGACGTGCTGTGTTTCGGTGGCACCAGGCATTTTTGGAGGGCTGGTAAGAGGTCGCTGATGAAGACCGTGCTGGAAGACCTTCGACTTCGACAAACACCGATAATGTGACTCGTGTGCGCAAAGTTTTGAACTTAGACCGTCGACTAAGTATTCGTTTAATTGCCCAGATGTTAAATTTAGCAAAATGTGTGGTTCATGACATTGTGACACAGCATTTGAACATGCGCAAGGTGTGCGCGAAGATGGTCCCAAAAGTGCTCACTGACGACCAGAAATCGCGGCTAGTGGAAGTGTGCCAAGAAAATTTGAACATGTGTGGATTTGTTCCTCCTGGACAAACCATCAACGTCAAGTTTTACGTGAAAGTGCTCAGGAGACTCAAACGAAGGGTCAGTCGGGTCCGACAAGACATCGCAGCCGACTGGAAGTTGCACCACGACAACGCCCTGGCTCACACCGCCATTCCTGTGAACAGCTACCTGACCAAGGCCGGCATCCCAACGGCAATTCCGGAGAATGCGTTCCGTGACGCCTTCAATGCTTGGAAATCGCGCTGGCAGCGCTGCATCGACGCAGTTTGAGAGTTTTCAAAGAATTGTAACGATTTTCTCAATCAATTTTTTTAAATCGACTCAGTCCTATTACTTTCCCGACAAACCCTGTATGTGTCATTAACTCATTGTGCTCATTAGCACTGATTAACATATTCTACCTGTAGATAGCCACCCTAATGCTATATTCCTGGGTCCACAAGATTGTCCAAGATAAAATGAGATGCTGAAGGGTCTTTGTGATAATTTGTCACAGCTGTTTGTCTATTTAACATATACAGTGTGTCCCAGATTTGCTTCTCTATACAGGGATCTCGCTCCTGTTATACCTACAGCAAAGGGGATAAGTAGGGTAAGTTTTAGAGGAAACTTAGTGCTTAATGCGTTTTTTGCCAGATGACAACTTTTTTTGTCAGAATTATGATTTTAATGGGAGAAAACGTACCTTCTACTTATTAAAACACAATTTTAATACTTTGAATTATTGAACGTCAAAGTCAGAGCCTCATTAGATGCGTTGCTTATTAATTTTATTTCCGACAAACAAATCACGGCCTCCTTAGAAAAAAATTAATACGTAACATTTCGTGTGATGATACTCCAATCTTTTATGCACTTGTGAGACATCACTAGGCTGGAAATTTTACGCTTTTTTCAAAAATCGAAAAATCCAATATGGCGGCCATAAGAAAAATTAAAGTTGAGTCGAGTTGCGGGAAAACAAAAGACGATGTCCAAATAATGTCAGATTGTGACAGCTGTTACATTGAACGGTTCGAATTTACTAGCAAATCAAAATTCGTCATTTTCAGTTTTTCGCCGATATTTCCAAAACCAATTGACCGACAGTATCTGAAGCCGGCTATCGAATGCTCTAAGTTTACTCTAAAACTTTTCCCATTTAACCTTTGCTGTTGGTATAATAGGAGTCGAGATCCCTGTATAGAGAAGCGAATCTGAGACACACTGTATACCTTGGAAAATTTAGTTGTAGCTGTAGCTACCTATAAACTTCATCATCATCATCATCACTGTCGAGGTAATGTGTACGAGAGAGACTAATTTTGTTTTTGAAATATTTTCATAGGTTATTCAAGTACCCTAATTTTGATGCCCAGCAAAGTATGACAAACAAAAGTTTTTTCCAAGCAGATAATCTTGAAGTATATTGGAACTTCAAAGGTAGCAATGCCCTTTTGCTAACATCAACAGAAGTAGATAAAACTGGAGGCTCTTACTATGGCAAACAGGGACTTCATTTCATGGGACTAAATGGTCAAAGTTCTATGATCACACTGAGTACGTATGCGAAGTATCCAGAAAATGACATATTTATTCAACTGGTAACATCATGTTACTTGTTTTAACTTAACTTCCAATATATTCAACAATTTTTCTATTATTTTGGATGACATGTGGTGAGCACAGCTCAGCAGCATGAGCATGACATCTCGTGCTATTTTATTACAGGTAAAGAAGGTCCTATCTATAGTGTTGAGTGGTCGCCTAAAAATCAAGAGTTTTGTGTAGTTTATGGCTTCATGCCAGCTAGGGCAACCATATTCAACTTGAAGTGTGAGCCTGTTTTCGAAATGGGAGCTGGGGCAAGGAACTCAATCTATTACAATCCACATGGCAACATATTGCTGCTGGGGGGTTTTGGAAATTTGAGAGGCGGCATCGAAATTTGGGATGCTGTCAACAAAAAAAAGATCAGTAAGTAAATTTTTTTCAGGCATCAAATTTGGTTGTTGTACAAAGTGTATAGCAAATGCTTATATTCAACAAATGTTTTTATGTTATTATTTAAAAAATAGGTACTTGTGAAGCACCAGATTCTACACTTCTTGAATGGGCTGCAGATGGAGAACACTTTTTGACTGCCACAACTGCTCCAAGATTGAGGATCAGTAATGGATATAAAATCTGGCATTACTCTGGAGCATTACTGCATGAAAAACCGTCTCCACAGAACGAAGAACTGTATGGGGTTTCTTGGAAGGTAAAACTTGTCAGTTTATCTATAGTAGGATTCAACTATACCTTTCAATTTTGTATTTTTCAACTCAGCCTTAAAGTTATTATAAGATTCAATAATTATATTAAACTGACATTTTTAACGTTTTTTTAGAAATACCCTAAAAATGCATTCCCCGAGCCGGCGATATCGGATAAAAAGGTTAAAGGCATAGCTTCCAATCAACCACAGGCTTCTACTCAGGCTTACAGACCACCTTCAGCGAGAAATAGGCCGCCAGTTAGGTTCAGTCTTGATGATGATGATGTACCTGCTAAGCCAGGTAAGTTCTAAATGATACAGATGGCATTTTATTTGGTTACTTCATAGGATAATTTTAAATGATGTATGTGCATTCATGGAACTTAACCCTTAACTGGTAACGTGCCGTCTGTGAGACTGCAAGCAATTTTTTTTTCAATGTTGGAACAAAACTGTACCTGCGCTGCGGTCAATGACCTTATCTAATCGTTCTCCTATTGGTGCCCTGTCTACCGGATGAACAGTGGTAAATTCGGGAAAACCATCTTTGAGACAGTTGTAATTGTTACTTCAGCGCAGTCTGTGAGACGGCACGTTACGGTTTGTGTAAGAATTTCTTGCAACTTGTAGCCATGGCAGGCCCGTCAAAACGTGTACGTTACGGTGATAAGGATTTTGAGGAGACTCTTCAGCGTTGGTATGAAGAAGATGACGCAGTATATAGTGAATCTAGTGACTTGGACTTCCTCAGACGAGGAATTTGAAATTTCCGATCATGATAGTAGAAGTGAGTTATCTCAAAGTAGTGACGAGAATGACGAAGTTACAGAACAACAAAGTGTGGATGAGAGAAAGTATTTATTTGGAAGAAACCGTCATAGATGGTGTACAACGGAAGTTCGACCAATATCTCGTACCAGGAAACATAATATTGTAACGAAAGTTCCTGTTATCAAAGGAAAAGCTCGACAGCTCGGAGAAGAAGCAGATCCTATTTCTGTGTGGCAACTGTTATTTACCGAAGAAATGTTACAACATATTGTGAAATGGACAAATCATAAAATAAGTTCAATGCGAACAAAGTATAAAGTGGATTCGACCACATTGAAAGACGTTGACGAGATTGAGTTGAGAGCTTTTATTGGACTTTTGATATTCACATCTGTTTTCAATTCAAACCATGAGAATATCAAAACTATTTTTGCGACAGATGGAAGTGGAAGAGACATCTTCAGGGCAGTGATGAGCGAAAAACGATTTGCTACACTTCTGTCTGCAGTGAGGTTTGACAATCCAGAGGACAGGAACGAAAGGAAAAAGCAGGACCCTGTAGCAGCAATTTCTTTTATTTTCAACAGTTTCATAGAGAATAGCCAAAATGTCTATGGAATTGGCCAGTCGACGACCGTTGACGAAATGCTTGTGAGCTTTCGTGGCAGAGCTAGATTCAAAATGTATATGCCAAACAAGCCTTCCAAATATGGGATAAAAATAATGGCTTTAACAGATGCTAGAAATGCCTACCTTTACAATGCGTATATATACGCAGGAAAAGATTCCGATGGGATTGGACTTGACCCTGAATTCAGGAATTATTCTAAGCCAACTCAAGCCGTTTTACGTCTTGCACAGCCTTTATTTGGGAGCAACCGCAACGTCACGGGAGACAACTGGTTTTCATCGGTGGAGCTGACAGACATATTACTGAAAAAGAAGCTCACATACGTTGGAACGTTGAAAAAAAATAAAAAGGAAATTCCAACTTGTTTTTTACCGAACAAGGCAAGGGAACTTGGATCAACTCTGTACGGCTTTCGTGAAGACTCAACTATAATTTCCCATGTTGGAAAGAAAAACAAGGCTACCATACTTATCTCCACAATGCATGATAGGACTTTTACTGATCCAGAGACAATGAAACCTGAAATAATTGCATACTATAATGCCAACAAAGGAGGGGTGGATTCTCTTGATGAGAAATGTGCAAAAAGTAGTTCTAGTCGTCGTACACGTAGATGGCCTTTAGCTGTTTTTTACCGTATTATTGACGTCTCGGTAGTGAATTCATACATCTTACATCAGTGTTACAAAAACAATAAAGTGATGAAAGACAAATCTGTATTTGCGAAAGAACTAGCTATCAAACTTGTCCAAGGACACATGGAAAGACGACTACAGAATCCTCGTTTGCCTCGCGAGTTACGCTACACCATATCACGTATCCTCGGTAGACCAGAAGAAAATTTACCCGACAGAACGGAAAATTTACCCGAAAGACAGGAAAATTTGATGTTGCAAAAGCGAAAAGCCTGTTATTTGTGTCATAAGACCACACATCGAATGACAAAATATCTGTGCTTGGAGTGTAGGAAACCAGTATGCCTGCAGTGTTCACATCCCAAATGCAACAGTTGTGCGAATAAGCCTTAGATTTAGGACCTGCTGGGACCATTGAAATGCAAAATTTCTTAACGTTTTGTTTCATTGATGTATTGTTTCATTTATCATTAATAGTAAAATATATAACATTGCTTTCATTTATCATTTTTTCCATTATCATGCTCCCTTGGAAATTACACTACCAATTTTTTTTTCAAGTTGATAATTATTATTTAATTTTTTTTTCACGTTAATTTTCCCGGATATTTTATGTAAAATTATTACTGAGAATATGCAACTAACATACCTTCATATATATTTGTAAAAAATTATAAGGTTCATTTATTTATTTTTGATTTGAAAAGGTGCCAGTCTCACAGACTGCACGTTACCAGTTGTGTTCCAAATTTGCACGTTACCAGTTAAGGGTTAAAGCAGTTCATTGCTGCAGTGGTTTTATGTATCATAGCAGTCATAGCTTTACCAGTTTACCATTGCTTACAATCTGTGGACCACATTATACTCGCATACAATGTACATGTGAGGTCCTACAAGCTATTTAATAAGCTATTCTAGTGACATCAGCATCATCATACTCATCAACTGAATAGCTTTTTTCACGAGTCACCATTACGTTAAAAGTGACCACAAATAACAGCTGATTAGTAACATTTCAAAATACCCCATTTCAACAAGTGACACAATTCTGATGCTATTTTGTTGTGGTCTTCTGTACACTTACTAACAACACTTTTAATGGGCGAGTTTCCACATTACAAATAATATTTTTTTTTGAAACGCCACTGAATTTGTCAACGACAACGTGCCATTTCGAACGACAAAATATAAACAAAACAGTCATGAAGCAATATGCGACCGAACAACGTGTTAAAATTATCCAAGCCTATAATGAAAACGGCCGATCAAGGAAGAATGAATTTTTTGGCGCACAAAGTCGGCCTTGTGAGAGGACAGTTTGGAATTTGGTGCAAAAATTTGAGCAAACTGGATCCGTAACTAACACCAAAACCCCTAGGCGTGCTCGGAGAGGTCGGTCGGAACACAATATTGCTATTGTTGTCGAAAGTGTGGCCGAAAATCCAAGAACCTCGATTCGTCATCGATCGCAGCAACTGGACCTTACTTATTCCACTATACAGCGGATTTTAACAAAAGATTTGAAGTTACACCCATACAAGCAAAGTCTACAAGAATAACCCGAACACAATTGCGGAGCTGAAACAGGAGGTCAGACGCGAAATTACCAATATAGGACCTGATTTGTGCCACGGAGTAGTCGAAAATTTATCGAAACGGATTACGTCATGCCACATGAGCCGCGGCGGTCATTTACTTGATCATCTTTCAAGCATAATTGTAATGAACTGCCCCGAAAGGACAAATACATACTTTTTTATAATTTTCAATTTCTTCTTTTTTTTAAATACTTTTAATGTGGAAACCCAATTTGAATCACCCTATATTTAGAAAAGATCTTTTGAACAGAAGAAAAATCGCTACAAACAAAATGACTGCTAATGATCATGACTATATTTCAATAGTTTTCAACTACGTGTAGTCTAAACATAAAACACCTATATTTGGTCCTACGTTGCATGGAAAGTTTTTTTAGCAAACCTTGAAAAGCAACGATAAATTTTCAAAATTTTGTTCTCTATTTGTACTGACAAATTATATAAATAAATGTTAGCTCTGTTATTCTTTGTCATATTCTGTCCCGATTATGGATTAGGTAATTAACATTACATGGTGTATGGGTATGTATTTCTAGAGAGGTTTCATATATGTCTAGATTTCTGTGCACATGAAGGAGTACTTCAAAAATATAGACTGTTGAAACTGGTAATATTCATAGGCTCAGATAAAAATGATCAGCTTTGCTATGCAGTCACAGTGTCAGATAGAATATTGGTCATTCACATTTGATCTGTTATAAAAGTATTTTGAACCAATTAATTTTCTGTCAGGTAAAGACTCTGCCCCATCAAAAGCCTCAATCAAGAATAAGAAGAAAAGGGAAGCAAAAAAAGCTAAAAAGCAAGAAGAAGGTATAGAAGAGGAGCCGAAAATCGTCAGTAAGGTTACTATCAATTTGACAGGAGATCCGGAAGCTGACAAGAAATTGAAGAGTATCAAAAAGGTAATGAAAACATCAATATATAATGGGAAAAATAAGTTATGAACAACTACTTGTATAAACATTTTACCACTAATATAAAATTCGAGTATAACAAGAAATGTAAGTAGTAACACCGGATAGATATTTTTCGGGCTAGCGACAAGACTCGACATCCGCGTCGCCCTTTGCACACATTGTTGGATGGGCAGCACAAAACCAGTGTTGTCAATTAGACTGATTTCACACTCCCTATGAAGCTTGAATTGTATGGTTTAACTGTATAGTAGCAGACTATATGGTGCTGGAAACCTATATTTTCCCCTGTGGATTTCAATGATTTCGAGGGAGAAATAGGCAACAGATTTGTTAGATTGGGTGCGCGGCTGTTGTTTAGCGCACCATTCATTAAACTGGAGGAGTGTTAAATTATCAGACGGGCATTCGTTCTCAGAACCACCAACCTCCCCCGCTCTTCATTCGTCAATTTTCATTTTCCTTGCCCCTGTCCCCCAACAATTGTTCCACTGAACCCGCCCCTGCGCTTAAGTAATGGTTTTATTTTGAGCGTACACATTTCTGAAGTACAAACTATCAGATCTTTGAACACTCCTAAATGTCTACATAACCAATATTTTTTCGTTTGTCCGAAGAATACAATCATTTTTAGAGACAAAGCTAACTTAAAACCAAACTATAACAAAATAACATATGTGGATAATATGGTTCTCATATGGGAGAGTTTTTAAGCTCACAACAGAATATCTTCCAATGGTTGATTATTTTAATAGCATCAGGGAGGCACGTGTAAACTTTTAGACCATTATAAATTATTGAATCTTTCATCAGTGTTGATCTTGTTTTCGTTATATTGTAACATATTTAATGTTTCAAATTTTGAATCATTTTTAAAAATAAGAGTTGCTGTTTCTACAATGAACAATGATACGACAGTCATTATTTTATAATTTAGAGATAAAGTCCTGCATGTAGTTCTAGGGCTGTCTCAATTTTAAGAACAATGTACAAACATAAAAAAATTGCACAGATTGCATCGCAAAGTCAAGGGTTAACTGTTGACGAAACTACAAAAATAGAGCACTTCATCTTTATATCGAAGAAAAATGCGGTCACATTGTGGAAGAGGTAATAGATATTTTTACAAAAATATCAGAAGACTACGATATTCGTAAAAAACAGGTGGTTGGTGAGATGGTCAGTGATGCAGAACTCACACTGAAAGAACTTCAAAAAGATATGTTGAAATGTCTTAACTGATTCAGAGTTGAGCTCGAGACAAGATCGAAGTCTTTTCAAAACCTTGCTTCATTATTCGAGATCGCACAAAGAAATACTTTGCGTTTGGCGAATACTGAAGAATTGAAATTAGCTACATCCAAATTTACTGAGTTTTATGACGAGATATTTTTATACGAGATACCCAAACTGTGAAGTTATCAAAAGCCGGTAATGTTACAGTTTCTGATTGGGTATCTCTAGATTTTTTAAAGTTCATTGTAGAATGGGATTTTACAGAATCTCTTCCAAATCTTATGATTGCACTAAAATTGTTCGTGATGGTATGCGTGTCCGTAGCTTCATGTGAAAAGAGTTTCAGTAATCTAACATTAATAAAAAACTATTTGCGGGCAACAATGACCCAATCACGGCTGAGCAATCTTGACATATTAGCCATCGAACACGAGGCAATACAAGATATAAATTTTGATGACATTATTTCTGAGATTGCAGCTGTCAAAGCTAGAAAGAATAGATTCTAATTGTAAGATAAAACTATGTTTGTCTTAGTTTTTATTATATTTTCTTATTTTTTGAATATTTTAAATATAAATATTAAATGATCCATGAAGTTTATAAATCATATAGAATTGAATGCTTTTGAATTTCGATGGGGTGACACCACCAACTTCCGCACCGGGTGCCACGCAAGGTAGCTAGCCACTGTGTAATGTTCACGATAGTTCGAATTTGTTTCATTTACCTTTATTTCGAACATTTTGGTCGAAAATAATTTGCATTTGTATGATTGCAGAAACTGGATGCGATCGAAAAATTAAAACAAGACCAAGCGCAAGGAAAACCTCTACAAATCAATCAACTCGAGAAGATCAAAGGCGAAACGGCGCTGTTGGAAGAATTACAAAAACTCACAATGTGATTATTTTTTTTATCGTTTTATTATTCATGTTTTTAATAAATGATATTACGACAGTTGAATAATAACAAAATCTATTTTATTATCGTGCTGTTTTTCAGTCAAACTCACTACCCAATTTTTTCAACTCGGAATAAATAAAATCTCAAGCATTACAGTGCGGATTGAAAAAATACTATGCACAATACTATTTCGTCATTGTTCGTCAGAGCGGTCCGGTGCACCTTTGCGCTTAGTTAAAAGTCTCGTCGGTCTGTTGGTCTGTCAGGTCTGGCTACCCAGATACCAAACAAGGGGAAAAGGGAAAGAAAGAAATAGAGCAAAGAAAAGGAGTAAATCATTTGATATAGCTTAAGCATTATTGCTTTGACTACTCGAATAATTTTGTAACTCCAAAAAATAATTTTGATCAGTTTTGTATACTGAAATAGTTTTGGCTGGTCTGAATTCACAATTTAATTTTGATCACAGTGCGAGGCGCGGCCTGGAATGTTTGCGAACTTGCTCGACTGTGTGGTCTACTGGATCACGCAACAGAGGGTTGCTGTGCGATTCGGCTTGATTATATTGCCGCTGTGCATAATCCCTTAGATATGGGATATCAAGATCTCTTTGAATGGTCTCATTTGATACGTACCAAGGGGCGTTAGTGATTGTGCGTAAGATTCTGTTTTGCAGAACTTTCAGTCTCTGCATGTGCGTCTTGGCAGGAAAACACCAAGCCGCGCATGCGTAGGTGATTGCGGGTCTTATAACCATTTTATATAACCGAATCTTGTTGATCAAACTTAATTTTGAATTTCTGCACAACAAAGGATAAAGCTGCCAAAAGGTAATTAATTTTGTTTTCAAAATATCAGTATGTTTCTGCCAGGTCAACCCATTGTCAACGATGAGTCCAAGGTATCTGGCAGATTGTTCCCATGGTATACGAGTTCCATTCACTGATATCTCTGAGGAAGCACCGCGACGTTTTTTGGTACAACAGATTGCCTGGGTTTTCGAAGTATTAATTTTGATCAACCACCGATCCGCCCACTCCAATACTTCCTCCACCGCACTCTGCAGCCTGTCGTGAACCAGGTTACCAGAACAAGACTGAGCTAGCAGTGCAGTGTCATATGCATAGAGATAGACTTCACGGTTGCTGGGGCAAGGGACGCCATGTATATAAAGTGAATAAAGGATTGGTCCTAAGAAAAAACCCTGAGGAACATCGGCTACTATACACATATGTCTGGCAGTGGTATTATGTAACTTTGAAAAGTGACACTAGGTAAGAATTTTTTGACGTTAGGTAAGAATTGTGACATTACATTAGATTTCTTATGTAATGTTATATTTGTCCTACTAAATGTCAACTTGAACTAAGTTGTCATTCACTCCAGGTACTCTCGTAGCTGGACTAGATGTGCACTAGTGGCTACCTCATTTGACCTAATGAACAATTTGACATTGCCTTAGATTTTTTGAGATTATTTAATTTTTTACGTAATACCCCTGCCAGATTGCTTCGTTTCAAAGTTTAATGACAAATCGACTGCAGATGGGTATTTTATCTGAAGGTGGCCATTTACTTTAAGGCCGAAATTGCGAAAAAAGATTATAAATATAAATAAATTGGCGCCAAGTAGGTTGATTCTGCACTTCCCACACACTTCATGAAGGACTACATTCTGGACATGTTTCAGATGAGTGACAAAAAAAAGGAAATCGCCTACGTATGTTTTTGGCAAATATGTTCAGTGTCCCTTACTCATAAAATGATTATTTTTCAGCTTTATTCGTCAACTGGCTGTAGAAGCTGGTTCAATAATGTGTTGAGGATCCACGATTTCTTATACACTCATTGACACGCCTGGGCATTGTGCTGATAAGGTCGTCGATATCCTGTTGGGGTTACTTCTTCCAGGCTACTGCAACTTCGTGAGTGAGAGCTGCTAAAGTCTGTGGAGGGTATTGCAAATTCAAGAGCCTGCGACCTATCATGTCTCAGACATGTTCAATTGGAGATAGGTCAGGCGGTCATACTGTGTTGATCCATGAAAAATCGGGTTTTGGATGGTGTTTAGGTATGGAATAAAATGAGGCTTCACTACTTCCTGAATATAGCGTCGGGCTGTCATATTGCCTCTGATGAAAATTAGTGGTGATCTGCTACAATAAGCAATAGTACCCCATACCATAACTCCCACGGTGTGGTGAACGTGACGCTCTCTGTCAAATTGTGGGTCAAGTCTTTCACCACGTCGCCTTCTCACTCTTGCCCGACCATCGTGAATCCCCAGACAAAAGCGGGATTCTTTTTCTACACCAGCGCAAACGGTTTCGCCGATGTTCAGCTGAGAGGTAGCTCCGAATGTGGGCGATAAGAAAAAAAGGCGCAACTGTCGTATTCGGCGATATGCCGTACGCATACCAACCATCCTTCCGTGCTCTTCAAACCACTTATTAGCATGGCTCGAGTACTACTGAAGTCTTGACTGCCGGTCTTGTCGCTCGCATGGGAAGATATATCGATATGTAAAAAATTATTGAATTCTAATAAACATGCGTATGTATGTGTTTACCTTTTTTTGTCACTCAGTATATATTAAGTTAGTCTCTCCGAGCTAGCTACAAACAAGTATAACATTCAATTAAATGGGTCAAGCCAGTCAAACACGCTCATACAATTAGTTAGTTCCCACCCGTTTGACAACGCTGACGCTAGTTTCCTCCATGCCCTAAGTATCGACCATCTGGCAATGATGCTGAACCACACCGGTCAACCATGCCACAAGGGCCAGCCACGATACTATAATACGGGATCGAGACCGCCGGCGATGCAGTCAGACACATAAAGAGCCTGGCGCATGAAGGTTGCCATCGTCCCAACCGACCGCGTGTCGAGTCTGTAAATTATTAATGTTTTAAAGGCAAATATTTGGGGAAATCTATAATGAGTGAAATATGTACTAATAGGCGTGTACAATTTCAGGGGTTGAAAGCGTATAAATATACTGCCGCAAAAAAGAGATATACCCTCCAAGGAAGTGGTGTCACATATTGGATACGCGACAGATTGCACGACCTTCTGCGTCACCATTGCTAGGCAACGTGACTATGAGCTTCGCTATCCAGCCTCTATCTCGTTATCTCATGTGAAAATACAAGTGGAATTTTCCAAGTTATAGACAAAAGGTCAACGATTAGTGGACAGATAGAGACGGAAATGAGTGGCATGGTTTTTCGTGATGATAGTATCTCATTTTTTTTTAATTTTCCGCGATTACAATACTTTCTCACCAGGAGGTGTGGAAAGTCATTGGCGCACTTTTCTCCCAATAATCTGGCTGTGGTGCCAAATGAGACACCACTGGACCTAGTAATTTCAATCTAGTTAAAGCTCAATAAGCGCCGTATTAGTAATCATAATTGCACCAAATTTCAACCAAATCGGTTTAAGGATATTTAAGATGATTTAAAACATCACTTTTTTTACTCTAACGCCGTGTATCTTAGAAACGAAGCAACTCCAGACATACAACTAAATAACTTTTTACGACCGCAGTTAGGAAACACTGTTATACAATAATATATTCTAAAAATTACATACAAAAATATAAGAAAATATATAAAAAATTACATGTGTATAATACTTTACTTTCAGACTCTCCTACCATCAAGGTATACCCAAAACGGTTTCATATCTTCAGGTTTTGGATCATCCCACGACTTTCGACATTTCAGTTCCCAAACATTCATACTTTTATTAAACACCTTTAAAAACGCCGTTATAGCCTCTGCTAATGGCGTATTCTGAAAAATGAAACATTTCAAAAATATGGGATTCAACCTAATCTATAAAATACACCCAGTTATTTCGATACTCATATGATTTATGGGGTGTTATTGTGAGGTCCCTCAGCTCCTCAGAGGTGTTTGCTACCCAGAGGAGATGCATTAGGGCTTTCATGAATCTCACCGTATGTCAGGAAAAACGTGGATGGCTGTTACAGGAACCTCAGGTTCCACAACTATGGCACTAATATGTGCATATCCTACAGTAGGTTAGTCAGGTCCAGTGATGGACATAATTATTACAGTATCAATTTTTTAATTCTCTTCCTGAACCATTTAGATTTTTGAACATTGCACCTTTCAAGACCACACTGTTATCATACCTAAAGCAAGAAGCTTTTTATAGTACCGATAACTTTCTAATCAATGACTTCAGAGACATATAATGTTTATATTTTATCTTTTTTTATATATTTTAGTGTAATTACATGTGATTTGAGCTTGTCTGTATTTTGATCTTTTCAATGTGTCTTGTTTGTTTTATTTCGTATTAGTGCCGAGTGTGTACATACTTTTTTGTTCACTGGAAGTTATTCATTTTTGACGTTAGTAAGCGCTTTTGCACCCCAAAGCTATTTAACGTTTAGGGCCGTACGCGAAATATTACACGATTTTTAGTTTAGATAACAAAAGTGAAATTATTAATATTTTTGGCGAGTATCCAGTATGACAAGTGTGACAGCAACAAATAGCTGATTATCTAGTAACATTTCAAAATACCCCATATCGACAAGTGACACAATTCTGGCGGATGTGTCAACGTTAAGGCGGGTACTCATATGAGCACGAACGCGAATGATGCAACCCGAGGACGGGATACGGGAAGTTTGGGGTCCTGAATAGTGGACGCACATGGCGTTGTACGGTATCGATTCTTGGAATGTGGCGAGCATTCTTGTATTTCAGTAGATTTTAAAATATGGCCAATTCAGATTCTGATGGTGAACGCGCTGCGTATTTTATAATTTTAACCAGTGCATTAAAAAAGAAAAACGGGAAAAAACCAAGACGATGGTCGTCACAATTATAACAGAAGAAGATAAGTGAGTGGAATAGCACAGGTTTGTCAAAAGATCTCTTGGCCGATGAAACGAGCGGGTTTTTCGAAAATTTTACCAGGATGCCTCAAGATTTCTTTTTGCTATTAAATTGCAACGAACCAAGAATAGAACGACAAGACACATCCTATAGAAAAGCTATTTCAACTGAATCAAGACTAGCATCAACTCGTTGGTTTCTTGCTAAAAAAAGCAATAAAAAATAGTCTTGATTATGATAATATTTTTTCGTGCACTACTAGTTACTACAGAGTAGACCGCCCTGACATGAAATGTTTGTTTCAGTCCAGACTGAGCACTCGCCGAACATGTGCCTCACTTTGATCAACCGCGAAGAAACGGATCGGGTCGAGCCCAAACGCATACGAATTCGTACGCCTCGTTCAGAAACATAGGTACGCTCATGCGTCCTCGGGTTGCCTCATTCGCGTTCGTGCTCATAAGCGTACCCGCCTTTAGATCTGTGGACAGGGTCGTATTTTGTTGTAGTCTTTAGTACGGTGCGGGTTCATACTTCCTAACAACGCTTTTATTTAGAAAAGTACCTTCACATACAAGAAAATACGATACAGTCAAGATTGCTGCTAAGGATCATGATTATATTTCAAGTCTGGTCGGAATAAACCAAGATAAACAGTTTTTGACTATGTTTTGGTATAAAAAACCAATTCACTATTGCCAACGTTGCAGACTTTAACACGTTCGCTGCGACCTGCCTCGCGCCGCGCGCACGGTAGCGGCTAAACGATTTTAGGCGCTGCACAAGCGAAGCGCGGATTCGCGTCGTAAGCCTATTGGATGTGAGTTGTGTAATTGAAAACTATTTCATATATACATTTTCTTCTTCTATCTCGTTTTTTTTCGTGCAGTAACACGAAACATGTCTTGAAACCCTATTAAAGATTTTTCTGTGGGCTGGAAAAATCATCACTCGTTTCAGACATATTTCCATCAGACTGCTCACTTCCATCTGAACTGGGAACATAATTGTCCGAGTCACTTAGATTCTCGATTTCACTCCCTGAATTGGCAAGAATATCATACAGTTCTTTTTCTGTAAGCCCTTTATTACGGTTACAATACGTTTTCACTCGTTTTGGACGTGAACAACCTGCTTCCACATCATCCGCCATTGCGCAATGTAAAAATAAACGAAACTTGACCCTACGCGTAAAATAGTCCAAAAAGATGTTCAATATGTAGGTGACCAAACAGAAAGCGAGTGCGGTACAAACTGACAACACTACAGTCTTGTGAGTTTATATCAGCCAGAAGCGCGGATCCGCGCCCGCCGCCTTTCGTTAAACATCGGTCGGACGCGGATCAGCGTCTTTCGCAGTGAACGTGTTAATACAAATATGTATATCACTTGCTGATCAGCTGTTCACCTCAGTAGACATTAACGTAATGGAGACTCGTGAGAAAAACCATAAGTACAAAATGAACCTGTAGCATACAAAAAACAGCAAAATACACCTGTCTACCAGGCGTTGACGGATCCGTCAGAAATATGTGTAATTTGTCGATATGGGGAAGTTTGAAATATTGCTAGATAATCAGCTGTTATTCTACCGAAATGGATGCTCGTGAAAAAGAAAATATCTATACAGCCTGGTTTCAATGAGATTGAAATTTTAAATAATTTTATTATAAAGTCAGGATCGAGCAGGAAAACGAAATGCATGCAATATGTGAATGTCTGCAGGCCCATATCAGGCTGGGTCTTCAGAGGATTAGCAGATAGCGTTCTAAAAGTAACAGAATTAAAATTATACTTACACTAGATGTTCCATTACTAATGTTGAATTTGTAAGATTCATTCACAATTTCTTTACAAAAACTTGAAAATTCTTTCTCTTGTAAATTCAAAAGCAATTTCAAAAATGTCAACTTCTTCACGTACACGTTGCTTTCACCATATATATCATCCACCTCTAATCTAAAATACGTCAAATAATGGAGCTATCTAGCATTCGAAATTTTATTCCTGTATGAGCAGAGCAAGAATCTACATTGAAATCTAGATTATCACTGTGAGCCAGTACTTACAATGCTGAAAACTCAGTAAACCTATCGAACGTTTGACACTTCATACACATTTCCATTGTGTCAAATTGTTTACTGCACTTTTTACATAAAGAAGACAGTTCCAGCGATATTATTTGTACTTGATGCACTCGACCCCAAATGCTCACATTTTTTGGAATGTTACCACCCAGACCAAGGAAACAACTTGGACCCCAGTTGAAAACATCATCTTCGTTCCTGAAAAATGGTTAAATACTTTAACGTTTTCAAATCACTAAAATTCAACAGATTACTGGAAATGTATATCTTGAAATACTCTAAGGGGCCAATTCTTGAAAACCACGGACGGAATATCCTACTGATTCTATTACCTTTTTTGGGAACTGTGTTATTTAACTCCCCAGGCCATTCTCAAGAGAAAATGCCAGAAAGCCTCTTCATTATGATATCTAATATCTAATGACGAAGTTAGATTTGTGATGAAACATCATATTTCAAAATGACATGCATTCGCATAATTATTTCATACTGTCAAAAGCTATCAGAAATGTAATAGAACACTTTATTCTGGTCATTCTAGTGACTAGCCCCCAGGTGACCGAAAAATAGTGTAAAGTAATGACATAATCCTAGATCAATACAATAATGCTATTATTCGCTTTTACAACAGTTTCGTAGTTATTTCTTGAGATCGGACTATATAGGATTTCGATATCGATATATCAGAGGCAGACAAATCGGCATAATGGGCGGCTACACAGAAAACTTTATAGTTGACAGGCAAGAGCAGATTTCTTTATTGGTAAGTGTTGATATAATCCAAAGGACATCTGCCTCTTAATGTTGGAGTACGTCAGTTGGGTGTATTATTTTTTCGTTAAGGTTAAAAGTGTTTCATACCTGAAAATTATAAAACATTGGAGACAAATCAGAATTTATCATGTATGCTAAAAAAAACATTAACTTTGAGTCCCCCCTTATCTACTTTCATTTTGAATTTAAAACTGTGAACTTTTATAAATAATAATTTTACGTTTTCTCATGTAAGCGCCATAAGATTTTGGTAATAAACCACACCACGCCCAAAAAATCTATTATTTCAAATTGATTAAATCGCTTCTCAACCTTTTCACGGGATCAATATAGTGACAATGATTTCACAGCAGTAATTTCCATATTATGTTCAAGGAAGTGTTCACTTCTAGCCAAAGATCTGCTCGGATCACATACAACATAAACACATATGTAGAAAAACTGAATGGAGTTCAAACAGGGTGCCCTACTATTTTCAATATTAGATATGTGCATATCTTCCCCAACAAAGAAATGAATGATGGGGTGGGAAAATGTGTTCCACGAACATCTGCGGGATTTTATGCTGTTCATCACTACATGCAATCTAATCGTCGCGCCATGCTTTTTTTGGAGGAGACAAAAGTCTGTATGTATGCACCGATTAGTCATCTTAGCTTCCCAAGTTACGAGGTTCACTCCAATCCGCAGCAGACTTTTCTGCTTCAGAAACGTTTCTTTGGAATCACACCAAAAGGACATAGTGTGACTTCGCCTCATCTCCAAAACATCCCCTAAATTTATTTGCTGCCTTTATCGCTCTCTCTCAGGCCATAACTGGAATGACCTACTTGTATACTTTGCTGTCAAGATCTAATTCATTAACATCAATCATCCCGCTTCAGAGGTAGTTCTCCTTGGTGATTTTAATTCCCATAATGAGCTTTGGTTTGGCTCAACTTGGACAGTTGCAGCAGGTCATGCAGTTGAAGCGTTCGCTACTACCAAAGAACTGACCCAGCTGGAGACGAGCCCTGCTTTTGTATCCTGCTGGATCTCTTTCTGACCACGCATCCTGTCCCTTATAGCACTGCTGTCCTGTCTACCCTGGATAACGCAGACCATGGAGTTGTAGAGATAGGGTTTCGGTCAGAACCCGCTGTGGCAGCAGAAACTTAGGCCGAAAAATTTGGCATTATGGACATGTTCTTTCGAGTCTATTCCAGATATCTTACGAATCCGGCACTTGCCCAGAAAACTGTAAATTTGTTCATGTCCAACCCATGCTAAAAAAGGATCTAAGATCAACCCTTACAACTACAGGCATAGACCTCTGCTTTCTGTTATAAGCAAGGTCCTGGAATGTTGCATAAATCGCGAGCTTCTGGACTACTTCGAACATCACGGCTTGACTAGCGACAGGAACCTCCTAGGTTACGTCTCGCAATTGTGGAGTAACCTCTCTTATGGTGAGGCTCATGTCGTTGCTCTTAATATCACGAAAGCGTTCGATCAGCTGTGGCACGTTGCCTTCTTATGCAAACTTCCATCCTATGGCCTCCCAGAGAAGTTTTGCATATGGCTGGCTGACTTCCTTTCTGACCGCAAGACATCCATCGTAATTGACGAGTTCTCCTCTTCATCCCACAACGTCAACGCGGGTGTTCCCCAGGGATGGATCGGTCTTGGCTCCGACAATATTTCTCTTACATATCAACGACCTCCTTTTCCGTACTATCAACCCAATCCACAGCTTTGCTGGTGCCAGCACTCTACATGTAGGAATTTAAAGCCAATTTCTGCCGGTTAGCTGGAAAAAAGAAGTCCAGAAGCGACTTCCTCTCTGATGAGACACCATCTACCTCTCTTCTAGCGCTACGCCAACAGTTTTTGCTCCTCAGAGCTCTCCTCCATGATGCCGCCGCGCGATTGGCCTGCCAGGCAGACCAGCCTGACTTTTGTCTCCCATCCTAACCGTGTCGAACTTTGTACATCCAGAACTGGTCGATACGACCGCTCCTTTGTCTCGATTGTCTTGAGTTTGTGGAACAATTCACAAGAGGACGCTTTTCCCAGTTCTACTAACCTGAGGCAATTCAAAAGTCGGATAAACAAAATTTCTTTGAGATCATTATAACAGCCGCGGTGTCCTGCTGGCATTTCGGCTTCTGCCTGGGCGACTACTTCAATGTAAAAAAAATGCCATTGATGCAATCCCAAGATAATTTTTCGTATTTTGACCTTCCAAAATTATTAATCGGGAATTGTTCAAATGCTATACAGTTAATAAATATTTACTTTTCCCCTTATTTAATTTATTCCTGTTTCAACAACAACTGAACGATATACACTGCAACACATCCAGTGCAACTGGCTAGGTCAATATTCATTCCAGAGCTAAGAATGTAAGCTGATGTGTTGATTTGCCGCTTTGCTAGCTATCTGTCACTTTGGCAGGCAAATCTAGCCAAAAGTGTGCACTCAATCTACGTAATTTTGTCGACAAAAATTGCTATGTAATCATATAGGCTTGGCTGCTTCATTCGAATTCGTTGGTACAGACCTGAACAGTAGGATTTTAAAGCTGAACGATAAACATGAACATGCTATATTTGGCTGATTTTATTTTGATTCTCAAAAAAAGATAAAAAAGACTAAGCGTCTAGTGATAACAATGACGAAATATACAACTGCAAAGCATATTTCGATTGCAGCAAGTTTAATGCTTAAAACGTCAAAAATAAGTACTAATGCTACCTGGAAAACACTACCAAAATCGATAGTTCAATGTGTGGCCTATGCAAAAAAACAGATTTGTTTGTGGGGAAAACAGGGAACATATCAAATAATATCAAGCGTCATCTTTCTAAATACACATAGACAAGTATGCCAAAATGCAATCATAAAAGACTGAAAACGGCTATTATTAAGTTTCATTTCATTACACACGTAACAAAAAGTTGTATTTGTCTTAAATTCAATGATATTAAATGTTTTTAACTTTGCAATTTGTATCGTCAACCAATTCATGTCTCGGAAAATTGGGCCGATACACATAGCATGCAAAGTTATCTAAAAACGTCGTATACTTACAGATTTATAGTCTGAAATTCGACTTCAGGCTCATAACCGACGATCTCAAATGAAGTTAGTGCAGTTGCTTTCAAATATTTCGAAGACTGAGGTACAACGTTCTTCACGATCACTCTCATCTGATTGACGAGTCCCAATGGCATCACTATGTTCTCCCAATTTGACAGAAAGCAATCTAGGTTTTGCCTTATATCGTTTTCGTCTGAATACGAAAATCGCAAAACATGAGTTTTCGAAGTCGGTGTTCCGTATCCGTATATGTCCGTAATTTTACGGACTCTAGAGTGCAATTTGTCTACGAAGCATTTGGTTTCTAGCACACCTGCAAAAATGAAGAATACCTTTAGATCGTCATTGAAAAACGTTCTAAATTATAATTTTCAAGGAAACATCTTATGTTACACTGTAGTAATCATTTTTTAACAGGACTCAAACAACAATATTTCCTATATAGCCCGGGTATATAAGCTATTCTAGATATGTTTGACATTTGTGACATAAATTTAGTGTATTATTTTTGGAGCCTCTAAACAAGCAACAAGCTATAACTATATACCAGCCATCATGAACATATTGCAGATTTGGCTATATCAGCTATAGCTTGGCAATATTGTCTGCTAAATCAGGTAAGAATGACAAACGGGGTTGTACGAGTCATAAGCTCACATTACTTACATTATATTCAGATAGCTCGGGAATCTGACAACAATATATGAAAATAGGTCGGAGTCAGAAATGTCAAACATGTGTAGCAATATAGCCAGGTTATACTAAAACTATTACCGTATATTGCTGGCTACTCTACTGCATCTGCTTAATGCAGTAAAAATACTGCCTGTTTAGAGGCTTCATAACAGATGCCGAACTAATCTTACTCAATGAAATGTAGGCTGTTGCGTGTACAATTTCGTCGGCCATTCTTGCCTGATTTTATAGCAAGTCTGATGAAAATTCTGACATGTGTTTGCACATTGCAGACAATGTTAATTTCATTTCACTAATTATGCTGATGATACCAGCATACTCATTAGCGACAAAAAACACCACCGGATCGGAATATAATGGTCAGCAGGTGTTTCAATCGTGAGGAAATGGCTTACAATGAATAATCTTGTACTAAATAATGACAAAACTGATTCAATAATATTTAGAGCAAAGTAATCACATATTGATATACCACAAAATATCACACTTTCTGAGAGTCTAAAGTGTTAGGAATACATATAGATGAATTTCTGTCTTGGACTCCACACACAAATAAAAATGCATTGAAACTGAGTAGCATCAGCTATGGAATAAAACTGTTGTCTGGGTATATAAATCCAGACTGTTCAAAAATAGTATATTGTGCAAATTTTGAATCGATTTTACGTTATGGAATAATACTGTTTGCAGGCAGCTCAGAACTGAAAAAATTATTTATTATTCAAAAAAGGACCATAAGAGAAAAGATATAGTACATAAGATTTAATGAGACATGTAGAGGCGTATTTAAGTGTATGGGTTTATGGGACAGTACATGCACTTTATATTTTTGATTGTGTTATGTTCACAGTCAAAAGTAGACACAATTTTCCCAGTCAAAATGATCACATATACAGTACAAGGCATATGCAGCGTAGGCTGACAGTAACTGAAAAAAACTTTTTCTATATATGCACAAAGTTGTATAATAAGCAACTTAATCATTTGAAAGCGATTGAAGGAAGGTACATGAACCTTCAAACCTTCAAAAAAACCTTAAGTTTAGTTGGAACCATACAGTAGTTCTGAATACATGAATGCTTCGTTTTAGTTTTTGCACGGGTATGACGTTAGTTCCACATGTATGTCATTTGAACATATTAAGTATTTGTGATTCTAGATTTGGAATAAATATTATTTTTATTATTCTTAAAGCGAGATATATATATACAGGGTGTCCGCAAAGTTGGGGTTTTCCTTTACACGACGTGTAGATCTTGAAAACATAAGCAATTTTTCTTAGTACCATATACACCAATGTCTTAAGGGAACCGAGATAAAGGGCTCTGCAACATCAAAAATATCTGAATACCATCCTGTAGCCGCGACATCACGGAGTGGTACAATGTCACTGGCTCAACGACAGAACTGGGTCGGGGGTCGGGGTCAGTGTGTCAGGTCAGTATGCAACCTTCAACCGACGGTTACGGTGACGCCTGTAGAGATAATCGCGTAGATGAGAATCCCTCAACAAGCACTAGAGACGTGGCTAGAGAAGTGCAAGTATCAAAAACTAGAGTGTGGCAAACGCTGCGTGAAGAGAGGCTGTATCCGTTTCACGTCCAACGTGTACAAGCCCTTCAACCTGACGATTTTCCAGCAAGAGTGCGGTTTTGTGAGTGGTTGTTGCATCAACATGACAATAATCCGGACTTTTTGAAGTGCATATTGGTGACAGACGAATCTACATTCACGCGTAATGGGGTGAATAACTTTCGCAACACTCATGTTTGGTCAGTAGAAAATCCGCACGCTGTCCGTCGGGCACATTTTCAACAAACATTTTCGGTGAATGTTTGGGCTGGCATGGTGCGTCTGCTCGGTAGTGCATCAGCTGATTTCATTTTCTGTTGGAGCGGTATGATTGCGGGCAGAGACGTACTTAGCCCTTCTCGTCAACTGGAGAGTGAGTACTTTTTCCTTTATTTTTGTTTTACTTGGTCGCCCTCGTTTCACTACACATTACCTTTGTTATTTCGAGGGTAGTTGTTTCTGAAAAGGAAAACCCCAACTTTGCGGACACCCTGTATATATATACAGGGTGTTTCAGTTTATTGTTGCATAACTTTAAGATTCGATGGAACGTTTAAAATTAATGCATAAAGTCTATATAAACATGGCTCGAAAAATGCGTGGCTTCCGAAATACAGGGTATTTAAATTTACTTTCTAAAATAGTTTTTTTTAAATATTTCGAACAATATTTCATGTATAACAGTGAAAATTGGTATACAAGGGTTTTTTGGTACGACAAAACGAACCATGGGCATAGTTTTACTGTAGCCGCTAGAGGGCGCTCTCTACTGTACCTGTAGTGTATTAAAATGACCGAAAATTTTTTCTTAGTGAAATTTTTTGCTTTTTGAATAAAAAAATTGATTCTTCGCACTTTTCAACAAAAAAAGCTCTCTTGTGAATTTTCGTTATAGTTAGCCGTCTTTGAGATATTTCGATTTTTAAGGTTCGATGCATTTTTAATTATTTATGATAAAATAACGATAAAAAGTCAGTATGTCGATAATTTTTAGAAGTAGGCTGTGCCTGCAAATATTTTTGAAATTGAAAGCAGAATAAGGTTAAACGTCAATTAGTTGACAGTTAGTTTTGTTGTCTGTTGAAACCCGAAACGTTTTTTTGGAATGGTGAATGCACGAAATTTAGTTTCATTTACCTGTTTTTTTTTTTGTAAGTTTTATAAAAATGCTATTTTTATTCTCCAATCAAAAGTTAGCGGATATTCATTTTGTGTATGGCTTTGTAAATGGAAACGCAGCAGAAGCAGCCAGAGAATACGCACGAAGATTTCTAAACAGACGACATCCAACTCGCTCAGTATTTGTAAGAGTGCATCGCCAAATGATTGAAAATGGTTTAGGAAATCTCCAAAGGGATCAAAACATAAATGTTCGTCAGCGCAGATTTACCCGTATGATTCTGCGTGAGTTTGATAGAGATACGACCACAAGTGTTAGGAGAGGTTCTGGTGCCTTGGGAATTTCAGCAAGCCATGTTCACCGTGTTCATAGAAATGACCATAGACGTCCTTACCATTTGCAATCTGTGCAAGTACTACAGCCAGGGGACGGAGAACGAAGAATCACATTTTGTCAGTGGATTATTGATAGAACTGATAATAATAGGAAGTTTTTAAGTAACGTTTTATGGACCGATGAGTCATGCTTCACTAGACGTGGAGTGGTAAATTTTCATAATCAACATATATGGTCGCATGAAAATCCGCATGCAGTTCGGGAAAGAAATTTTCAGCATGAATTTAGTGTGAACGTGTGGATTGGTATCTATCGTAATCGACTATTTGGACCCTACCTTTTTCCTGCAAGGTTAAATGCTGCGACCTTCTTGGAATTTTTAAAGGCTAACATGCAAATATGTGGGATGATGTTATGTTAGATTTAAGAAGATCGGCCTGGTTCCAGCTTGATGGTTGTCCAGCTCATTATTCGAGAATAGTTAGAAACTAGCTGGACGAAAATTATCCAGAAAGATGGATCGGCCGTGGAGGACCAGTCGCCTGGCCTCCACGATCCCCTGACCTAAATCCATTAGATTTCTTTGTGTGGGGATTTCTAAAAGAAAAAGTGTACCAGACTCCCGTAACCACAAGAGATATGCTAATAGCCAGAATCAGGAATGCATGTGATGAAATAAGGCCTTATTTGAATAATGCTATACCACGTTCGATCATTCGTAGATGTGAATTGTGTATTGAACAATTGGGTTTACATTTCGAGCAACTACTTTAGATTTTGTATGTTTGTCCTAACTATACAATAGCATTTTAGTTGTAAATAATTAATTTCATTTGTTAAAAATAATTTTGGAAAATTAAACAAATTAATATTCTGTTTTTTGTGTTTATTTGGAGTTAGGAATTATTGCTGTGTTTAAAAACACAATCTAAACGATCATCTTAATTACTTGTAATGCCCAAATCGAAAATGTAAAAAAAATATTATTTTCCCATAAATAATTAAAAATGCATCGAACCTTAAAAATCGAAATATCTCAAAAACGGCTAACTATAACGAAAACTCACAGGAGAGCTTTTTTATGCAGAAAAGTGCGAAGAATCAGTTTTTTTATTCGAAAAGTAAAAAATTGCATTAAGAAAAAATGTTCGGTCATTTTAATACACTACAGGTACAGTAGAGAGCGCCCTATGCCCATGGTTCGTTTTTTCGTACCAAAAAACCCTTGTATACCAATTTTCACTGTTATACATCAAATATTGTTCGAAATATTTTAAAAAAACTATTTTAAAAAGTAAATTTAAACACCCTGTATTTCGGAAGCCACGCATTTTTCGACCCATGTTTATATAAACTTTATGCATTAATTTTAAAAGTTATATCGAATCTTAAAGTTATGCAACAATAAACTGAAACACCCTGTATTGCCGAGCCATATGAAGCAATATGTTCTTGATGGTGGGATATGGTTGCCATAATTATAGCCAAATATTGCAACAAAAATACTAATCGTTTTGAGGCTCGATGAGTAATTGCATCTGCTAATCGAGTAGACGCTAGTTTCATTCAATTATCGCACACTTAATCCAACTCTTTGGCGTCTTTATAATATGTTTAACTATTATTACCTTCAAACGTTACGAGACTATCATTATTCAGAACATAATTTTTACATTCCGTAACAGATAAAACTTCTTGCTGTATTTTTGGCTCTTGCCTTATCTGAAAATGTGCACCACGTTCATTTAGAAGGTATATAATGTGTTTAGATATTCGCGACAGTTCAGGATGTCTCGTTTCTTTCCTGAAAGATTATAAATAATATAAAGCTCCATACAGATTACGCGAATCAATAAAAACATAGTAGTACTTTTGATTAACATATTCCCCAGGAAGATGCCTAACCCTATGTGGTATTTTGAGGTTCACCCAAAAGTTCATTATCATTTTATTTTAATAACATTTTAAGTTAATTTTAACATACTGGACTTGTGTTTGTTATTTTAACGGGTTTTAATATTCTATACATGCATACATGTACAACAACATTTAGTTGTACAATTTTTGATAATTAAATGGTAACGTATCATGTTACATTTGTATTTTTTATTTATTGTTTAATATATACATTTGTGATATTTTAAATAAAATAAATGTTATTTATATGTTCCACTATGGTATTGTACTACATTTTTGCTTTTCTTTGACGTTGCTTATGTTGTTCTTGTAAAATTTTGCTGGCAATAAAGAATATTATTATTATTATATTACATATAATACAATTATAAAAATAATAAAAACAACCTTTATTTTCTTGTTAAAGAAAATAATTTATTCTTAAACACGACATAAACGTTCCAGGAAAAAATCGCCTCAACCTAACACGTAATTATTCCTAAGATTTCGTATTCTCAGAATTTCTCAACAATGGAGAAGGAAATCCCATATATTCTAGCAACACTCGAAGAGGAGACATGACTGACACCTAAAAACAGTGATCAACAGATAATGGGTGATTCATTTATACTTACTTTTTTCAGCAACAAAATAAAATAACAAAATTCTTTTTTCTTGTCAAATCTTTTTTATTAAAGAAAAGCACTATTTGTGACATTTATTTTTTAAATATTATTTCTTTCAAATGTTGTCCCTGACTGCGGTTGAGATGGTCCATTCGAAAGTTCCAATTTTCGATGACACGATGGAGCATTTCGACTGGAATTTGGCGAATGACCTGCGTAATGTTGGCTTCTAATTCCTCAATCGCATTGGGCTTATCAATGTAAACTTTAAACTTAACGTAGCCCCAAAGGAAAAAGTCTAGAGGTGTGATATCACATGATCTAGGTGGCCAATTCACTGGTCCAAATCGTGAAATTAAGTCTTCATCGAAATGTACTCTCAATAAAGCCATGGTTGCAAAGGGCTGTGTGGCAAGTGGCGCCATCTTGTTGGAACCAAATGTCATCGAGATTACGGGCTTCAATTAATTTCAGGCAGCAAATAATCCGTTATCATGGCGCGGTAACGAGCACCATTCACAGTTACGTTCTGACCGGCCTCATTTTTAAAAAATAGGGACCGATGATTCCACCGACCCATAAACCACACCAAACCGTTGTTTTCGCTGAATGTAATGGCAGCTCTTGAACCACTTCGGGTTGTTCTTCACCCCAAATATGACAGTTTTGTTTATTAACGTAGCCGTTAAGCCAAAAATGGGTCTAATCGCTAAACAAAATTTTGCTAGAAAGCATCGGATCTTCTTCAAGCCGTGCAAGAGCCCAAAGACTGAAACGATGACGCTTTGGAAGTCGGCCGGCTTCAATTCTCGAACGAGTTGAATTTTGTATGGTTTCAAATTAAGATTCTTACGTAAAATACGCCAAGTTGTTGAATACGACAAGCCAAGCTGTTGAGAACGGCGTCGAATCGATTCTTCACAGTCCTCACGTATACTCTCAGCTACCACAGCTATATTTTCTTCACTGCGTGCTGGATGTGGTCTATTTGGTCGGGTATTATCCAATAATGAAAATTGGGTTTCAAATTTTTCGACCGTACGGCGAATTGTGCGTTCGCTGGGCCGATTATGTACACCATAAGTTGCTCTAAGTGCACGAAATACACTTCTCACAGAACGTTGATTTTCGTAGTACAGCTGAAATATTTGTAGGCGCTGTGCTGGACTAAGTCTTTCCATGATGAAATGTCGAACAATACTGAAACAGAAAAGTACCTCTAAATGAATCACCCGTTATACAGTTGTAAGCATAAGTGGCTGGCAGAGTTCACACAGACACAGCTTGAAATTTTGTATCTTCTGGTGGAATATGTTAATCAATCGTACAACATAGACTTACAGATCATCATTGTGGAATAAGGTGTATGAATGGCCTTCTTTAAAGGTAACTGCATAGGTGATATAATTTTGGGTTAGAATAAGGAAAGCCTGTTCATTTATCACATTAATATTATTCTGTGTTACTTCAATTTGCAACCAGCATTCACTTCCTTTACTTCTACCAAATACGACCTCAAAAAAAGAAAAAAGACTACAGTTCAAATAAAGACAAGATTACTAAATTTTTTCATCAATTTCATGCCAATGTCGGTAGTTAATTTCAGCAAAAGCATCCATTATTTTTTCAGTGGATCAACTATACATACCATGGATTTCCTCACCAGTTTAAAACTGGTTTGATACTTGAAATTCTTTTCTGGGGAACAGTGTACGAGATGTTTAGCTGAAGAGTTCAATACCACAATATCTTCAAACCTCACACAAATACACTCTAGGCATGGCACATTTTCTTCATTGAATATCTCAGTAACAATTCGAAAGTCTTTTATTATAACGAAAGTATCTATCAGGCCATCAATATCTACCTCAGACCCCTTGAGTACCAGACAAGGCATCTTATGGTTACAATCACACAAGGTCAAAAACCCATATCTAGTATCTAGAGTGAGATAACCTGAAAACAATCAAGACTGGATTACATCTACTTACCTGACTGCCTCAGAAGGAGGGTTATGTTTTTCGCACATAGGTATGTATGTGGACAAAAATCCTATTTCATTGGCTACAACCCAAAATGCTCGATGAATTTTGACATATATGAGGTGTTGTTGAATTCATCTTCAGCTTCCAAATTGCCTTTCACAGGCTACAGCCCAAACAACTAGGTGAATTTTTACACTGGAGGTGTCCTCAGATTTGTCTCAATAGTATGATTAAAACTTAATGCATCTCCATTTAATGTCAGTGTCCACTTCACATCAACTAAAGTTTAGAGACACTGACAGATGAGATGTACTGAATAGACTACCTATAAGCCCTGGTTGTCATACGAGTTTATACATCAAAAAAATGCCTCAACCAAGGAGTTTAAGTAGGGTTTTAAAATTCACACAGAACTGGCTCAGTTTTTGGCACTGTAAGCGAATATAGTGCTAGGTAGAATCAAAATTCAAGGTTACTTTGTATGTTTCTTTCCTCAAAAAATATTGATTGCCTAGTACAAGAGTTCACCTATGTGGTAGAACCAGCCCAGAACGCACCCCAAAACTTGCCAAATGATACATACCTATCAGAAATGTATTATTTGTGTCTTTACTATGTATTCCAAAACTCCATTTAGGAAAACTGCTGTATTTTTCTGAAACATACTCCACATAGCGGCAGTTACTCACTGTTTTTATTACATGCGGTTTTATACTAATATCACAGATCAATTTTTCATGCTCACAAAAAGTTGTACTAAACACAGACTCTTTCCTGGTATATGATATAATTTCTGATATTAACTTAATTTTTATATCTAGTGGCATGTCTGAAGTAATATTTTCGATTGAGCATATATATTTGTCTATCAGATAAAGATCCACAACAGTCAGTTTTTCCTGGTGTACTAGTTCTGAAAAGGCATTTTCAGTTACAGTAGTACACAAATCACCATCTAAAACAGAGTGCTCACAGAGAACATTTCTAACATCTTTCCCATTGGCATTCTCAATGCTAATGTATGAATCAAGAGCAGGCATCTTGTACTGGTATTTGCTCATGACCATACACATATGAACATGTAAACAATCATTAACAACAAAGTAAAATAATGTTGGGTCCACTTTCGTTACTTTACCCTGGAACAAAACAAACAAAGTTTGGTATACTGATGAAACAAAGACATGTTGAGATTAACAAAATATTAAAATAGGTGAGATTTTTGAATAGCTCAATCTTATGAAGTTGATGGTGCTCTGACACTTCCAAGTTAATCATAGTCATATTTATCAACAATGTTATGTAACATCAACAAAAAATGTATCATTTTGACAAGAGGATGACATTTTGAAAAAACATCTCTAAAAACAGTTCTATAATGTTCAAGAAGTTGAGAAAAGTATTATATTAAAAGTGGGCCATATTATATAATGTTAAATAAGAAGGTTGTAAAAAATGTCTTGTACAGCACTAGAAAAATTTCTCTTGGAGAATATTAACTAAGATAAAATGATTATTAATTGTCAGTTTGAATGATATCAAAAGGGGCTTCAAAGGAGGATTACAGGAATAAATGTATATTATGTCATAAAATATTGACTATATTAAAAAGAAATCAAATCCTACAAGTTCTATGACTAGGCTCTTGTCTCAGTCCAGCTTATTATTACTGTAAAATTTATTTGGGATGATGGATATGGACCACCACTCCCTGAGTTAATAGAAGTTGATACAATTTTCAAATGTAACTTACCTTAAAAGAATTCATGGCATTATGAATTAAGAAAAATATCACAGACAGAAATAATAATTAACGGGCCACAATTCATAAATATTTGTTTACAAATTAGTAAGGTTATGTCCACAGATCTTGAAGATCACAAAACATATACACTGAAGAGAAACCACAAAACTAAAAATTATGACGAGAAATCGGTCACAGAACCATCACACCAAACATTTCTTACGTTTTGTGATTTGGTATGACTTCTGTGACACAAGTTAACACATCAGTGGGAGTACGTCATGCACGTATGTGTCTGTGTCATGTTTTGTGATCCACGTCACCTATTAAAAAAACTACATTTCTGGTTACATTTTAAAAACAGTATAATAATGCATTTACCGAAGTGATACATTTTTTAGATTTATGAAACGGAAAGCAAGAATGAAAGTGAGAAATGGATACACTGTACAATCAGACAAACTTGCTGATTCAGCAAACACAATACAGCTTCCAGTCATTAGAAGGTAGCTCAAAGAATGCAGTGGAAATTGAAAAGGAAATTCAGGATAAAATCAACTTGATCAACAAGTAAGCAAGCTAATGTTATGTTGCATAGTTCACTCTCACAATAGATCATTACCTTTAAACTTAAAGTCGTTGTAAGAGTAACTCAAACAAAATAATCATAACATTGTTTTATACAGCAACTGCATGAAACTAGACCTGTATGTAATGAAAATACCTGTAGACCAACGCCCTAGTGCCAAAATGCGATGTGACCAGTTAAAATATGATGCTAAGCATTTACAGGCAGCTCTTACAGCATGTCAACAAAAGAGGTAATTATTTATTAAATTCATATATATATATATATATATATATACAGGGTGACTTCGAAGTTGAGTCATTTATTTTAACAGTGAGTAGATCTGATCAAAAGAAATGTTTTTTTCCTTTACCATTTTTCTGGTAAAATTAAAGTAACAAAGTTATAGCCCTTTGGAAGTTTGAGTACCGCCCTGTCTCAATATCATCATGTGCTCGTGTTTGGCAACAACGGATATAATCCACCTTATCGGTTCATCGCATCGGAAACAAAAAAGCGAAAGAATTTGGAACGATGTTTACTTTATTCAGTTCAGTTATACATACAATCAGTGTCAGTCGCGTGTGAATAGTGGCTCAAACGAAATAAAAAATGGCACATGTTTATGCGGATCGGTTTCCCAATCGAGTACAACCAACCCCTCGTGCCTTTGTTAATAGTAGTACAACGGGCTCGTGAATCAGGTGACTTCAGACCTCACAGTGGACCTCACGATCAAATACAGGTCCGCACTGAAATACTTGTCGGGAGGATACTTTATAAAACAAGGTAAAAAATTTTTTTAATTTTTTTTTCATTTTTACACACATATTTTGGTTTATCTTCCTTCTACAATCATTATCTGAAAATTAATGACTCAACTTCAACTATATAGATCTATTATACTGAAATATTTTTGTTGGGAACCCTCTGAGTTAACATAACTCCTAAGACTTACCCTGTGATAATTCAATTGATTTTTATCTTTTCATTACTAGCTTCCAAATTGAACCAAAGAACCTACATGAAAAATGTTTTGAATGAGCATTTAAGCCACATCTGTGGCCTTTGTCAATATATTGTGAAGAAAGACATTTGTCAATCACAAATACTGCATATGTTAAATGTTATGAGGTTGCTTGTTTGTTGCTTTAACTTTGAGATATTTTGAGGGAGTGCTGCAACCCCTATAGATGAACTTTTCTCCTCTGCTTTTGGGTATTTTAGACTCTTCTATTGTATCTCCCACATTTTTTTTTGCTCCTGTGTGGTAACCTCCACTGCCCTCTTAGGAAAAGAATGTTTGCCTTTGCAGCATTTGACATTTTAGTTGGAACTGTAAATTTGCTCCCCTTCCCTTTTTCATGGAATCCTGAGTACACCCTTAACTCTACAGGGAAAACTAAATTTGTCTGATGGCTTGAGTTTAATGTGTAATGAGAGAGAAGCGCGATAAGTGTGTATGTCAGAAAGAGATAGAAGCTGGCTGGTCAGTCAAGGTCATCAGCACATGGCCTAGCAGAATGTTGTGCAATCTGTCTCATTGCACCAGAAAATGTTCGCACAGGCTTCTAGAATAGGGTAGCTGACTGTCAAACCCAAGAAGGTCTGCTCAAACATTTAATTCAATATTTTGCTTTCATTTTGATTCGAATTATTAATTTCAGTTTTGATGAAGTTAGTGTTTCTATTTTTTTTAGAATCTCTACTGATGGTGTTAAACTTGATACATCCTGTGTTATTGGTACATTCTGCGAAAGGGTTTGCGGTCGGAAAATGTAACAAATAATGTTACACAATACAAATTATCACTGCCTGCATGTACGCAGGTGACAGCTATTTCAAAGCAGGATGACACTCGCCAGTGAGTGCTAGATGGGTACTGACCAAAATTGCTGATCTATGATTATGTAGGTGAAAACCTTGCCTTGGAATGTACGAGATGCGTGTTGCCAAGCGAACCACTGATGCAATATTGCAGAATTTATGGCGATCCTAATCTTTTATTTCGACATAAAATGGAGCGCCGTTTGGACCGATCCGACACAATTCACAAATGTGTACGCTCAAAATAAAACCATTATTTGGGCGTAAAGAATAAACTAACGCATATTTTCAATGTGCATCATAATTCAAGGAACTGGTGTAACGTATTCGCAACGCGGTACATTGCCGCGTCAACGTTGCTAAGCAACGTGTCGATGAGTTTCGCTATCCAGCGGGCTTCTATTTCTTTCTAACATATGTGCCTCTATATACTTCTCTCTCGTACACATTGAACTCAGGCCGTCAGACAAATTTTTTTTTCACTGTATACTTTTGTGCACAGGTGGATCAATTTAAAATTAAAATGCTTATGCTTAAGAAGTACAGAAAAAGTATAAAGTATTTTGTTCCAAACAGAGCTAGACGTGAGCAAGCTACTTCAGAACGTGATCAGCTGTTGAGCAGACGATTCACCGCCAATCCTGACGTAACAGCCATCAACATTGACTACAGTCTGCAACACCAGACTTCACTACATAATGCAAACAGGGGTGTTGATGAAATGTTGCACACGGGTGCAAATGCGTTGGACAGCCTCAGGTCACAGAGGAATACACTGAAAGGAGCACAAAGACGGTAAGAGTATTTATAATAAAGATTATTAATCTTTTATGATCTAAAAAGATACTGTACACATGTTGTTTTATTAAATGGTTTCTGCAATATTGTTGAAGAATCTTGTTGTCACATGTAACAAATCATCAGGAATGTTTCATTGAGCATGTCCTTTTATTCATCAATCTTTGGTCAATGCCTTACCATTGTCAGTAAGACACATACATCTGACACTGAAGGTTTCTTGTTCCAAAACATCTGGGCGACAGAATTGTTAATCGTAGGTTAATTTATTTTTGTTTTTGAACTACTTCCATCGACCTTCCAAATCGAATCACATGCAAAACAAATGTTGAAAGTAACTTTTCTCATGCCGAGATTATGTTTATGGATATCACAATTTCCTCAGAAGTCGCAGTCGCTTATACATAGATGATCGAAAAGTGGTAAGAAGCGAGAGACGGTCTTTGACTGTCGAACGCGGAGGTACCACCCGGCTGATCTCTTAGGCGGGGAGAGAATGTGTGCATGTCGCATACACAGGTATTGCCTTGCTAGATTCCGTGTGGCGTATCCCCTTTCCCCTGTACCCCCTATACCATGGGTGTTTAGACCATTGGCCTTCAGGTGGTTCAAGTATAAAAAAACATTCTGCATCGTTGTTTATTGTGTGAAAATTCCCTGTTCAGATCGAGCTTTCAAATTTATTTATTTTCATCTTCAGGACATATTGCAAAGATGTCAATTCAGATCCATTACATATAAATATAAATAAAACATGTTTGTAATTTGTTCGGCATAACATAGGGTCGACGTAAAAGTTTTCTTGTAAGTGCCAGGCTATGGGGATAAAGACCCAAAAGTCAAGAACTAAAAATAACCTAACATAAGTTCACTTGTAACATTAAGGTAGTGATGGAATATGTTGTTTTATTCGCCAATTCATCAGCCTCAAACATACTGTCATCGTGTATCCATCATGCAAAGTAGATGCTATAAAAAAGTTGAATCTGCTTTTTGAAGAAAAAATTGGAAAACTATCATTTTGACATTATAATATTACTACTTTTCTGTATGCAGGATTATGGATATGGCAAATACACTAGGGCTGAGTAACCATACTATGAAGCTGATAGAAAAACGGGCCAAAGAAGATAAGGTGATACTGTTGTTAGGCGTTGCTATTACACTCATTGTTATTGTGTTGGTCATTATTTATTTTACATGATTAAGCTTAAATATATATGTTCACATTCCTAATATATTGTATGTATATTTTCATTATGAAACAACTATGAAGTCAGAGCCTAAATATCAAAATACCGCGACTGCTAAAAAGATGTTATTTTCCATATATTAGAAAATAACAAGCCTGATGGGTTTCTTTAGCAGCCACTGATTATCTGACAACGTGAGGAACATTATTAAGGAAGGCTATACTTTTTTCGCTCCCATACTGGAAATAATTTGTTTCATCGTGTTTTTGGTTTTATTCCTACAAATACGTGGAATGAAGAAAAAATACACGGTAAAACAATAATTTTATATTAACTTTATCTTTTTAAAAGCACACATTTTACATAAAATAGAATTCTACCGATAAAAATAATTACAATGTATGTATAGTAATAATAGATGCCATCTAATCTTTGCTAAGCAAAATGTGAGAAGCATATAGGGAAATTTGAAATTTTCTTCTTAGTAACTTACAGTTACGATATTTCATAACCGGATGCGGAAAAATAAACAATAATAATAAATAAATGATGAAAGATTGTACCTATGCCCAGTCAATGCTATGTATTACACATGTATCATTTCAATCATATTCGCATAATATACTTTACATCTTAACATCATAAATGTATAACGTGCAAGCTAGAATAAAAATATATTAAAGAATGCAATGTCAGTAGAACGATTCTCGAAGGTATGATTCCTCACATGCAACGCGTGAAGATAGATATACGTTCTGTATTATTGTTCGGAGTTGAAACGGCGTTTAGCTGTAAGAAAAAAATTCGTTAAAACATTAAGTCACAAAAATAGGTGGATGACGTAAAAGTTAGTACACCATAGCGTCTAATACAATACAATACGACAAGATTTTGGTCGAAATAATGTGCCCAGAGTCAACACCAATCGTCAGTTGGTGCGGAAATTTGAACAAAAAGGTGAAGTTAAAGACTTGCCAAGGTCGGGCCGTATTCGAAGTATTCGTACTCCGAAACATATCGAGCGAGTTCGTGAAAGTGTAGTGGAGCGCCCCGAGACGTCTACCAGACATCGTTCTCAAGAACTGGGTATTCTTCGCACGTCATTTATACACTATTTTTTAAAGAAATACTTGCATTTGCGGTCATACAAAATTCAGTTAACCGAAGAACTACAGCCTATTGACTATGAAAGTCGCCGACAATACAGTCATTCAATATTGCAGCTTATAACCCAAAATAACGATTTTTACTGACAACTGATAATGAGCGATGATGCCCACTTCGATATGAACGGATTTGTTAATAAGCAGAATTGTCGTATCTGGACATTAGAGAACCCTTGTGTCATCCATCAACGACCGCTACATCCTCGCCGAGTCGCAGTTTGGTATGGAGGTGTCATTGGACATTGGGCCTGACTTCTTTGAAGACGCTGCAGGTAATTCTCTTACTGTCACTGGCGAACGCTACCGTGATATAGTGCAAAACTTTCTGGCTTCTCAAATCTAAAAACTTAACCTGCAAAACATGTGGCTCTAACAGGACGGAGCAACTTATCACACAGCTAGGGAAACCATGAATCTTTTGTGAATATTTCCGGGACGTTTAATTTCTCGATTTGGTGATGTCAACTGGCCACCAAGGTCACCGGATTTAACGGTTCCCGACTTTTTTACGGGTATTTTGGAAAAATAGGGTTTATGCCAACAAACCAAATACTGTAGAGCAGCTGAAGAACAATATTACGGAAGCGACTGAAAATATTCCTACCGAAACCTATCAAAAAGTGATGGAAAATGTAATCAAGAGGGCTCAGGTTTGCGCGGCTCCTAGAGACACATTTATCTGAAATTATTTTTCATACATGTAGGTTTCAATAAAAAATTAAGATGAAAAAAAATGACGTATTCTATTTCATTTGACAAATATTCAAGATACAAACCAGTCAGTTACATATCGGCCACCCTGTATAAACCAAAAAGTTGACAGTCCAATGATGGGGACAATTTCTAACAAAAAAATAAGATCTAAAAAACAAAACTATAATATGCTTGTAGACTAAACCATTGCAATATAATAAGGAAGTTCATCAAACATGGATGATAATAACCCTTGTTAGTATTTTAGATCAGGCCTCTCCAACTCGAGCACTTGGTGCTGGTGCGCTCCGGTGCAGAACCCAGCGGCACCGGTGCCGTTCCCCCTCCACCTCGACCGCACAGCCGTCGCGACAGAGACAAACATATTAGCCGACTGTCTCGGGCGCGGGCCATTTCTTAATAGGACAAGACAAAATGGACAGGTTTTTTAGCGTCTTAACGTGCATCTTTTTTTAAACGATGTCATTCAATCCTGCATGGAAGAAGCCCATTTTTGTAAATACTGATGGAAAAGCAAAATGTTTAATTTGTCACACGGTACTGAGGCCAGCCCTTCTAAGTTCTGAAGAGGTAATTATTAATTTGGTCGTAGTTGATTATTATTAATGGTGTCGTAATGCAAGTTATATTGTTGCTTTGAAAATCGCAAAATGTGGGAGACCGTTTATTGATGGTGCACCTGTCAAAGAATGCTTAGTGGAGTGTGCAGAAATTGTGCCCATCTCCTGTAAGCAACTTTGAGACAATTAGTATGTACCAAGCAAACAATTTCTCGTCGGATACTTGAACTTGGTGCAGATTTAAAAGAACAACTGCGGGAAAATGTGCCCATTTTGTGCAGTATTCTATAGTTCTCGATGAAAGTAAAGACATTTCTGACATAGCATAATTAGCTATTTTCGTTAGAGGTGTCGAAATAGTCTTTACTATCACCGACGAACTACTAGACGTTATCTCGCTCAAAGATACAATGGCCAGAGAAGATATTTTTGATGCTGTAGAATACACAATGAATGACATGGGTATACTACTCAAAAGTTTGCGTAGTGTTGTTACTGATGGAGCGCCAGCAGTGTTATCGGAAGCACAAGGTTTTACTGGGCGAAGGAAAATAAAAGTACGCGACGCTGGGCTACCTCCGATATCATCGGTACACTGCATATTACATCAGGAACAACTATGTGCAAAAACCTTGCGTAATTTCAAATCTATTATGGATGTAGTAATTTCTACAGAAAGCAAGGTCTCAACCACGACAGTTTGAAGTATTTTCAAAACACCTGGAAGCAACTTACGGTGACATACCCTTTTATTGTGTTACGCGCTGGTTAAGCTGCGCAAAAGTGCGAAAGATTTTTTTGAAATCATTGACGACGTTGAGATGTTTATGCAAATGAGATTTTTACGACGCCATCTACAGTGCTTTTCGAAATAGAACAGTTCCAAATGGAGCTGATTAAGCTTCAATGCGCTACGATCCTTAAGGTTAGATACTACCACTACAATAGTAATTTAATTTCGTTTTATCAAGGTGTTAAGCAGCAAGATTTTCCAAAAATTCTTGCACTGGCCTTGGAAACTTGCTCCATGTTCGGTACAACGTACTTCTGCGAGTAGATGTTTTCTTTAATGAATTTGAACAAAACTAAAAACAGGTCTTTGTCTGATGTGTCCTTAAGAGGCGATACTCAGAACTTCCACTGCTCAAGCCACTGTAACCAAATCTTAGAAAACTTGTTCAATCAAAACGCTGTCAAAGATCATCTTAAGAATAAATGTGTTTACGTCGAAATTATGAACATTATTTTATCACCCGCGCGTTGACTCGATCAGACCAATACGAACGTCACTCAACTCATTTTCCGTTGGGGCTGGGAGCCGGCGAAATTAAACCTTATCGCGGATTTTACTAAACTTAGTAATAATATGTAGTTTCAAACTAAATGAACAAAAAGGGCTTGGTACGTCGATGAAAGTACAAGATACAACGTGACGGTAGGAGTTTACCATAACCTAATACGTATATCAACGGTCATGACGTTTCAAATTCATTTTACATACTTTCAAACATCTAGAAGCCTGGTGTCAAACTGACAGACTCAAATGAGCTTTAAAATGCAAGCATGAAGCATACAAACAGGATGTATTATTTTGATCTATTTGTATTGCCTGCTGTAGCTTTCAGTCGGTACGACAGTAACTTCTGGCGGAAATCAGTTTGTCATACATGTTTTTTCCAAATGAGCCTAAAATTTCCATCAAACCTTGTAGGCTTCATTGGATTCGGTGAGGACGGTGAAATTCTCTTGTCACGCTGTATCTTTAAGTCGGTATGACAGGTACTTCTGGCAGGTTGCGCCCCGTCTTACTGAGCTCTTCTTGTTCATTTACTTAAAAACTACAGATTATTACTAAATTTAGTCGAATCCGCGATGAAGGTATACTCAATGCCACCAGCTCCTGGGTCATTTCTATTCGCAGGGTGTTACGGTTAGCACAACACCTTCCTCGCGATGGGTATGCCGCTGCCTAATCCCTCCCCCACCTTCACGGAGTCACCCCGCAGCACTGTGCTGCGAGCGGTGCTCGGCGCTGCACTGGTGGCACCGGAGTTGGAGAGGCCTGTTTTAGATCATCAACTATATTATGGGAAACGACTGTTTCTGACACTGTAGTTAGTACGCATATTTCGCCCAGAAATGCTGATGCATAAGGTACTTACGTTTTCTTAAGGGTAAAGAAACTACGTCTTTTGGAATCCTCTTTTTGTGCGGAAGCCGGCAATGTTTGTGATCGTGAAGGACCGGACGCGTCCAGTTCAGCTTGCGTGTTGATGTGGCTGATCCACGTATTCATCTCATTATCATCATGGGCTTGGAATAGAAACTCGCCACCACTTTCCAATCTGTAAATAAGATGAAATATTATATTCAATCTGTAAATATACGAAGAACCCATTACAATGTAGGTGCTTTCCTTTAATGAATCGGTATGACAAAGCTCCAAAACAAGAGTACGGTGACGACTCAGAGGGAGTTAAGAGAAGCACGCTGATACCTAACCTTTCCTTCAGCTCCGAAAGTCGCACATCATTTACAAAAGTGGCATTGTCAACCAATATTAAGCAGTAACAATTGAAAACAGTAAAAGAAACGATTTAACTAGAGGGATGAGTTAAAACCTTTCCATCAGGGCTCCTCCTCCATGGTTATCCACAAAAGCCAGTGAACTTTCTTGAAAATTTCGTGATAACTGCGCACTTGGTTTGCTTTCGATGGCAAAAAAGAAAACATGGAAAGGAAGTGAATCAACCCCGGAATTTGACTATCAAGAATATTGTCGAACTACATTTAAAAGTATCTAAGCAACTCTGATATGCACATAAAAACTTTTTGAAACCAACAACTTCAGTCTTACTTTACCCGTGGACGTAATGAAATGTGCTTAGACCGCTAAAATGATACTTTTTACAGAAAGTCTCATGTGTCTCCGTGCCTACCTTTCTATGGTACTTTAACGAATTTCAAAGCCAGGTGAAAAAGATTTGTGATCGATAACTTACCATATACCATTGAGGAATTTATTGATTGTCTTGAACAATTTTCTGTTTAATACATTTTATTTTTTGCTGGCCGACTCAAACTACATATCGTCGGCCTCCGCACGTACCGGCGTAACTTAAAATTTTACAAATTTTACAGGAGAGCTAGAAAACGAAAATCAGCAGTGAATAAGATTGAAAATGACATACTGATTTTTTAGTCTGCACGTTGCTGTTTTTTTGTTAGACTAAAATTATGTAGACCTTTGTTTTGGGATGGATTAATTTTGTAAAAGTAAAATGAGTTTTAAAAAAATATATTTTTTGTACATTTACGCCACTTCGTGATGACTCTTATTTCTCTAATTGTGTAGTTACGCCAACGATTTAAAACTGGATGAGTATCAAAGTATCGAAAATACTGTTTCAAAAAATAAAAAACGTTTTAATTTCTACATAATAAGTACAAACAAAGAGTACATCCTACAGTAAGTTTAACCTAAAACGTCAAAGCGTGATGGATACTTATGAAATAATAGGGTATATTTAAAAAAATAGTGTCATAGGTTCATCCTGTTTTACCATTATTTCCATCATGTCTGTCCATTTTATTTTATTCCTTAGTTCACTTTCTTTTACCGCTAACATCCGTAGTTCCTTAACATTTTGTTTAAGTCGACATTCACAATACACAATACACAACAATATTTTTAGGTTATGTTTACATATTATTAGAGACACATGCGCCGGTACGTGCTGTATAATCGTCGGTCAAATACAGAAAACCAGTTTTAACGCAGAGGCGTAAATCTATTTAAGGCGGTGCGTGAAAATTGTTTTCGGAAATTTATCACTTATGCAATTATTTAATAATTTCATTTCCAAGCAGCGAACTGATATACAGTTACGTCACTTCGTGCGGTGAGAGACTACAAAAAAATATGTGAAATCGCGGCGTAACTATATTTTGGATTTTTTTTTGTCATTTACGCCTGTACGTGCGGAGACTGACGATATACAGGGTTATCCAAATTAAGTGTCCATCATTAGTAACTTTGTTATTAGTGAAAATACAAAGTTGTTTGAATTAGCAAACTAGTAGCATTTTTAACGCTGGTAAAAATGAGAAATAAAAAAAAACAATTGAGAGTCGTTATTTTGATTTTTTTCAGTAAAATAACATTTTTTTAAATGGAAACCCCTGTATATTATATTTTTTTCTGTTAAAGCATCAAATTTTAAACAAAAAAGCTTACAATAACTTTTCTCCTAGGTTACAAATTGTTGAAGTTATGGCCTCCAATCTGAAACAATTAAATTGTATCGACAAACTTTATTTTCAACATCAACTTATAATCTTACAAAATACAATAACAATTTTTTTTAAAGAAGATGCTCGAAAACACCACCTTGTTCTTCAATACATTTTTGGGCACGTTTTTCAACTGCTCGAACTGTCTTAAGTATGGTCCTACCATCTATCTGGGTTATCTTTTCCCTAACTGCAGTCTTTAACGCGTCAAGGTTATCGTACCTTCGCTTGTAAATTTGGTTCTTTAAGTAACCCCACAAGAAGTAATCAAGTGGGTTTAGATCTGGTGATCTGGGAGGCCACTGTATTGGGCCATTTGTTCCTATCCACTGATCATTAAAAGTAGTACTTAGAAAATGATAAGTACCTCTGGAGTTGTGGGCAGGTGCGCCATCTTGCTGAAAATGCAGATGATGTCTACTTATAAGATCCAATTCGTCTAAGAAATTAGTCAGAATTTCTGACATAAATTCCACACATCTTTCACCAGTTAGGGTTCCCTCATAAAAGAACGGGCCAACAATTTTTGAACCAATTATACCGCACCAAACGTTGAAACTGAAACGGACTTGTGGGCCTCTTGGATGTACTAACAAATGATTTTCTCTTGACCAATAATGGTGGTTTTTTCTATTAAACATTCCAGAATTTGAAAAATTTGATTCATCTGTCCATAAAAGGTAACGAAAGTTATTTACATTTTGGCGACAGAAGCTAAGATACCAATGGCAAAAAACAAGTCTTTTCTCTGGATCCCCTGCCAAAAGCGTTTGACCTGGTCCGTACTTATACGGAATAAATTTGTATTTTTTTAAAATCCTTTGAACAGTACCATAACTGAAATTAGAGTCCTTGAGAATATCTGCTATTGAATTCTCACGATAAGCTTCAAAATATCCAATAACTGCAATTTCCGTGGCCTCGCTTATTATGAATTCCTTTTTTGCCCTTGTTTTAGCAAAAACATTTTCGTTGCCCCTAAATTTTCGATAAAGTCTCAGAAAATATCGTTCATACGGTTGAATGCGAGCGGGATATAATTCACTGTAGTATTCTCTTGCTCTCAAGGAGGATTTTCTGCACACTAAATAGCATTCTAACATATCACACTTTTCTTCATGGGAGAACATTTTTCTTTAAATTAATGACACAATAAAGCTTATAAACAAGTATTTACACTAATGTTTGACATTATTTGATTTTATCATTGTTTTCCAAAGCCTTCTAGTTGCGAGTATGTCCAGTTTAACAATTTGTCGCTTATCTTAATGCTGTCAAATCGCGAACGCCATGTTGTTTTCATAGCCGTCTTAATATTATAATACTGCAAATAATTAAAAATATTTATCGTTATTTTGACTTTATTTTTGACTTTAGCGGAAAAGTCATTATGAACTTTTTTGTTTAAAATTTGATGCTTTAACAGAAAAAAATATAATATACAGGGGTTTCCATTTAAAAAAATGTTATTTTACTGAAAAAAATCAAAATAACGACTCTCAATTGTTTTTTTTTATTTCTCATTTTTACCAGCGTTAAAAATGCTACTAGTTTGCTAATTTAAACAACTTTGTATTTTTACTAATAACAAAGTTACCAATGGTGGACACTTAATTTGGATAACCCTGTATATTAATTTCAGATTATTGTACGACGTTTTGGCCACCACAGTGGGTTAAAATATGTGTGTGGTTTGATTCGGCAGTACAATAGAGTCCTACGAACATACAAACCGCAGGACAACTTTCACGTCAAAGTTTACTCAAATTTTACTTTTTGGGAAAACACCTAGTTTGGTTAGATATGGTCGAGACTATAACCCAGAAATACAGTTGAGACCATTAATGAACAAAATTGCACATGTACAGATGTAAAGAAAGTTTCAAATTATATACAGGATTCATAGGCATCTTGGAATATTCTGCTTACCTCAACCTGAACACATGTTTCTTCTTCTTGTAATCCTGCGCTTGGCTAGCCTGCGCACCTCTCAACGACAGCGGTGGTTCGCCTTTGAAACGTTGATCGGGCGTCGACTTGGCATTTTTCGCGTCCCTGTAAAAGCTCATCTGTGTTCCCTTTACCAAACAATACACCTTGTCCCAGGATCTGTTCGTCGCCTTTGTTGTGGTGTTCTCCCATTCGTGTTTTCGCACCAGATGGCCTTCCAAGACGTCGCCGCTGGCGCCACTATCGCTTGGACCGCTTTCTATAAATGTAATATGAATATTATGATCCGAGGTTCTCTGGCGAAGCTGCTTGTTGCAAACACATATAGACTTTGTTAGTTGTGGGATTTGCACCGGGTTTGCTTTGGAAAATAACGGGAAACTACACTTTATAATGAACTGCGCCCTTATTACGTAATTTTGATTCGTGTCGTACTGGTACTATCAGTGGCGAGCACTAGATATACGTGGAGCTGTACGGCTTGAACTTGCAACACTATTAAGGAGATTGCATCCGACTTCCTGAACAGTAGCGAACACTGTTCTGTACATGCAAAGGATACACATTAATTATCTCTATATATAAATGTGAATGTCTGTCCAGTGTGTCAGCATCAACTCTGAACCACAATATTGAAAAATTTGTACACTTACTAACTGATACCCGATGAAGGTTATGAAGACGAGTTTATCCGCAAACTCTTGGTCGATTTTGTAATCAACTGTCACAGCAAGTAACAAAATCTCCATCGTCAGCATCAAGCCGGCAACAGCGCAGCCTTCCTTCGCCCTACTCCATCTGTGATACAGTCGCTTTATATTGCACTAGCTGTTACCCGCGACTCCGTACGCTTGAAAATGTTTTTTATTTTAGATGGCATTTGCCAACTTGCATGCTTTGGAAATTTTGTTACTTTATTCGTGGCGTCATCGAGTACCCGTTCCGCGGGTAAAACCGCGAGGCAGAAAGCTAGTACAGTGATAATTTGTATTAGTAATCACATAGTATTAAACTTGTACACATGTATGTTATTGCGCCAACGTCTGAATGCAATCTTTAAACTGATATTTTCTTGTTCCAAAAGTATACTCCACACTTTACCATACAATCGTAGACGCGGCCATTACGTCAATCCTCCAAAGATGGTGGGCTACTTGTACTTTATAGCAAATACTGCAATAGCAACCCGTCAGTGTAAACTGTTTAGGCGATCGGGCCTAAGTGTACTTCTCTATTACTTCCAAAAGCAAACACTGATTATTATTTACATTATAAATACGAGTATATTAGATTATATACATATTACATACAAATTATATGATAAATATGGTAGTAAAGTTATTCTACAGCTGTCTAAAATGGTCTATATCTACTACAGGTTTACTGAGCGACGGAAGCATAAGATTTAGAAGAATGCCTGGTCACTATTGGGCGCCGACGTGAAGATGGAACCATGACATGGGCGAGTCACATGTCGATTGTAGCTTTTTATATAAGGCCCGGTTTAACTAATCCCCGGCGCAAAGTTTGCACCCAGGGCACAAACTAGGCCAATCAGATGGCGTTTTTGAAGTAACGGATCTAAGGAATTTAGACGAATTCTTGTAAAACATCTCTCAAACTAGAGAAAAATTCTACGATTTGTGTAAGCTGGGTCCCAAAATTCTTATTAAATTAAGAAATACTTCATATATCACATGGTTTAGCTACACTTTTTTTGCATTTGACCCAGGGCACAAAATTTGCGACTAGGGTACAATTTCCACTAACCAACCGACCTAGTCGCAAATTCTACCAATCAAAAAGAAGGGATTTGTGTCCTGCTCGAAACATAGATCAAACCTGATACAATATCTAGACTGATATGGCAGCAATCACTGAGCATTTTATTGGAAATAACAGAGTCACTACATGAGACGATATAATTTTGAAAAAAGGATATATTTTCAGCAATTCATCAGCACGGACATTGAGGTGCAGCTAAGCAAAAACCCATTTTTTTCTCTTTAAAGGTTTGAATCAGGTAACTCAAACCAGATCATTAATATTTGTCCTTGCTGTACAAAATTCTGCTTATTAAATTTTTCAGGACATAAAATTACAGAATGCTTATTCGTTAACAAACTGTTTGTTTTTGAATACTTTTATGCTCAACACGTCTTTAATGATAATTTTCTTGGCTTATTGCAATAGGTAGCCAATGATACCACTGGCGTCCACTAGAGGATGCTGAGCATGAAAGTAGTAGAAACCGGATTGTTCACACGGTAGTCAAGTAAACTGATTATTTACTGGATGATTTTTGAATAATGAGCATTCTGTAATTTTTTTCGAATCCTTAAAGATTTATTATGAATAATTTTGTACTGCAATGACAAAAATCGATGATCTAGTTTGACTGACCTGCTACAAACCTATAAACAGAAAAAGTAGGTTTTTGTAGCTAACCTGAATGGACATGTTGATGGAGTGTTAGAAATATATCCTTTTTTTGAAATTATCATCAGGTTAAGTAGTATCACTGGTATTCTCAATTAACTGTTCAGTAATTGCTGCCATATTAATTTGTTACATTGTACTGAGTTTGATCTATGTTTCAAGCGGGGCCCGAATTCTTTTTGATTGGTCGAATTTGCAACTAGGTCGAAAATCCTATTTGATTTGTCGGATTTGCCTCTAGCTCCCAAAAGTAGATTCCTGCGGTTTAATAGTAAAATCGGACATGAATCATACATTTCTTAGCACTCATATATAAAATTTGTCCCTGTAAAATGCTTAAATCCATGTATATATTATGAACACCAATTAGAGGCAGAAAGCACATGCCTCTTATTGGTTGACCCACATTTTTCAATTTGAATATTTCACAATGAAAAAGTGTTAGGGATTTTCTGCATGACTGCTCTGCCACTAGTCTGGTACTACGGCCTCGTGGTTTGCCGCCAATCGCGGTCACCTGTCGCTATCTCCCCGCGGTACGGCACCTTTAGACATCCATATACTGAACACTCAATAATGTTCAAGTCTGTTGGGCGTCAAGTGGATGTTCAGTTTTTCTTTACACATAACACAAAACTTACTATAAGGAGAAAAGACTGCGAGGCTTTTATTTTTGAAGTTTAATAATTCTTTTAACTCACCTTAATTTTGAATTTTTTTGGTAAAAAAAGGGAAACAAGTTTTTAGTTTGTTTAAAATATTTCTACGAAAAGATCAAGAAGAGTAGTCGTTTTTATTTGTATAAGATTGTTTGACAAAGACTGATAAAAGTAAAATAACATGTTTTTGTTTATTTGAAGTTGTTATTTCATAATTATGTTTTCTAATTAGAAATATTTGATTATAACAATGAAAAAAAGTTTATGTGAAGAATAAAGTTTTTGGTTGTCTATTACAACATGATTTTCTACTGAAAAAATAATAAACAGATTTTTTTTTGTTTTATTTAAGTATCTAACATTATTTTCAAATTCTCTTTTTATAATATAATATAATATTCGCATGGTTGTCGCCAATCATCGCGATGCATCACTAATGCTTACCAATTTTTTTCTATGACTATAGGATGAGTCCAAACTATTTTTAAGTTTACTTTAAAGTTTAATATTCTTTTAGCTCAGCTTTATTTTCAATTTTTTGTTAAAAAAGGGAAATCAGTTTTTTTTTTTTTTATACTCCAACTACCACGAAGGCCTGAGGCCTAAGCACTCATTGGGTACCGTGGGGCTATGGGGGACACATGGGAAAGGGGGGACGCCACACGGACTCTGGCGAGGGAACACGTGTGCATGCAACATGAACACATTCTGGCTCCGCCTACGAGAACCGCCGGGTGGTACCTCCGCGTTCGACAGTCAGAGACCATCTACCACCTACGGACAATCACAACATCCATGGCCAAGAGAAACATTTCTCCTGGGACGGGAATCGAACCCGCACAGCGTACGGCGACTGATCAGGAGACCGAAGAGTCTACTACTGCGGCCACCGCTGCTGCCTAAAACAAACACACAACATCCATGGCGAAGGCGAGATTCGAACTCGCGGCCCGGCCGGCCGGCTGATCAGTAGCACGACACTCTGACCCACGCGGCCAACCGAGGTCCCAGAGTTTTTAGTTTGTTTAAAAACATTTTTTTCAAAAAGTTCAAAAAAACACATCGTTTGTATTTTTAAGGTTTATCTGTATAATATTGATTGATAACTACTGATACAAGTGAAAAAGAATATTTTATTGTTTCTTTGAAGTTGTTACTTCATAATTATGTTTTCTAATAAGAAATATCTACTTATATTTATTACACTAAGGAAAAAAGTTTATGTGAGGAATAAAGTTGCTAGTTGTCTATTATACTTTTCTACTAAAAAAATATATTATTTATATATATATATATATATATATATTATATTTTTGGTTTGATTCAAGTACCTACTAGCTTTTTCATATTCTTTATTTCTGATATTCATATTCGCAAAATACTCGCATGGATGTCGCGACATCGCAATACATCACTAATACATACCAAATTTTATCTATGGCTATAGGGTAAGATAAGTCAGTTGTTTTTAAGTATATTTTAACTGGATATAAAACAATTTGCCCATACTATATCATCCGATGGCGGTAGTTGCAACCGTTGCCTAGCAACAACTACAACTACGGCCAGACATAGATGGAGTTTAAATTAGCTGGACCACCAAGGAAAGAAGAAGCCGGTGGGCTAAATGGGAGACTTTGGTAATATTAACATAAAGTACACTTTACCGTTCAGATATAGAAAAAGTATCATTATCATGAAATAACCATTTTCTGTTTACCTAATACTACAGAGTAATATACCGAACTTATTCTAACCAATATTGTCGTGACATAACATTATAAACAGATTAAGATATCCTCAATCAAATGTTCAGATAGTCGACGTAATTATAGCATTTTGGTTTAATTCTTCCTTTGATAACGTTGGTCGTCTACAAATTATCGGCAATCCTGAATCACTGAAGCTCAATGCAGGCTCAACATAAATTCAATATCACATAACTAACAACTAGACAAAACATCGCTAAAATTTGACCACCACCAATATCCATTTCAAGCAACGATACCTTGGTAAGCTGAGGAAGCCCCTTCATCATCACTATGTGCACCTGTGGATATTTTCTTCTCCTTTTTCCATCGAAAACTCCTGAACGGTGACTTACTGCGTGAACGTTCCTTTTTCCTAGACTTCAGTTCGCTTCTTGCTTCTTTGGAAAAATCACAAACAAGCATAACATAAAAACATAGCAAAAACGAAAAACACAAAAGCTAAGCTTATAATAAAAAATAGCAAAAATACCATGCTGTAATATATCCACTACGATTTGTACGCTACGGATAAACAGGTAGAATGGAATAAATACATTTATTATAATTTACAATAATTTTGTCAAGTAACGAACAGAGAAACTGAACACACTCCTTCCTTTGCTGTATGTTTAGTATGTTTGGTGTAGCATGTTTCTACGTTATAAAGTAATTAGTTGGATAACATTTGAAAAACAGAGCTTAGAATCACAGAATATGTGGACAATTTTCCAAATTCATGTAGAACGCAGAAAATAATGTCAAATTCTTATAGAAAAATTTCCCACGTGACTATAAAGGATGAACGAATGTTTAACATCAACAAAAACAATGAATTTGTTTAGATCGTCAGGTACGGAATAACTCTGTTTTTTCTCGAGTATTTCATTTTTGCATAGGCAAATAGCTTTTAATACTGATTTAAAATATTATAGCATGTCATACATTATTATAAATTTTTTTCTTGAGTAAGTCTTGACATTATTATATAGTGATTTCTTAGAATATCAAATATTAGATTATACATTTTATGCATTGATATAACAGTTCAAGTGCCTAACTTCATATAGATGGTTTAAACTCATTGAATGAGGAACAACATAATGTAACTCATTCATATTATTTCAAGTAATTATCAACTAATCCATTTATTTTATCATCTAATAGATATTGATTCAGCTTGTGTACATGAACAATTTAATTTTTGTAAAAATGTTCTATCCATTTAATTTTTGCCGAACTAGGGAAAAGCCGCGCCCCCCCTTGCCCCCCTGGGTACTCCCTTGGGACCTATGAAGGGTATGCTAGCCCCACTCTTTGCCAGAGTGTCGGCTGTCTTGTTTCCTTTCAGACTCGTATATCCTGGTTTTCATATGGAATGCACCGTATTTCCATCCCCTATGCTACCAAGAGCTTCTTTACAATGTCGCATTTATTTCAAGAAATCTCGTAACCTGCGGCATCAGTCCGCTAAGTGGCAACGCTGCTCCTAAAGACGGTAATTGATAGGTAAACATTTTTTAAGAAATTGATGGCGCCACGGTACCCATGCTTATTTTCGTCCAGGTATGCCTGTCAAATGAGGTGGGTATCTTCTGGTGGATTATGCTAATCAACGGTAGAGTCAATGAAATGCCACATGCGGTATATCATAATGTACAAAATAAGAAAAACTCGAACTATGCTGTTAAGCTGTGGGCTCAGCCATCTCACCCAAACCACAGTATAGTCTTTAACGATGAAGTGAATGAGACAGAGTATGAAACCGGTAATTAAAAGGGTGACGTAGGTTTCTGAAAAATAATTCATCTCACATCAATGGTACTTACGTGCAAGAGGTTTCCTTGTGTCCCGTGGATCAGGTGACCTTGAAGTGCTTGGGCCTACTGGTCTCTGCTGCTGTCCATGCACTACAGAACATGCTCATGCATTAATAAAAGCCATGCAAACGTATGTCAAGGCAAAAAACACAATTCAGTGATGACTACTTATTCATTAAAAGGAAGATATAACAAAAATATTGGTGGTGCGATTAATAAAGCTGATGTTGGGACTTACAATTTTTACAGCATACGTACATGTCTTGTATTTACTGGTCGTTTGTAGATACTTTATTTTATTTGTTTTATACATTCGCCACGTTGTAGGAGAATCCAAACCAAATAACTATTCAAAATATGCAAGTCAATTTACACTTGAGGAAAATGGAGGAAGAGTATTGAATCTGTGATTGGCATCCATAGTTATATCACACACCACCCACTTCCATTAAAGGAAATATTGAAATTAGACCTGTTAATATTGTATTTCCATTCATACTGTATGCATGGTGACAACATAAAGTAACCACAAGTAGATCAGCAAATCCAAAACTAAGCTGAAAAAATTGGAAATCGCACTCACAAGTTTTGGATGGGTACAAAGTTGATAACATATTGGGATACCTTTTAGATAAACACTCCAGCGCCATAACTGGCAACGCTAGTAATCCTAAGCACGTATCATATTGTGCGTTCAAGAGATAATGCAAATATTAAACAAACTTAAAATCGAAGGGTAAAATAAATTTGATCGGCGTACTGTGACGTGTTATTTACTTACTTCTCAGATGCCTACATGCATATGTGAAAACAATAAATATTACCTGCAGAGCAAACAATTGGGACAAACAGCACTTAAAACGGTAAAAATGCCCATTACAAGATGTGATCAGAAATAATCCATATGCAAGACTAAACATTCGATCATCGTCTTGCTTAAAGACTACTACCTTGTCTGGAAACGTCTAGACTGAGCATATCCCAATACTCTATTAAGTAGTGCTGTCCTAAAGAAAAAATAATGTGGTTTAGCTGCTCCTCCACATTTTAAAATCATAATAAAATAAAAATCAATTTTCATCAAAACCAACAAGAAAATTTGAAGCCCTGAAGTTACCTGTAACTGTTAAAGAATATATCCTTGCTTTAAAGGCACGTAACTCACCTCGTTCCCTCTATACTGTGCATCTCAAAATGAAATATGAAGGATAATCTTGTAGTTCCTGGAGAATAAACTGAAACAAATATTAAATAAAATACACTCACCAACTCTCTCCTCGCCCGATTGAGCACCCGTATCTGGATGATCCGTGGATACACGTTCAGCTTCCTTAGGTTTCGCTGCTTCCATCTGAGCTCTTCGCTCAGCCTCCTCTTTTTCTTTTCTTGCCTTTTCGGCAGCCTCGGCTGCTTCCTGGCGCCTCTTCATTTGTCTCAATTCGAACTGAAATAAAAAATGCATTCGTTGAAATTATTTCCAAATACTGTTAAACCAAAAATATGTGACGTTTCAACTTAAACCGAAGCAGCCGCGAAGCCAGAAGCCTAAACGCCAGGACATCGGGGCTGTTATGAGGATCCCAAAGAGATTTTGTTAATCCCATCTGTTCCACCATCTCGACACCCTCGTGGCAAAGGAGCGGTTTTAACAGCCAGTTCTGGATGTACGAAGTTCGACACGGTTAGAGTGGGAGGTCGAAGTCAGGAGGGTCTGTCTGGCACACACATCGCCATCATGGAAGAGAGCTCTGGGGGCAAAGCCCGTTGGTGTAGCGGTAGAAGAGAGCTAGATCACCGACAACCCTCCGATGCGAAAGGGTCCCGAGACTGTCTGAGAGATCAGTCGGACATCCCTCCTCTAGGCAGCATCGATCATAAATAATGTAGTATGAAAAGTAATTTATAGCCCTAATAAATAGCCTAGCTTTTCACCAGCAGCTGCCGCTATTGACGAGATGTGTTCGTGCCAGATCAAGTACTCGGTGATCTCGACTCCGACCAGCCGAAATGAACGGCTCTTTCGCAGAACTCGGACATCCATCGGAACCAAATAACTGCTAGGACGCTTGTTGTTCGTTAAGGTACCATACTGACTTTTGGAGGCATTAAAATGTACAAGATTGTTGCGTCCCCAAGCAGTGATAACCTCCAGGTCTGACGTCAGAGAGGAAGTCTTTTTTCCAGCTCACCGGCAGAGATCGGCTTGACGCTGTAAATTCCTGCATGTAGAGTGCTGTCATCAGCAAAGCTGTGGATTGGGTTGACCGTACAGAAAATGAGGTCGTTCATATGTAAGAGGAACATTGTTGAAGCCAAGACCGATCCCTGGGGAACACCCGCGGTTGTGGGATGAAGAGGAGAGCCCGTCCATGGTGGAGGCGACAGCAAAGATATTGGCAAGCACTTTCACCTTAGCCTTTCAGTCCGTTACAATCATTCCATCCTGACACGTAAGTAATATGCGCGGTAATATGTTTGTGTTTTTCTGTTTTATTTTGCATTAAAACGTTGATTTTTTAGATTTTTCCTCACAATTATCGTCGCGATTCAATTTATTTAAGTTAATTGAAGGTTAGAAATTATTGTAGAGATTCGGCAAAATATTTTAATATGTTCAATGCACCATTAACTGTACCACAATGTGAATCATTTCCTTTCACAAAGACAAATATACTTACTGTTGTCAACCGCTCCAGCGCACTGAACCTTTCCTCCTGTGCGGCTGCCGACTTTTCGAAGGCTTCGTGTTTCTTGATCAGATTTTCGACCTCGTCGATCGTTCGTCCCAATTCCTGGCTCATTAGGTAAGGTTCTTGAGCGATCAGCCAAGCTTCTGCAACTGCAGCATCACGAGCGAACTGGTACACTTCAAGGATCAGCTGAAGATTCTCCCATCTGATAAAAAGTAGAACTGGTCAGTATATGAAAAAGAAATCTTAATCTTCCAGTCGTCGTAAACGCGTATACAGAGCAATCCATATACCACTGACGTCGTAATTTGTACGAGAAAGAAGCGCGAGAAGCGTGCAATACGTACGTTAAAAAGAGATAGAAGCTCCACGTTGCCCAGCAACACGAGTGACGAGACCACGGATGCAGCTGAGGCTTACCGGCGCACTCTTTCTAACATACTTATTGCATGCTTCTCGATATTTAGATTTCTTGTATTTGATTACTGTGTTAACACTTTCCATCATTCAGAATAAAATAACCTATAAGCGCAGTGAGCGTTGCTAATGACAAACCCCACTTTTCTTGCAGTTGTAGAAATAAGGGATATATCTTATACCTTTCTTCCCATCGTTGAAGCACACCATTTCTGTGGTTGGTAAGCATAACGAGTTTCTCCTTAATTTCGGAACTAGCATAGTGATTACGATTCAGCAATTCCTTGCCAAGCGAAATGCATGATGTGAAGTTATCTTCTCTAGCTTCTACTTCAGCTTTCAAGCTTTGATGATTATTCATTAATAATTCTACGCCGCTGACATCTCTTGGTTTTTCACTGGTATTCATTTGCCTGATCCATTCGTCCATCCATTGCATCAACGTTCTCACTGTAACGAAAAATTATCTCTGCTACTTAATGATTTTATAGCAGATTACTACAGGAAGAGCAAGTAAAATTTAGAAGAGCTCTGTGGTCCCTCGCGAATATGATTTTGAAATAACCCAATGTAAATAGTTTTTTTAACGAAGCCACCGTCAACAGGAATATAAGCAACAAATAATATATATGTTACAGATTCTTTTAATGGTCGACTAAACATTAACTATATCTTGACAAAGTAAATTATTACATCGTTTTTTCTTATTTAGAATAATAATTTTATATCAGTTCATAAATTTTATAACAAAACCCATCTATAGGTCTAATAATTTTATAGTAGAAAATCGTACTCTACTCTCCATCTAGTTAAAGACAATTTTTTTATAATTTCGGTCGACCGTAAATACGAGAGCTGAAGGTGACTTGGTGCTCTCGTGTAGGACTTCAGCGGCCCACAACGCGCGGTGTTGATATAATTAGTGAAACTCAGTGCCGGGGATTTATCGGGTTGTGGGCCGCTGAACTCCTACACGAGAGCACCGCAATTAGCACTGATAAACACAGGATTTGTGACAAGGCAATTTTTGGGTGTATCTTATGTATTTTAAGACCCTTAAATCAAATCTAAAAACTGAATTTTTCTATCACCCACAGATATTCGGTAACATCTACTTTTATGAATTACAATACGTAATACCTCATATTGCAATAGCAGCCGAGTCAGTTACGTTTTCTGTGTTGAGTACTGAGATGTTCTGAGTACTGTTAATTTCTGTTAAAACGGTGTGTTTTTTTTTTAGTTTATTGTGATCGAGACTAGCTTTATGGACAATGCCTAGCAATTGCGCAAGTAGGGCGAGCAGTTTTTGTTATGTGTGCGGAGAGCTAACTTTTAAATCCCAAAAACGTACTTTTACTCCCCTTGTATTGAAAGCATACGAACTTTATTTTGGAATTAAAGTTGGCGACCAAGATAAACTATGGGCCCCTCATATATGTTGTAAGACTTGTGTAACGTGGTTAACAGGTTGGTTAAGAGACGACAATCATAAAATGCACTTTGCGGTACCAATTGGTTTGGGAGAGAACCGAGAGACCATACTATTGATTGCTATTTTTGCCTCATAAATATTAAAGGTATTGGACCAAAATCGAAACATACTGTCAAGTATTTTAATTTACTATCAGCTTTGCGGCCCGTTAAGCATAGTGATAAACTTTCTGTCCCAGTTCCACGAGAATCTTGGTATTTGGATGAAAAAGTCGAATCCACCGATTCTATGAGACACTAATCAAAGTATATAATTCTATAGTAAATAGAGAAACAGCTGTGACAAATTCTCATAGATGACGCTACGATATCTCATTTAATCTAGGAAAATTTTTTGAATGCACGAATATAGCATTAGTGTACGACTGCACAGAAAGCGGTTTCTGCTATTCAAGCGAGATCGCGATTCGAGCGGTAAATGCGATTTTCGCATTTTGGGCGATAGTGGCCGCATAAAAAGCGCTTTTAGTTCCAATGTGGAAGTGAACAGAGCAAATAAATACATACAAAATGGCGCATCTAACACAACATGCTAAAAATTGCTGTCATTAGAAAATAAAATTTCCTTTAAATTATTAATAATAAGAAAAATAGTGTACATGATATAAACCAAGGAAGATCGAAAACATCCGAATCCATTTTATGAATATTGCAGAATGTCTGAAAACACCTTTGATATTATTTTAGCAGCAGTAAGTGACCAGATAAAGAAAACGTATCAATCTATCGATAGTTCTGCGGCTACCTTCTTCGAAACAGCTTTTATTTTGTTCCGGTCCTTATGAAATTCATTTTTTGGATTCCAAATAGGTTCCCTTTTGTATACAGATGCAATTAAGTCTTCTATTACCATGTTGAGAAAACCGTTGCGTCGAAAACGTGCTGACCGAACGGCGATAAAAAATAAACTGATTTGCGATTTATGCTGGTCTTGCGCGTCTAGCGCGACACGCTGAAATAGCGCGGCGTCCTGAATCGCGATCTCGCCAGAATCGCAGGAAACGCTTTCTGTGCGGCCGTACACTTAGATTGGCTATCCTCAGGTAGAATACGTTAATAAATCCTTCACCACCAAGATGTCACTTGCTGATCCGCTATTCACCTCAATAGACATCAAAACAATGAAGTATCGTGAAAAATACTGTACAGAGAATTTAAATGAGTTCTCTTTCAATGTACGAATTTCAAACATGATTTTCTCAAACACAAAGGTAAAATAAGAAGAAGAAGAAGAATAATGTGCGCCATCCTTGAAAAATGTATATAAAGAATCTATTCCAGGTATCAAAAACACAATTTTGTCTGGAAGGCACATATTCCATTCTGGGATTGATCAAATATTCGATCAAATAGAAATGTCAATAAATAATTATTTTTGTACGAAATTCCATGGAAGACTCGGAAGCATTTGTTCTCATACAACTTTACAAAATACTCACAATGGAATGTTGGAACGCAGCTGCTCTTCGGAAATTTTGTATACGATACAACATTCGCCGAATAAGAGATGCCCCAACCTATTGAAAAAATGGATTAAGAGGTTCCGTGAAACAGACTCAACTGTTAGTTAACCCATTCCTGGTCCCAGACCTACTGTATCAACCAAACAAAATGTACGTCGAGTAAGTGATTCGGTCATTTCAAATCCTCGGCGTTCTGTACGGAAGCATTCCGCTGCTTTGGAAATGCCTAGGTGAACACTGCATGGCATAATGAAGAAAAAAATGGGTTTTCA